TATTTAGTTATTCAAAGGAAAAATAATAACAAAGGTTTATTTAATGAGAAGATTCTTAAATTAAGGCAACAAATAAGTATTTGTTAGGAACCAATATAAAGGTTAAATTATAATTGGTACAATAAGAATTCACAGCATAATTTAGAGCACTTGAAACGATTTGGTTTCATTGCCAAACGTACTCGTACAGTAAAACTCACCCAGCATCCATCATTAGATCATCCCCATCAGCATCACCACCATGACAACCAGACGGTGGGCAAGGAATCGAATGCCCTGAATACATCGACCTGCTCGGATTCGGCGGTCACCAGGAGGCGTCGCAAGAACGTGAGCAACCACAACCTGAAGACCTCGGCCCGTCATGGAGCCAGTAGCGAGAACCGCCTGAACAGGCTCAGTTTGGCTGGAACATCCGTATACGCTGGTCACTTGTCCTCGCTGGTCTTCGGCAAGATCAAGTCCCTGTGGAGCGTCAACTCCTCCAATTCGAGCGAGGCGGGACTGAACCAACTAGCAGGCATGGCTCCGCTCCACTTATGTGCATCCTCCAGTTTCTGTCGTTCGCATGCTGCATCCTCATTGTCGTTCATTAACACCTTTTTCTCGACCAGTTCCTATTTTTTAGGGCGATTTTGCATGTTTTTAATTTGAATTGTTTTGAAACTATTGAATAAGGGGTTTTTAAGTTTTCTTATAATAAAATTTAAGCCTTTGAAGTTATTTTGAGTTAATTTTTTGTTTATTTAACTTATTTTAAAAGTGTCTTAATAATGAGGTTATAATTATTTTAAATCGATAACTCTTTTTATACTTTTGAAAGGAATTTAATATTTTAATATATTAAAGCCATTTTAATTTGTTGTATAATATGTACAATATTAAAATGAATCAAAAGTTCTCAAAAAGAATGTCTTTATAAACCCAAAAATTAAATTGAGAAGTTTAAAAGATAGTATTCTAAAAATTTAATTTAAATTAACATTTTCTATTTAGAATGTTCCTAAGTTGTATCTTTATTGTATAAGCATAACCATGAATTTGATACTGTTAATAATTTTTTTTCTTTGCGTATTCAAATTTATGTTCCAAAAAATGTATAACGAAAAGTGTCCTAATTGATATTTTATAACTTTCGGTTTGTTCTTTGCATGCTTACCTCATCATGATCCACACATCTAATTTGTTTTCTATTTTCCCCTGTAGGAAGCGACGCCCTCGACCACCACTCCTCGCTGCTGAACGAGAAGCTGCAGAAGGACCAGCTCCACGCCCGTCTCGGCCTACTGCTCAACGATCCCGGGAGCAATGGGAACAGCAGCAGCAGCGGCAGTGGCTGCGAGCCCATCTCGGCCCACTCCACGACCAGCACCACCAGCAGCAGCGGAGTGGGAGCGGCCAGCACCACCACGAGTGGCTCCTCGCAGAACGTCAGTCCGGAGCAGACGCTGGCCAGCGGGGCCGGGATGCTCAGCGGCAGTCAGCTCTCGGTGGCCACCAGTCACGGGGTCAAGGAGGATGCACTGAGTCTGTGCGGGAAGTTCAAGGCCGGCTGCTCCATGCTGCACGTTTACGAGGCGCTGCCGAGCAAGAGTCGCAAGGGCAATGTGAGGAGATCGACGCGTGGTCAGCAGGCATCCAGCTCCAGCTCCTCGGCGGCAGCAGCAGTCGGATCCAGAGTCACTGCCTCCACTCTGGCAGCGGTTCAGCTGGCCCTGAAGCCCCTGTTTTTCGAGGTGCCGCTGCAGGAACCGGATCCTCCGTATGTGGGTCGCCAGTGGCTTGTGCAGCAGCTGTCCAACATCCTACTCGGCACGGAGACACGGGTGGTGCTCATCAACGGACAACCGGGCACCGGGAAGACCGCCTTCTGCCTGCAGCTGGTGGAGTACTCCTGCTTCGGCCGCCGGCAGATGCAGGATGATCCCGATGGCATCTATAGCCAGCTCCAGCTGGGCGCCCACTGTGAGCGCATGCGGGGACTGGCCTCCCACATGGTGGGCTACCACTTCTGCCAGGCCGACGCCAATCTCACCTGCCAGGTGCCGGATTTCGTGCACTCCCTGGCCGCCCAACTGTGCCAGGCTCCCCAGCTGACCGCCTACAGGGACTACCTGCTGTCGGAGCCGCACCTCCAGGACATCCTCAGTGTGCGCGAGTGCATCGCGGATGCGGAGAGGGTGATGAAGCTGGCCATTCTGGAGCCACTGGCTCAGCTGCACCGATCGGGCAAGATACCCGCCAAGGTGGCTGTCATCCTGGTGGATGCCCTGTGTGAGGCCGAGTACCATCGTCCCGATCACGGCCACACCATTGCCAGTTTCCTGGCCCAACTCACGCCGCATTTTCCGGCCTGGCTGAAGCTGGTGGCCACCGTGAGGACGCAGATGCTGGAGCTGGTCAAGGCGCCGAGCTACACGCAACTGACCCTGGACAGCTGGGGACAGGCGCTGCAGCAGGACATGCTGGACTACATAGGCGCCCGCCTGGCGGATAGTCCCGAGATCCGCCTGAACATCGGCGGAGGAGGTGGCCAGAACTCGCAGGCGGGAGGCCAACCGCAGACCAAGTTCGTGTCCCATCTGCAGTCCCTGAGCAGGGGCTCCATGCTGTACGCCAAGCTCATCCTGGATCTCATCGCCCGCGGCCAGTTGGTCATCAAATCGTCCAGCTACAAGGTGCTCCCCGTCTCGCTCGCCCAGATCTTTCTGCTGCACTTCAACCTGCGCTTTCCCACGGCCCGCAGTTTCGAGCAGGCTGCTCCGATCCTGAATGTCTGCCTGGCAGCCCTGTATCCACTGACGCTGGACGAGATCTACTACAGCATGGAGGCACTGGGTCACGGACGGGAGTCGCTCAGTTGGCCGGACTTCATGCAGCGCTTCAAACTGCTGGACGGCTTCCTCATCAAGAGGTTGGACAACACCTACATGTTCTTTCACAGCTCCTTGAGGGAGTGGCTGATGCGGCGGGACGAGGGCGAGTCCAACAAGTTCCTCTGCGATGCCCGGCTGGGTCATGCGGCCATCGCTTTCCGGTTGTCCCGCCTGCAGGCGCCACTGTCGCCGCAACTCACCCTGGAACTGGGTCACCACATGCTCAAGGCGCATTTGTACGGCGGAACCAGTCTGACTCTTCTTTCTCCAAGGGATCTGCAATCCTATTGGTTGGCTGGCGCGGCGGACAACATATCCTCCTCGTTGGGCGCCCTGCGCAATGTCTACAGTCCGAACTTGAAGGTTTCCCGGTTGGTTCTCCTTGCAGGAGCTTCCCCCAATCACCGCACCGATTACATGGGAGGAGCTCCGATCCTTTGCATTGCTGCCCACGAGGGAATCCTGCCGATGGTCAGTTTGCTCCTGGAGTTCGGCGCCGATGTGGGTCTGACCAACAGCCAGGGCTGCACGCCTCTGATCCTGGCCGCCATGCGTGGCCACTGTGACGTAGTGCGTCCGCTGGTAGCCGCGGGCAGTAGCCTCGGTCAACTGGACATCACGCAGCGCTGTGCCCTGGTCCATGCCGCTCGAATGGGTCATCTCAGTGTGGTCAAGTACTTGCTGGCCTGCGACTGGTCGCCGCGTCCGCACTCCCAGGACGTCACCAGATCGGTGGCTTTGCAACAGGCTCTAATTGGAGCAGCCGCGCAGGCACACTGCAAGATCCTGGAGGATCTACTGGATCTCAATGAGACCGAGTTCGATCTGGACGTTAATGGCATGGAGCCGAGCAGTGGGGAACTGGCGCTGACCGCCGCCGCCCGTCACGGATGCGTCGATGTGGTGGGCATCCTGCTCTCTCGCGGCGCCCAGATCGATGCCAGGAACCGCCAGGGATACTCCGCCCTCTGGCTGGCCGTCAAGGAGGGCCACTGGAGCGTGGTGGAGCACCTGCTGCAGCGTGGTGCTCTGCTGGACGAACCGCTGGGAGAGACGCGCAAGACGCCGCTGATGATCGCGGCGGAGGAGGGTCACCTGGAGCTGGTGGACCTGCTGCTGGCACGGGGATCGGCCCGGGAGGCCCAGGATCACGAGGGATTCACGGCCCTCAGCTGGGCCTGTTTGCGAGGACACTTGGCGGCGGCCAAGACCCTCATAGAGCATGGCTGCAACCGCCATCACGAGGATCACAACGGACGTACTGTCCTGGATCTGGCCGCATATCAGGGAGCCGCCAGTCTGGTGCTCTACATCCTCGAGCAGGGCGGCAACCTGGAACACATCGATGTACATGGAATGAGGCCGCTGGATCGCGCGATTGCCTGCCGAAATATCCAGGCCGTGCAGGTGTTCCTGCGCAAGGGCGCCAAGCTAGGACCCACCACGTGGAGCATGGCCATGGGCAAGCCGGAGATCCTGGTGGTGCTGCTCAACAAACTGCTGGAGGACGGCAATGTGCTGTACCGCAAGAACCGTTTCCAGGAGGCCGCCCATCGGTACCAGTACGCCCTGCGCAAGATCTCCGGACTGGAGCAGTTGCTCGAGAGGAATGCCATCTTCGCCCAGCTGCGGACCAATCTGCTGCTGAATCTGTCGCGCTGCAAGCGAAAACTGAATGTGAGTAGCAGGAAAAAAAAAAATTAAATTGATTCCTAATTAGCCATTTCTCTACTTTTCAGGAACTTGACGCCTCCATAGATTTGGCCACGCAGGCGATTGCCCAGAAGCCGCACAGCTACGAAGGATACTACGCCAGGGCAAAGGCGCGCATGGAGCAGGGAGCTCTGAATGAGGCGCTGGTGGACGCCAATGAGGCGATGCAGCAGGCCGCCCAGAGCGGAGTCCTTTGCGAAGTGGTCGAGGTGCTGAAGCGCATCCAGACCGAGCTGCTCACCCGGATCACCATCAGCAGCGAGGATCAGTCCGGCAGGATGTTAAATATTGGCGGCGTGGGCATCCGCCGTTTACGAATCTCACCACGAGATCACCGATTTGTAAATGTCGATTGTTGTGTAGTGTTGTACTCGTCGTATCCCCTTTGAATTAATCGCTATTCTTACTTAAGAGCTACCATAGACCTTACTCATTGCTATTTATTGCCTTCGAATGTTTTTTATTTAAACAAGCTGAAACTATTTTTGTAATTTCTTTTAATTTTGTCTTTTTAATTTTGTCTACGCATGTAAAAATTAGTTTTATTCGCCGGTTTAACATTGGCATCAGTTCTTATAGATAACAAATATCAAATAAATGCGCATTTTTTAAGATTGAATAAAAAACTTAAAAAAAAAATTGTTTTACTTTTACAATTTGGTGCAGCCTTTTGGGGATATGCATTGGGCTATTTTCTTGAAATATGTTTTCTAAATTTAGGGTGCATAGTTTTAAGCTTGATTTTATTAGCCTTATGTTCAACATACAATTTTAACGAGCACAGACAAAACAGATTATAATACAACTTTTTTAATTCAAGAACAAGTATATAAAACTGTAATTAAAAACAATATTTTAAACAATTATGTAAGCCTTACGTAGATATATATATGTACAATGTAAACTTAATATATTTGAGGGAAAATAACACAGGAATGGAATAGTTGGACATGAAATGTGGTCGAGATAAATACTAAAGCAATAGGAATTTAAGAGAGCTTCATACTAAAGCAATAGGAATTTAAGAGAGCTTCATATGCCAAAAAGAATTTCTTATAGAATTTTAATGAACTAGTGTTAGGCAATGCAGGTGAACTTGCCATAAATAAGATTTTGTGCCGCAAGTACATATAAATTTAACAATATCCTGACTTGCTCTAATATGAGCTTTCTGATTTTTAAGTAGTTTTTCCATTAAGTTTACTCAGTTCAGTTGGTTCTCCGGCATCGCAATGTACCAGACGCGACTCGACAAGCGGAACTGAGATCTGCAAATGCAGAACATAATCGGGAGCTGGAAAAACAAAATTTCAATTACAGAACGAGTTAAGAATCGGAATTAATTGAGATGGAGGGTGCTAGATGTGGCATTGTTGTTTTGGAAGTAATCAAACAGAGGAGCAAGCTGCAAATGAAAGCGAAGGAAATGATAAGCGTGAATTTTTTGTGCAGTATGAAAGATCAGTGAGGGGAATCCATCAAAACTGGGCTCACTTTGTTCTAAAAGGAATTCCAAGTCATCGGGGCACTCTATCGTTGGAAAATCAAAGTTGGTCGACTCCTTCAGGATTACACCAATGTCCTTGTGGGCACTCATTAAGAACAAGGGCACATTCGCCTTAGCGAGTTCCTTTTGCAACGATCCCATGCCTCGAGCTGCCGTGAAATCGAAATCTAAAAGTACAAGAACATTTTTAAAAATCTAGATTAAGAACCCAATTATAAAACATACCGTGCACATGAGCACAATCCAGGACAACAGGAGCGGTTCCGTGCGTGGTGAGAGCTTTGGAGATTCCTGAGCGAACCCACTCAATGGCCGGAAAGTACAGCGAACTGTGTTTTGGACGTATCAGTATGTAGTTGATGCCGTTACAGGTCTGAAGTTTGGAGACACTCAGATCGGGACGGGCGGCCCGGTAAACCAGGAAGGCCACATCGGCACTCACGCCCAGCAAGAGGCCGATTTCGACCCCCACTCCCAGGCTCATTACGAAGGTAATGGCACCCGGGAGCAGTTCTCGCCGGCTGCAGCGCCACAGCGGCTTGATGACCTCGAACTCAATCATGAATATCACTGCCGAAATAATGACCGCACTGAGGGCAGCTTTTGGGATGTACTGGAAATAGGGTGCCAGCAGTCCCAGCGCTAGCAGAACTAGTACGCTCGTGTAGCAGCCGCCAAGGGGAGTCCTTACTCCACTCGCGTGGTTAACAGCACTGCGCGAGAAGGATCCTGTCACCGGCATGGAACTGCAAAAAGCCCCACAAATGTTGCTCATCGAAAGAGCAACCAGTTCTCGCGTAGGACTCAGTCCGGATCCTCCGAAGGCCTTCGAAATGGCCACGTTGCCCAGCACAGCAATTATGGGCAGTATAAGCATGGAAGGACCCAATTCCGAGACCTGAAATGGAGAGAAATTGGTTTAATCTTATAAAAAAACGAGGACGGAAGCTAACTTCGGCAAGCCGAAGTTTTAATACCCTTGCAGACTTTGCCGAAATTGCTAAAACTGAAAAAGTAGCCAAAGGAATAAGGTATACATAAATAAACTAGATTTTCATCGTTTAATGTCAATTGCTTTTATACTGCAAAAATGTCATATAAAAATAGAAAAAAGGGATACTTTCGCAGCCTTTAACTATTTTTCCTACGGAAGCTATAAGAAATAGACGTCCGATCGGCAAGCGCTTTTACCCTAATCAAGATATGCGTAAATAAATAAGACTTGGAAAAATTTATGTCAGTAGCTTACACACTACGCGAAAAATTCAGAAAATCATCAAATTTGGACCGATTTCACCCTGTTGTTCCTATGGGAGCTGTAGGATATAGACGTCCGATCGTCACGTGCTTTTATCATAATCAAGGTATGCATAAAAAATACGATTTGGAAAGATTCATGTCAATTGCTTATATACTGTGCGAAATATCCTAAAAATCATTAAATTTTAACCGATTTCACCCTATTGTTCCTATGGGAGCTATAGGATATAGACGTCCGATCGCCAAGCGCTTTACCCTGATCAAGGTATGCATAAAAAATAAGATTTGGAAAGATTTATGTTAATAGCTTTTACACTGCACAAAATATCTTCCATTCTTGAAAGTTATATCCGATTGTTCCTATGGGAGCTATAGGATATAGACGTCCGATCAGCACGCGCTTTCACCTTGATGAAGGAATGTATAAAAATACGATTTGAAAAATTTATAGCAATAGCTTTTACACAGCGCGAAATATTCTGAAAAACATAAAATTTGGACCGATTTTACCCTATTTTTCCTATGGAGCTATAGGATATAGACGTCCGATTGACACGCGCTTTTACCCTGATCAAGGTATGCATAAAAAAACGATTTGGAAAAATTCATGTCAATAGCTTTACACTGCGCAAATATCACAATTTTGCTAGATATATCCGATTGTTCCTATGGGAGCTATAGGATATAGACGTCCGATCGGGGCGATTTTCAAACTGATCTGCGTACACATGTTTTAGGACGCGTGTGAAAGTTTCAGATCGCTAGCTTTTAAACTGAGCTCACAAACGGTATTGAAACAGACGGACAGACGGACAGACGGACAGACGGACAGACGGACATGGCTATATCGACTCCCCTATTGATCCTGATCAAGAATATATATACTTTATGGGGTCGGAAACGTCTCCTTCACTGCGTTACAAACTTCTGACCAAAATTATAATACCCTCTGCAAGGGTATAAACACAGCTGTTTCATAAATTTATTCTAAAGCAACAAGGTTGCGCTAAAAACAAAACTTTATCAGCATTAACTTTCTTGTTTTCTCGGATATACTTAAACTTTGTAAGAATAATATACTAATTTAAACTAAGTGCAAACGGGTATAATTAATTGTGCATAAAACATTTTAATTTATTTGCATACCCAAAAAAAAAAAAGTACAATTTAAAACCAGAAATACTACGAATATATATCTTAAGCCATCCCAAAAAAGCCAAAAAAAATACAAGTATTCCATACTAAGTTAAGTAGATTGTAGATCATGATTTTTTCACTTACCATCTGCTGAAAGTTCTGCCTGATCTCGGTGCCATTCCTGTCTAGAATGGTAGTCTCGAGTTTAGGTAGCGAGACGTTGGGCAGACCGCTCTTCACCTTTCCGGTGAGAATGTAAGGACAGGTCTCCATTTGCTCGCACGTGCTGTAGGCCAGCACACTGGTGACCAGCACTACCAGAGCATTCCGACCGGTGGCGATCACCCAGATGCTACCGCTTATCAGCTGCTGCGTCCGCAAACTCCGTATTCTTCCGTCCAGCTTCACGTCTTTGAGTTTCTAATGGGATTGCAAATTAATTTCGGGCATTCCTTAATTAATGAGATTTCTTACCCGCAGCAGCAACAGAACAATGATGGACACCAATCCTAGCGAGAAATCGCCTTTTCGCACCTCATGTAGGTTTCCGAATACCGAGCGCATGGTGTTGATGAAATCAGAGCCAGATCCTCCTCTTAGGCCCAGTAAACCTTTAAGCTGCGAGGTGCCAATGATTACGGCGGTGGCGGATGTAAATCCCACAGTGACAGGCAGTGATATTAGGTCCACCAGGGCGCCCAGCTTCAACACTGCCATCCCCAGCTCCACTATGCCAGAGATGAGGCACAGCAGGATCGCGTAGGCAGGACCCGATCCTAAACCGAAGCCCGTGTGCCGGCTGGTCATCAGTGCTAGCAGTGCCGTTGGTCCAATCGTCACCTGCCGGCAACTGCCCAGCATTGCGTAAACGATGCCGCCCACAAACGCGGAGTACAGGCCATACTGTGGTTGCAGCCCAGCTAATGTCGCATAAGCCAATCCTTGGGGCAACACCGTGAGTCCCACCGTCACTCCGGCTATCAGATCCGCCACTGCATCCTGGCCCGTGTAGCCGTGCAGCCACTTCAGACCCGGCAGCAGGCGATATGCCCAATCCCTGAGGGTCATGTCAGATTTGTCTGTGGATGGATCACAAGAAAATAATTTATAATTTTATTCTGGTAAACATTTTAAAAGTAGTACTAATAATATTTTGTAGGTACAGAACTATTGCTCAATAAAATAAATTTAAATCGAATCCGAAATCAAAAGCCAACATTTTAGTGCAGAATTTTAGAATTGCAGAGTTTTAACAAGGCTTTTTTTATTCGTTTTTAACTATAAAGCAATCGTTAAAAAAGATAAATAAATAACTTAAAGGCAATTTGAAATATTACTACAGCCGAAATCATTAGACTTCACAAACTTTTGAATCTCGGGATTTTCGCAGGTTCGACGACTTGCTTTGCATAATTATACATTTGATTGTGAGACGTCTGCGTGACAGACAAGCCAAAAGAAAAAGAGACGTTAAGAAATGTTATTACCAAAAAGCAAGTCATAAATAAGCCCCTTTAAAAGCCAAACCAATAGAAGAAATACGAGTTTATGGTAAATAAACCAGAATAGAAACGAACCCTTGATGATTACAAATGGCTCATTGTACAAAATAGATTGTGTTAATAAATCGAAGTTATCAACAAACTGGTTTTTTAATTTCGTTAAACCGAAATTGAACAAATTAAATTATAATTAAAATTTGTATACACCTTTCAAAAATTATACTTGAAAGTTGACTTAATAAAAATAACAACTTCGTAACAGTAGATTAGGTACCAATCGCATTTAAAAGGATATTTTCATTTTAATTTTTAGTGCTTTGTTCATTTAAAATTGGATATTTGACTAGCTGTTCAGGGCGAGACAAAACGAAATAACACAACACACAATTTCAAGGCATTTAAGGCCAATTTCACACAGCAACAACACAGTCAAGAATGTCTATTATCTAAACGCAATTCACTTCGTTGAGAACTCACGTATCTATTTAAACAAATGTTTTAATGGTGTTGTCTGTACGAAGGGCACGTTCTTTTCCAAATGCCCGACTTTATGATTCTTATTTCACCGAAAACGAGTGGAGCTCTGGAGCAGGTCAAATCGGTTAGGGAGCTGGCCAAAGACTGAAGAATATTTGATCAGTGATCACACGACTGCCTCAATTAGCTCAACAAGTGATGGAGTCTAAAGTATTGGTTCGGTGCGCCTAAAACGTGATCAAATTTCTCGATCGATAAAGGCAAATACAAACACGAGATATGGGCACGTAAATTAAATTTTACATTGCTTTGCTGACGATTTGTTTACAATTTAAAGACAATAATGATGCGTGATTAATTTGTTTGTTATGCCATTCGTTTTTTAACTTTAACAAAATAGTATCAAATCATTTTATGAAAGGAGTATTTACGTAAACTACTGTTTATATAGTATTCAAATATAGTACAAGGCTTAACAGTGATTATATAGAAAATAAACTTTCAATTGAATTTACAAATATAGTTTGTGTCATAATTATTTAGCTCTAAAGAATAAAAGTCAGTCAATTTATCACAATTTACTGTGGTTAAACGGCGTAGAATCAATTTGAGTTTGCAGTCCTGAATGAATTGCATTTTATACAATTAGTTCCGCCAAATAATGATGTGATTTGAACAATGAAAACAATTTAACTGCGTTTATTGAAACAAGAAAGGAAAGCTAACTTCGGGCGGAGCCGAAGTTGAAATACCCTTGCAGAATATTCTGCAAATTATATTCTCCAAAATTATTCATATGATGCATTCTTAATACTCATAAAAAATCCAAACTTCCTAGCTTTAAAAACACCAAAGTTATGGCATTTCCAATCGTTCAGTTATGTATATGGCAGCTATAGAATATAGTCGGCCGATCCTTATGAAATTTGATATGTCGGATTGATTGGGCAAAATAAAACCCATAGAAAACCCAACTTCCTAACTTAACAAACACTAAAGTTATGGCATTTCCGATCAATCAGTTATATGGCAGCTATAAGATATAGTCGTCCGATCCTTATGAAATTTAATAGGTCGGATTAATTGGTCAAATATAAAACCCATAGAAAATCCCAGCTTCCCAACTTACAAACACCAAAGTTAGGCATTTCCGATCAATCAGTTATATAGCAGCTATAGGATATAGTCGGCCGATCCTTATGAAATTTGGTACGTCGGATTGATTGGCCAAATATAATACCCATAGAGAGTCCCAACTTCCTAACTTTACAAACAGCAGAGTTATGGCATTTCCGATCAATCAGTTATATGGCAGCTATAGGATATAGTCGGCCGATCCCGGCCGTTCCGACTTATATACTGCGTGCAAAGGAAAGAAGGGGGTGTGCAAAGTTTCAATTCGATATCTTTAAAACTGAGAGACTAGTTCGCGTAGAAACAGACAGACGGACAGACAGACGGACAGACGGACATGGCTATATCAACTCAGGAGGTGATCCTGATCAAGAATATATATACTTTATAGGGTCGGAGATGTCTCCTTCACTGCGTTGCACACTTTTGACCAAAATTATAATACCCTCTGCAAGGGTATAAAAATTGAGAGAATGAATTTTATAAAAGGGATATTAAATGGAGAGATCACATTAGAAAATCTTCTCTTCAATGAGAGCAGTGTGGGATAATAAACCGAGTACAAAGGATATCGCCTTATACGTAGACAAATATGTAGCCAAGTTTTAACTTGGAGTTTCGTCTTTCATTGAAATAAAAAAATCATATTGGCCTTGGAAGTTCTCGAAGTCAATACGTAAGAAAAGACCTTATCAACATGTGAACGTTAAGGTCAAGTGCCCTTATCAGCAATTTGTAACCGAAATTAATAAAGCATAATAACGCGAAAAAACGTGCAGATGTAAAGCGCAAAAGTTTAATAACCCTTTGAAGAAACTGCTGAAATCTGTTCTTTTCCGGTCATGGAACCAATACAATTGGAGAGATCACTAACATATAAACATACAGATATACATATGTACATAATTGCCGATTGTTGACAGACGGCGTGATGGAATTCTGCACTTTTTGCTTTCTTTTCACGCAGGCATACCTTAAAAAACTAGTTTTCATAATGCTGTCAATTGTAGTAGTGTAGTTAGTGTCAACAAAGTGAAAAAAAGAAAAAACAGGGGGTCCAATTGTTTAGTTTTGGTTGTTTATTTATAACGCGAGCTAGATTTCGAAGAATTTGCAACAAATGGGTTAAGGGTAAAGAAAGTGGCACAACGACAAAAACACAAACAACAGACTATGCTCCCGTGGTTGCTTGTTTTCTTCAAACTCTTAACACATTTAATAGCTTATATCATTTAATACTTAAGTTAAAAATAGTAACGGAAGCACTTTTACCGGTGAAATTGAAATAAATGCAAATAAATTTGTTTTTTTTCTAGAGCTGAAACCATAGTCGATTTTTCTTTCGATACTATCGAGGTTTTTTCAATTGTTTCCACCAAACAGCTGCAAGTCTAGGGTTGACAGAAATTAAATTCACAGCGCTGGCGCCCTCTAGGTGGATGTTGAAGTGAACTAATTACGCATTTTAGAGCACTGTAACTGTTGAAACGATAATATATTTTATTTAACAATTTATTACAGCTAATATCACACTTCATGTATTTTTTAAAATTTATCTTTTTATACACACATACATTTGTAAATAACTCAAAATTCAAAACATTTGCCCCCAAAATAGTGGCCAAACTATCGATATTCATGTACTCTGACGTTTTCCAGCACTAGAATTGAAAGACGAGCAATTTTTTTTATTATGGCACTTGCGCGGCTAGCAAACAATATTCGCTGATTAATATCTGTTGGAATTCGCTGCCAAACGTCGAGGACTCTTCAAGTTAAAGTTCCTGCATAACAGGACTGCCGCAAAGGAAGCGGAGTGCCGGAGTCCAGTCATTTATTCCCCCGCCGCCTTCTCCACCACCACAAAACGAGGAGACGCCGATCGAAACATAAAATTTGTGCAAATAGCTAAAATCCACACAGTCCGCCATCGAATATTATGAAATGGGTAAGCTGCGAGGGAAAATGAGTGGGTGTACGGATTTTCCGACCAATGGGCCCATTTCCATGGCCTTGATTTCCATGGCAAAAAACTGCAGTATGCAAATGCATCTACAATGCCGCATCATGTGCGTGTGTATGCGTGTGGTCGCGGTGTGTGTATGTGTGTGCAGTTTTCTTATGGCGTTCTAACTGTTTTTCTTTCGGGTGCTTCAATTCCGCAAACAATTTAACAGATTTTATAAAATTTTCACGGTTACCTTTTAGTGAAAGCCTTCATTGTATTCCCGATTTCAAACGCCTTGAAATTGTCACTGACACTTGATGTTGATTAAAAAGTAAGGAAACCATCGGCTTGCTGCGATATGACGCCTAAAGCGGGGCAAATTTTGAAATTCTTATAAATAACTTGATTTTCGAATATCAAATATAATAGGGGTTTTTATCTATTTGTCCGTATACACACCGAAACCATTGGAGCTACAATATGAATGCTTTCCTAAATAACAAATTTAAAGCGTACAACGATCACAAGATTTTAACTATTCTAAAAGAAGGCCGGCACACTCGACAATAATTTTAAAAAACCTTTTTTTCCGAGACTCGTCAACACTACTATAGCTTTTAGTCATGGTTCCCAGTATGCTAAAAAAAACCTAGTTTTTATTATCTTAAAACGTTATTTGTTGAGCGATATTATTCCCACTTCAACAGATTTCTGTCAATCTTACTAAAAACCCGATGTTACCACAATAAAATAGTCCTGAAGGGTAGTACGAATTTGAAAAGAAAATTCTTTTATTTAAAACAGATATAATATTGTGTTTGTGTATTGTCACGACAGTGCTACATTTCCAAAGTGAGCTTTTTGATTAAGGGCTTCAAACATGTCGAATAATGAGTAAATTACCACAGCAGTTCCATAAAATAAACTATGCCTAATGCTGTCTATTTTCAGCATCAGCTTCAAATGTCTTGTCTTGTGTTATCTGAAAGTGTGTTAACGTATGCGATACGATTTAGGTATAATAGAGTCCTGTAAAGGCTGAGTTCAATTGTATATTCATATTCCAAATCCCCTGCATTTGATCAAGAGCATTGCCTCAGACCAAAAAGTAATACCATTTACCCAAGAGGAACTTGTTGCTTGAGGCTTGGTTGTAGGTCAGTGCGAAGAGGTGGCTGATCCGGCGGCAAAGAGTGCGCAACAGGCGACGACCGGCGACGATGTAAGTAGCGCCCATCGTAATCCCCATCACTCCAGTAACCACCTCCAAGCAAATTTCCAAAATCGATTCTTTCACGTTCCTTTGTTTCGTTATTGTTATTATTTTCTTCTTTCGTATCAGCAGCAAAATTTCAGCACTTCTAACAGCGATATTGGCCAAACCTCGATTACAAACTCTTGTTTAGTTACGCTAACGTGTATAACCAATTGGTCCATCTATTTTATTATGTTGCTAACCCCCAACCCCTCACAAAATACACAAAAACACAACAAACTTGGGTAATATTATTTGTTATTTAAGGATGGAAACTCAAAAATTGTTTTTTAAATCGGTAAACTTAATTTGATCAGTGGTAAATTGTTTGAAACGTATAAGATCAGAATAAACACTTATTCCGAAACATAATTTAAAAAATTAAAAATTTTTGAAAAAAAAATATAGCAACGTTAAACGGTTATTTATTTTTGCTCTAAAAAGTATTTGTTTTTTAATGAGTGCAAAAACTTTATTTATATCGTTTTTCAACTAATTAATTCACTATTCCTAAGAATAATTCCTTATCAGCCCAAATGGGTTTCCAAAACACACTCTCACACATAAAGAACACAGTCTACCCCCCAAAAAAGATATACATAGTTTATAATGTCGAATGACCCAGAACCAATACCTTTCACAGACAATGCCCTCGGCCATCAGTGGCGCGGCACACGGCCAAGTCCACATACCGAGCAACGAGGAGTGCGGCATCCGGGACGTGTGGAAGCATAACCTGGAGGAGGAGTTCCGCACTATCCGAAAGGTGGTGCAGAAGTACCACTATGTGGCCATGGACACAGAGTTCCCCGGCGTCGTGGCTCGACCCGTCGGCGAGTTCCGCTCCACGGCGGACTACCACTACCAGCTGCTGCGCTGCAATGTCGACCTGCTGCGGATCATCCAATTGGGTCTGACTTTCATGGACGACGAAGGAAAAACGCCGCCCGGCTACTCGACCTGGCAGTTCAACTTCAAGTTTAACCTGAGGTGAGCTGGCTCACGTAAACAATAATAGGGGGCTCAACATAATTTTTCGTATCCCTAGTGAGGACATGTATGCGCAAGACTCGATCGATCTGCTGCAGAACTCTGGTATCCAGTTCAAGAAGCACGAGGAAGACGGTATTGACCCCATTGAGTTCGCCGAGCTGCTGATGAGCTCCGGCATCGTGCTGGTAGACAACATCAAGTGGCTGTGCTTCCACTCGGGTTACGACTTTGGCTACCTTTTGAAGCTGCTCACCGATCAGAACCTGCCCGCGGATGAGGGCGACTTTTTTGAGCTGCTGCACATCTACTTTCCCAACATCTTCGACATCAAATATCTTATGAAGTCCTGCAAGAACTTAAAGGGCGGCCTGCAGGAGGTGGCCGACCAGCTGGAACTGCGGCGCGTTGGCCCCCAGCATCAGGCCGGTTCCGATGCCTTGCTTACGGGCATGGCCTTCTTCAAAATGCGTGAGGTACAGCACACAAATGATTTGCACTTTGACATAGAAGCGCCCGTTGTACTCTTTTCCTACCTGCTTGAGCACACCATGAACATGAAGCCGTCGGTCAGCCGGATCGGCCTGCTGAGCCGTCCGGCCTACATCGGGGGAATACCCCCCGATGACTCTGCGATGATCAGCAGTGGCAACGGCACCGGCAACAGTTCCGGCAACAGCAGCTCCTGCGACCCGCTCACCTCGAGCTCCTATGTGGTCACTCCTCCCGCCACTCCCGGTTCTCCGGAGCGTGATGGCTCATCGCTAACTCACTTGCTTCTCGTCTACTCCGATTCGCTGAGCAAGACAAACTCGGATTATTAGATAGTTGTGTTGTTGCCCTGCCCTTGCCACTACTAACGTATCTTGCCTCCGCCCATCATCATCATCATCATCCATTAGGCTTAAGGTTCATGGTTGTCACAACTCTCCCATTTTCATACATAGTTGACATATGTACTTAGTTATTTATATCATGCAACACCTGCAGTGCCAGTGAGCCGCAATTTATGAATGAAATCCATAATTTGAAGTGTTTTGAGTTAGTTAAAAACTGTTAAAACCATGTGAAACATGTCTATTAGCTTTAAAGCTCGCGATACGAAGAAAAATAAGAGACTTGCTGGATTTTAGTGGAAAATTAAATGAATTGGAATTAATTTTCTTTTTAAATTTTTATTTATATTATTTGGTGTCTGGGCATTGCATACGAATCTAATTTCACTCAATTATAATTTAAATGGCATGGCTTTGTGTGATTTGCCTTGAAGTCGATATTTACTTCTTTACTTTAGTTTTAAGTTTAACGAAAACATTTTGATTTGTCAAACGAATTAACCTGATATTTTTTGCAATTTTAAGCGCTTTGCTGACACGAATTTTCACACAGTTTACTGTGTTTATCAGCGTAGCAAGCGATTTAACTTGTAGAGAACTGTCAAATAGTTCTGAAATAAGAAGAAAATTTGCAGAATAAGCTCACCCTCATACTAACGACCTAAAATAAGAGAATTAATAATATAAAACCTCCATCTAACAACATCGGTAAACGGTATGTAACTTAATCTATTTATAAGTAAGACTCCCCGATCTGATTGGGGTTTCTATAAAGAATTGCTGCTGTATAGATTTATGTGCTTTTAACGCTTTATAACTGACCTAGATCGCTTAGCTCATCGGAACGATTCATACCTTTCCATTTTCAGCCACTGCTTTGTTCTGTCCCATCCCAAACACGAAAGTTATATGCCCGCCTAATGAAACCTTAAACCCTTTTCAGATGTTCTTCGAGGACAACATCGACCATGCTAAGTACTCCGGACACCTATACGGCCTGGGCACCTCGTTCATCGTCAACGGCACCAACTTCCACGAGAGCAACGGCGAGACGAACAGCGCCTCATGATTCGTGCTAATGGGTAACGTGGTCGTGCACGACCGGAAGGTAGAGCAGGAGGGCTCTGCAGCGGGTCCGCCGGCATCTGTGCAGGCCACACCACCTGGCCAACCAGTCCTCGCCGCCGCCACCACACCTTTGCAATAATCTGCCAGCAGTCACTGAACGTTCCCATTTATACAACATTTACCCCGTTAGCCATATAGCTACTCTCTTGATGTTCCCACGCAAGTTCAGAAAAAAACACAACCGTAAAATACAAATAATGGCATACAACTAATTGTAAATCGCTTAATTATGAGAGAACCCAGCAAAACTATAATAGATTCAATTTCAAATTCTGCATGTCTTAAATGTGTTACGAATACAAAACTAAGGTAAATAAGCTAATATTGTAAGCCAAAGGGCAAAATAGAATATTGTGTACTTGTAAAAAAAAAACAACAGAACAATATATTTAAAACTTTTTAATTTAGTGTATATTCAAAATGTGTTTTGGTTTTATATTAAAAAGGATATTATGTCTTTAAAGGACAGCTCTTGAAAACATCAAAAATTATTTAAGAAGTCGCATATGCGCAAATTTTGATTTTAAAACATCCTATTTTTAAAAGACTTCTTTGAGAATTAAGCTTTTCTTTACTCGGTGCTAGGGGATTAAATGCACACCAAATTTAAAAATGCCAGGATTTAAGCATTGCCAGAATCTACCGTTAAAAAGCTATCGATCAATATCGAAACTAAGGCCCCGATAGCGTTGTACAAGCACAAATTTTCAATATATCGATACTATCGTGAGGGGTTAGCCCCTGGTCCTTTAGTTTGTTTTGTTTATTGGAAATATCCTATGACTTTAGAGTCTAAAGCGCATTCCGATGGCATCCGTTGCTGAGTGCAACTACAGCGTCTTCGACCAGGTGACCCATCTGGCCACTCTGTTGGCGTCGGAGGAGCAGGCCCCCAATCGACCCACAGCTGCGTTGGTGGCCAGAAGGCGCTCCAAAATATATGAAGGTCTGCTGCGCAGTGGGCCGATGTCCTCCGAGGACAAGCTGGAGATGCTCAGCCAGGTGAGCAGTGAGGTGGCGAAGAACCCCAAACGGAGGGACAGCCTGCACAGCTTCCGCAATCTTCTGGCAGAACAGGATTCAGCAGATTCCCACGAAACGGAGAAGGATACAGAAAATCACCCTGAAACTGGGAAAAGTGTGCACAGGGTGCTGGCAGGGCAGCATACAGACAGTCCCCACGAAATGGAGGCAAATGCCGAGAATCACTGCGAACCTGGGATCAGGCTGCTAAAACCAGGAGTACTGAAACTACATGAAACGCCGGACCGTCTACCCAGGGAGCTAGTGTATCCGAAGACGCTGAAATCTCTGACTCAGATGCAGCGCGCCTTAAAGCCTCTCCAGCTGCAGCCCTACTCCGATATTTTCCTGACTAACATGAAGGCCCCTCTCCCGGAGATGCCACTCCTCAGGATCAATCCATCCCAGTGTAACTACTCCGGCTTAGCAGAGTCCATGACGCGCATGAAGGAATCCAGCGAACAACCAATGCAACCACCTCCCCGACTGCCAGTCTTGGAAAAGAAGAGCCCTCCTGCCCCGGAGGAACCCCCATTTGTGGCTCAAGATGGACCGCAGAAGTACTTTGTTTCGGAGCAAATGATGACGAACGAATTAAGGCTCTATCAAAACAAGGAACTGGTTCTCTTTTATATTGGCGAAGCTGCCCTCATAGATCACCTAAAGAAAGCAGCCGCAGGTCTTCAGTCGGAGACGTTCCTGAGTTCGTCGGACGATCAGCTGGTGTTGGTACTCAGGCCCAACACCACATTGCGCACTGTGCTGCCCGAGATATTGGAAGATTTTTCAGATCCCTTCCTGCGCGCCGGAAGCGCCTTTCGGCGTTTGAGTGCCCGTGCCAAGTGGAATCGGAATACCATGGCGCGTCTGGAAAGACCGCTTAATCGGGTGAGTCCTTATCGCTCATCTCTTCAAGAATTATTTCTCAATCTATGATTTAATGCAGGCCATGCGAGAGATCCTTGTGGATTTTTTAGCCAACAACCGGGAGTTTCTGCTTTCCCAATCCGCGAATAATCTCTCCCAGCTTTTAATCAACTGCCGCCCTGCCTTGCAGCTGCTCCATCAGCTGGAGAAAATGTTCCAGAATGAGCCAAAATGTAAGAATCCCATATCGCTAAATTGACATGTATTTTACTAACTTAATTTGATTGTTTAGTAAACTTGGACTCTGGGGTATCTGGCCCCTTCCTTCTGAGCTGCATTTCGCTGGCCATCGACACCTGCGGCAATAGTGACTTCCTGCAGCTTCTTATATATTTGCTACGGTGCATATCCCAAACTTACTTCGTTCAGCTCCAAAGATGGATTTATCAGGGAGAGCTAGACGAGGCTGTCAACGAGATTTTCATCAGCCGCACCCCGAACACTTCGCCTCCCCTAATGAACGAGTGCAGCAAAGAGTTCTTCGATAGAGGCTATCAGGTGGTCAACGAGGCGATTCCGGAATTTTTGTCTGGATGTGAGCTGGACGTTCTCCAGTGCGGGAAGTACAATCAGGTGCTTAAGGCTTATGATGCTCAGGTTTGTTAAGGATTATAAATCAAATGAATCGATTCATCACATCCTTTCTTAACCTAGCATGCCGTCTTTGATGTAAAGTATCCTGATATAGTGGTCTGTCTAACGGAGCAACAGCTTAAAGAGATGCGTCGAAACTTGGTCGACGAGTATGCCGTCATCTACCAACGCTTTGGGTGGTGCAGCATGCAGAGCATCTTCGAGGAGCGCATGGCCGCCAAACGTAGCTTCGCAAATCTCATGATGAAGCGCACGCAGGCACATCTGATCGCTTGGGAGGCCGAACAGCGCGAGCTCCTGTTAAAGGCGAATGCCCAGAAGAAGATTATATATGATCAAATCAGCGCGGAACAGGAACTTCACCAGCAAAGCCGCCTGGAGAAGAGGCGCCAGGAGATTATCAATGAGTTGGCTTTTCTGCGGGAGAGCGAAAGAGTGGAGGACAAACGCCTGGAGCGAGAAAAGCACGAGTTGCAAAAGCAAGTGTCGCAGCTAGCTGCCGAACTGATTGAGAAAGAACAGATTGAGTCAAAGGCAGTGACCAGTCCAGACCAGAGCACAAACAGCGATCTTAGTTTTGCATCGTGTATCGAAGGACCAGATTCTCGACCAGACTCGGCCTCAGACCAAGATGATGAGAAAACACAGAAGGCAGCAAATGAGTTGGAAAAGCCTTCTGCTGTAGAATCGGACCGTTCTAAAGAAGTAGAATCGCAAAAACCTTCAGAGTTGGTACTAGAAAATTGCGCAGTCATAGAATCAGAGCAACCGGTTGAATCTCAACTTTTGTTTCCCAATGTGGTTCAGTTTCAGCGGAGCCACTCGGATGAGATTAATTGCAACCAGCAGGTACCTTCTCAAACAGAGTACGATCGCAATCGACAGCATGTTCTTTCCTCGGATCAATTTCAGGAGTGTCATACAAGGATTCATATTTCAAAGTCGGACTCAGCCGAAACCAACACGAGTTCGGGATTACATGCTCAGCTTCCCCCCGACGTCAATGCCAATCTAAATCGCCCGGAAACAGAGGAGCTAAGCGAACTGCAGCGGAATCGGCTGCGGAATGAGCACCACGATGTATTTTCCAATTTCAACTGCACCGAAGATGAGCACATCCAGCGGTTGCGTTGTCGAATGGATGCAAATACGGAACTTGCTCGGAATCGGCGAAGGGTGTTGGGCTGCGAGTTCGGTATAACCTTAGGCGATAAAGATTTAGAAGAAAATGCTTTGCCTTGCAGCCAAATGGAGGCCAATACGGAACGTGCCATGAATCGACGTCGTGTGATGGAAAGCGAGTTTGGTATTACCCTACGTGAAGAAAAGGCCTTACCTCTCCTGCCTCTAGAACTTAACAAGCTGCACGTGGAAGTACCTTTGGCGGTGCTTACGCCCATGTCCACCACTTCCGATGTGGATATTTTTGGGTTGTCACCCAAAGAAATAGTTGACAACGATGCCGCTAATAACAACAATTTAAGTCAGAGCAGTGAAGGGTCTTTTTTGGAGCCAGCAGAGCCTGAACCCGTACTTGTTAAGCCAACTAAGACATTTTCGGAATTCTTTAAACCAAATTTCCATCTACCCACATACTTTGGGATGGAAAGGAATGTGGAGACGGAAAAGGATACCCAAAAAGCGGTTATCACTGTGCCGGAGGCCTACAATCCATTTATGACCCGTCGTTGCCTGCAGCTTTCTGTGATGGCTCCCGTAAACGCGCACTATGCCCTGCTTAGAAATGAAGTGCTCAGGATCTTTCAGGAGTTGCGTATTTACGAGCATTTCCGTAAGCTCAGAAACTACTTTTTTTTATTGGACGGCCAGTTTGGAACTTTACTAACAAGTGATATCCTGGGAAGAATAAAAGCGGGCATCGATCCACGAAGCCTGTGCCAAAAGGGCATCCTCGACACTATGTTAACCCATGCCTTGGCTGGCTGCTCGGCGGATGAAACCACGGTATCTCAGAATCTCACCCTACAATGCACCAATATACCGGACACGCTGAACTTCATGTCCGTGGAAGCCACTTCCATGCTTACACTTCACTGCCAGGTGGATTGGCCATTAAATCTAGTGATTAGTTCCGAAACGGTGGCTAAATATGGACAGATCTTCGGCTATCTTCTGAAGCTTCGCCATGTTAGTTTCGTTTTAGAGGGATCCTATGAATATTTGCAACAACTGGGCAAGCTGCTTGGGCCCGAACTCCGCACATGTGCACATTTTCGACACTTGCAAATGGTGCGCCACAAGTTTTCGCACTTTATGACCTCGTTCCAGACGCATCTGGTGGCCAAAGCGCTGCAGGCCACTTGGAAGAGCTTTAAAGAGGAGCTGTGCACTGTCGATTCCATCGAGGGACTGTACAAGCAGCATGCGGCCTATTTGAAACGGGTTGCTTTCTTAGCGCTCCTAAATCGACGGAGTGCAAAGGTTAAGGAAACCATTGACAATATTCTAGTTATTACACTACGCTTTTGCAAGTAAGATAAATTTATTTATTATTGTAAAGATTTTTCTTATATTTTAATCAATATTTTAGAGTCATTCAGTCGCAGTCGTTTATGATGGATCAAGAGAATAAGTTTGTGCATCCCCGCTTTAAACGCCTTCTGCAGGAGGAGGCAGAGTTCGAGAAGTTTATGCAGTATCTTATATATTTGGGCAAGAAGGCAGCCACCTCTGGTTACCAGGAGGAAATCGGTGACCTGATCTGTATTATTAATTTTAATAACTATTACAAGGTAGCTGAGGACAATTCTAGCACATAAATTCGAAACGCCTTGAAACGAAACTATAAAAGATATCGTAAAAATAATTTATTTCCCCAAAAATCTCCGCCTAATAAGATTTTATATATTATTAAAAAAAAATAAATAAGTATTAAAATATAAAAAAGCATTTTATGCTACTATTTTAATATGTGTTTAAAGAAAACTGAAAAAAATGTATAGATTGTTTGTATACCGTTGGAAAAGCTTTTGTTTTTATTCCTGTAACTAAGTCTGTATATAAGTTTTTATAAATAATTATCTTCGTCCTTATCGATGTTTAAAAAAATGCAAAGCCTTTAGGGACACACCTAGTTAATTGTTTAAATAATAAAAATTATAATAGTAAAAAAAATAGCTTACCATTAAAGTTTCGAAATGTAAATGCAGGAAATTAAAAAAAAATTGGAGTTGAATTGCATGTTTGAATGGTCAAAAATTGTGTTTTTCGTTAACAACTTGTAAAAATCATTAAAAAATCTGTACCTTAGTGTAAAAGATCGTGGATTAAAATATTTAAATAAATGCTTCGGAAAGTGTTTGTTAAAATTTGAACTGTACTAAGGTGTCTATAATGTCTTGAAATGCATGACTCGAAACAATGAATAAATGTATGTTTGTGCCTATAATTGGAAGTCCAATTTTTGTTATGTTTATATTATTTAAGAAATTACAATCCATTAAACTTAGAATTATTGAATATAATCTAATGAAAATATGTTGTGTTTATCGGTCAACTATCTTATAGCTGCCATTAAACATTAGAAAACATATTTTTAAAAGTAATCCCAGTGACGATTCAAACGACACACCATTTGCTATGAATACGATATTAAATTTAAGGGCTTATTTAAAGATTTTAAAATAATTTATTTTGTGTTGGCATTTGTTCTATGGGGTAATCAGCCGGAATAGGCTTAACTTTGTGCGCCAACGGGTTTTAAACAACTTAAGCTACAAAGATTTTAAAATTCTTATATTCTGACCTCTGTGCAGATAAACAGCTTTATTTCCTTGCCTAAGCGTTAATAGTGAGAATATTTTAAAAGCTATTTATTTAGTCAAATGCTTAATAATTTTTCGCACCAAAATTGGATATTTACATTTTTGTTTAATGAAATTTTTAGATTTGTCAAAATCAGTTTGTTTTGTGACCTGGTTCGTACTTTAATTCAAATAATTTAACCGAATTTCCAGATTTTTAAAGATTGTCTACAAAATTTGTTTAAGGGGGTCTTCTAGTCTAGAAATTTGAGAAAATCGAAAATTTTTTTTTTTCATAATTCGATAGTTGTTATATTCACAAATATCTCCTTAAAAGGATTTTTCAAAACTCAAATTATTTTCAAAGTTATAGCCGTTTTAGTGACGTGGCAACTAGACCGGTTGAGCGAACGACTGGAACTTTAAACGCGTTTTTCTCGAAACTACTTTTTTTGATGCGGTCGCCACTCTAACTCAAGTTTTAATCAGTCGATTTACTTAAAATTTGGCCTGCATATTCTTTAAATATATCGCTATCGCATGAACCAACAAAAAATAAAAATTTTAAATTTGTAATATTTTTAAAAATTCGACAAAGTGGAAAAATTAGTGAAAAAAATCGACTTTTTTCTTTGAGTAGCCGCCATTTCATGAAAAAACGAGGACGGAAGCTAACTTCGGCAAGCCGAAGTTTTAATACCCTTGCAGACTTTGCCGAAATTGCTAAAACTGAAAAAGTAGCCAAAGGAATAAGGTATACATAAATAAACTAGATTTTCATCGTTTAATGTCAATTGCTTTTATACTGCAAAAATGTCATATAAAAATAGAAAAAAGGGATACTTTCGCAGCCTTTAACTATTTTTCCTACGGAAGCTATAAGAAATAGACGTCCGATCGGCAAGCGCTTTTACCCTAATCAAGATATGCGTAAATAAATAAGACTTGGAAAAATTTATGTCAGTAGCTTACACACTACGCGAAAAATTCAGAAAATCATCAAATTTGGACCGATTTCACCCTGTTGTTCCTATGGGAGCTGTAGGATATAGACGTCCGATCGTCACGTGCTTTTATCATAATCAAGGTATGCATAAAAAATACGATTTGGAAAGATTCATGTCAATTGCTTATATACTGTGCGAAATATCCTAAAAATCATTAAATTTTAACCGATTTCACCCTATTGTTCCTATGGGAGCTATAGGATATAGACGTCCGATCGCCAAGCGCTTTTACCCTGATCAAGGTATGCATAAAAAAATAAGATTTGGAAAGATTTATGTTAATAGCTTTTACACTGCACAAAATATCTTCCATTCTTGAAAGTTATATCCGATTGTTCCTATGGGAGCTATAGGATATAGACGTCCGATCAGCACGCGCTTTCACCTTGATGAAGGAATGTATAAAAAAATACGATTTGAAAAAATTTATAGCAATAGCTTTTACACAGCGCGAAATATTCTGAAAAACATAAAATTTGGACCGATTTTACCCTATTTTTCCTATGGGAGCTATAGGATATAGACGTCCGATTGCCACGCGCTTTTACCCTGATCAAGGTATGCATAAAAAAATACGATTTGGAAAAATTCATGTCAATAGCTTTTACACTGCGCGAAATATCATCAATTTTTGCTAGATATATCCGATTGTTCCTATGGGAGCTATAGGATATAGACGTCCGATCGGGGCGATTTTCAAACTTGATCTGCGTACACATGTTTTAGGAGGCGTGTGAAAGTTTCAGATCGCTAGCTTTTAAACTGAGCTCACAAACGGTATTGAAACAGACGGACAGACGGACAGACGGACAGACGGACAGACGGACAGACGGACAGACGGACAGACGGACATGGCTATATCGACTCCCCTATTGATCCTGATCAAGAATATATATACTTTATGGGGTCGGAAACGTCTCCTTCACTGCGTTACAAACTTCTGACCAAAATTATAATACCCTCTGCAAGGGTATAAAAAGATATTTTTTTTTGGTGGTTCATGCCATAGCGACATTCGTACTCATTAAGAATCTGTCATTGTTTTATTTTTCAGATAACTACAAGCATAGATATCATGGCGACGCGGACACGGCCTCTTTTTTTTCCCTCTTCTTCAAGAAGGAATAACTCAATGAAAACTATTTTTTTTTTTTTGAAATTTATTTTATGTACTCCTTTAAGTTTAATAAACAAATGATAAAAAAAACGGATAGTAAAAATATCTATTGCTTTTTTTTTATTAATTGTTAACAAAATGTCGAAATTCGAGCCTCTAGACTAGAAGGGGGTCTTCAAATCTTAAATCAACTTGTAAAATTTCACGCATGTTAATTAAGGCTCACGTTGTCATCTTTAAGCCGCTGGTGGCATACGATAGTATCGGTATTCGCTCCATCCCTGGCCATGAGTCACTTGGTTTAGAATAATTCAGTTTTATTTTCAGTTTACAAAAACGTTGCATGCGTGTAGAATTTAAATATATTTAAGTTATTTTCTCATCGAAATATAAACATAAAATATGCAGGTGAGATTTAATCATAACAACAATAATTTCATATTATATTCGCACAACAATGGTTCTATTTCATTAAATGCGATTGTGGGTGTGTTTTGGTGCACCCAAAAATAAACTCCATATTTGGTAATGAAAATTATGAATGAAAACTCACGTGGCTTTGTTCTCCGTAGGACCCAAACGAAGACACCGAGTGGAATGATGTGCTCCGCGCCAAGGGAATTATTGGGCCCAAGGCGAAGGAGGCCGCGATCACGGAGGATCAGATCCAGAAGCTGATGGACGATGCCATCCAGCGACGCACGGATCTGCCACTAAATGAGGGGCAGCGGGACAAGAAGATAGACGACATGGACCTGGACGAGCTCGACGAACTGGAGGATTCCGAGGATGAGGCTGTTTTGGAGCAATATCGCCAGCGACGAATCGCTGAAATGCGGGCCACCGCCGAAAAAGCGCGATTCGGATCCGTGCGCGAGATCTCCGGGCAGGACTACGTCAACGAAGTCACCAAGGCCGGCGAGGGCATCTGGGTGGTCCTCCACCTGTATGCCAACGGAGTCCCACTCTGCGCCCTGATCCACCATCATATGCAGCAGCTGGCCGTCCGCTTCCCGCAGACCAAGTTCGTGCGCTCCATCGCCACCACCTGCATACCGAACTTCCCCGAGAAGAACCTGCCCACCATCTTTATCTACCACGAGGGATCGCTGCGCAAGCAGTATATCGGCCCGCTGGAGCTGCGCGGTGACAAGCTGACCGCCGAGGAGCTGGAGTTCATGCTGGGACAGGCGGGCGCAGTGCCCACTGAGATCTCGGAAGATCCGCGGCCGCAGATCAGGGACAAGATGCTGGCCGATCTGGAGGACAAGAGTGCGGACTTCTACTAGGTCCTAGTCAAATCATAATAGTCATCCCACTTTCTGTATCGTAGGCTGGGTCAATATTTTTTAGAATGAATCATAGGGCCAAACCCAACTTAATCTGGTATTTAAATCTAATGTGAAGAATACTTTAAATTTTAAAGAAAATTGAAGTTTTGTTTTTATAATATTTAATTGATTTTCATAAGCAAACTAATGTAATCACAAGCACTGTGATTTTTAACCTGAACTGTATTAAAGGTGGAATAAATTGGAGCAATAAATTAGTAGACCTAATTTAAAACCAGAGAATATACAGATTACCCTATCATTACAAATTTGTTCCTAAATCGCACATATTGACCCAGTCTACGGATTTACGGATTCCCCTTGCACGTGTTCATTTCATTGTTTTGTGGCATTTATGTACCCTCACAAATAAATCGTTTACTTTTCTACTGAAAATCACTTATTATGATTTTGCTTGGTGCTGCTGGCCGTCGCTTTTGCCACGCTCTTTGGCTTGCCCCGAAAAATGTTCGGATCGATGATGTTGTACGGATGCTCACAGGCGGGATTCAGTATCCGACCTCGTCTTTGCTCGTGCTCCTCGAGGAGATGAGGCGCCAGGAGAAGGAACAGCTGCTCCGTCCAAGACGGCAGGCCGCAGGTGGAGAAGCACAGCTCCCAATATGGCAGTCCCAAATGAGCGATGGCCATCCGAAGGTATTCACTGAATGTGTCCGCCAAAAACTGCCAGCTCAGAGTGCTCAACTCTAGCAGATAGAACTTTGGATTGTTGGAACTTGTGGATTCGTACAGCATGCACACCTGGAAAAAAATGCATCATGTGAGTCACAAAGTTTTCTAGAAATATCGACGTGCAAATGGTATTTTATAAAAACTTTATTGTTTGGTTCAACCTCTTGTCCATATTTAGTTCAATAAAGTTACTAAGAAAGTCAAAAATTTGAAAAGTTTACCATTACACCTCTTATTATTTAGTACCCACCTTAGCTACCTCGTTTACATTGTTGATTTCGAATATCTTTGATTTGGCAGTTATAATAGGGGTTGCATTGCCCCACTTGTCCTTGCCGGAGGCAACTGGAGCTGGAAGGGATTGCGAGCTAGATGCCCCCATCACATCCGAGTTGCTATTGGGCAAAGCCGTTGAATTGCTGGAGTGACTGGCTGTAGTTTCGATATTCTCCCGCAGGAGGGTCACCTGCAGCAGATGCGGGAAATGGATGTGACCCACCCTCCGGATATCGTTGGCTAAAATGAGGCAGACACAAAATATAACAGCGAAATAAGAATAGCCCACTCACGTGCATATTGGTAACTCCAGTTCAGAATGAATCCATCAGAGGATAGGTAGAACTTCTTCATATCTTCTGGGAGGTAAACGCAGTGCCTCTGCTCCCAATTTACCACCTGGCAGGCGTTCAGTGGCTGTCGACGCTCCAGGGTCACATTACACACTCTCGGCACATTGGCTGGAGGATTGGGAATCTCTTATTTAACAGGACAGGTATTTTTGGATAGTTGCACACTCACACAGGGTCCTTATAAGACCCAGGGTCAAATTTTCGTAAAACGCATCCTCCGGCGAAAGCTTCTTGTTCATCATCAAATAATTTTTGTCTCAGAAATAAATCTGTTAAATTTATACGTCAGACTGATTCTATCTATATTTATATCCAAGCTGCTAAGGTATAAACAAATTCATGTCCGAATGGTTGTTGTGGCAACGGGGCGGATGATTATTGGCATTTAAATGTGTTGTTGTTAGGGCTTTCGAGTTTTTGGAGGCATGTAGGCAATATTGCATTTTAAATTATTCACTTCCACATATCAAAATTGTACAAACCCAATAACAAAGAAGAATTATTTACAACATTCAAAATTATTTATTTACAAAGAGCATAAGGTTTGTGATAAACAAAAACTATTAACTGTGGAGCTTTGACAACAGATACACATTAAATAATCTAATTTAATGATCTTGGAAAGGAGACGAGTATTGGTCATTGCTTGAGGATTTCCTGTCGGGGCCTCATCTCTTGTTATCCTGGGCCTCGCTCTCGGCCTCCTCCTCGTGTCAGGAAACCTCCCACACCGTGGACTCCACCGATCTTCGTGGCCTGGCGGCGACCTCCACGTGGGCATCCAGTCCATCGCTCAGCCGGCTGAAACGGCGAGCCCAGCTGCCGCGGGCCGTGACCTGGCTTCCGGCGATCGAGGTCCGGTTGCTGGCGTCACGGAACAGGCTCATGATGTCCTGGCTGTCGCCCTGAGCCCTCTTGATCCCATGCTGGTACTTGGCCTCCTTGGCCAATAGTTGCTCACGCTGCATTTGGGTCTTCACCTCGGACGGGACATCCGGAATGATGAACTGCATGATGCCAGTGATTACAAACACCACATGCTGGAATTATGGAAGCCCAGTTATTATCTTTACAGTGCAAGAAAACAAATTCGAAATTGGCCAAGATTGTGTCTCCAATTGAAATTCCAATATTATTTAGATTGCTTTAAAATTGAGTTTCTGTTGAAAAACTCTTAGAATCTCTAGCTCTAACATTAATAAAAGGAGCATATATAAACTACCCACCTCAAACACCACAACAAAAGCCAAACGAGCAGCAAAGACATGCCAATAATGGGGACTAAGTCCATAAGGTTCATAGTCCTTAGGGCCATTTCTGCAAGGATACAAAGTTAGTTATGAAACGGCAGATGGGAAAAAACGTAAACGCACCTGTAGCCGCGGTATTGGCAGGTGTCGGGATCCTTTTCACTGACCGATGCACCCCACTCTTCCTTGTAATCGGAGGTATTAAAGATGGACAGCGAGTGCTCAATGTAGCCGGCCAACGTGTGGGTTTCGGAATAAACGAACTTGTAGACCATTCTAGGAATAAAATCGCTGGTGTAGGCGATCACAAAGGCATTCGAGACGACGGCCGTATAGGTGATGATCCGCAGGATGCCGTACCAAGCTCCAATATCCTCGACCCGTTCCGCCAAAGGACGTCTGGCCTGGGTGACCATCTTGTAGGCATCCAAACGGATCTCTGCCACGTTGTTAAGGAGCGCAAACAGCGGTGCCAGAGGAAATGCAGCCACAAACAATGTGACAAATCCATATTGAAGAACTGATATTGATGGAGTAGTTTAGTTTACCCACACAAAGCATTAAGTTATATGAAAAGATACTCACTCATTTCCAGGTACTCATCGAACAAGGCCAGGCGTCCTGGGTCCTGCATGTGGTAGTCCTGTTCCCAAGCCATATGCAAATGCGACTCATCCTTGGTGGCCTAAAAAGAAAATAACAATGTTTAATTAATGTTTTGGCCATTTATAAGAATTATTTTACATCTATTAGTTAATCCTTTAAATATCATAAACGCAAAATTGACATCACCCACCTGTTTATGTTTTCTCTGCCGCCACCAGTTCCAGAACTTAGGAAATAGGTACTCCATGAAATTGTTCCAGCACTGTTTGCCCACCATAATAATGGCCAATTGGATGCAAAGTTCCGACAAGCAGCCCGCCGGGTCGCAGATGTCGTTCTTCAATCGGAAGAACTCACTCCTCCGGGCTCCTTCATCTCCTGGATAATCGAAGAAACGCCCCTTGAAGAAAGCGATGTAGATGAGCGACGAATAAAAGTTCATGAATTCAAAGAAGAAGATCTTAAAAGTGTAGGAGTCTTCGTATTCTGTGTGGGTGCGCGGATTCTCCAGGTTGGTCAACCTTATGGCCATGCGGTGATAGATCTGCAAATTATAAACAGAATAAAGAGAAATCTTGGATATTGGAAAATGAAAGTGGGACATACCCGTGTCAGTAGCATAATGACCACCAAATTGATCAAGGCAGCCGTGACACTGGTGAATAGCTTGGCATGCTCCTTCACGAAGAATCCTCCTCCTCCATAAATAACAGATACCAGAGTTATGCGATACAAAATGGTGCCCAGCACAGCGGAGAGAACCACAGAGATCTGATAATTCCAAATATAAAATTTAAAATTAGCATCATAAAATGTATTATTTAAATTCTATCTCACCATGAAGAGCACTGCACTTCCGGTAATGACAAATCTTATGGATCTATTCCAGGTGGACATGTAGGGTTCCTTTTCCCGCGTGACGGGATTCATGCGATACGTGGTGGCATTCGTCTCAAATTCAGGTCGATTCTCTTCGTCCATGTCCACGTTGTGCAAGTCCCACTCCCAGACAAGCACAGACTGTTTGCGTTTCCAAAGTTCCAGGAATGTCGTGGCTGTTTTTAAGATAGGACCAATTAAATTTGAAGAATTTCAATAAATGTTAAAAAACTTTTTTTTTAAATATAGTAACTGTTCATAAAAATGTTATTCTTTTGAAAAATTGTATACAAATGTACATTTGAATTTATTCATTTTTCATCAGCAAAAGGAAAACCTTTTTTTCTGTTAAGGGTTGGGAGCAACCTACCCCAAAAGGACATGAAGATGGCAAAGAACACCGTCGAGGGATTGTCGAAGAGATAGGTGAGCCGTGAAAAGAGGCAGGACTCAGAGAGTCGCTGGTAGCTGCAGGCCCTGTCGCACAGTGGACATAGGGTGATGTTTCCGGTGCCGTATTCATTGCAGATCTCCTTGCTGGGCGTGTTGTCCTCCGACTCCAGAGTAGCCAGTCCGTAGATGAAGCAGAGGGTGCCCACCACGGACGGGTAGACGAGCATCTCCGTGTAGAAGCCCAGCCAGCAGAAGTACAGGGCAATCTTGTCGCCGAAGTACTTGCGCACCAGGCACAGCGGCTGCTTCTTGTACCATTGCGAGGGATGGGCCCACGTCTGGTAGAGCACCCGGCGGTCCAGCGAGATCCCGCTGGAGTGCGGTCGGTCGTACCGCCCCTCGTGCAACGGGAAGCAGCCCAGGTAGGTGCCGTCGTTCATCAGCCGCCGGATTCCGCTGCGGTCGCTCTCGTCGAACGGCGTCCGGATGAGCACCTGCATCACCATCAGCGAACGCTGGGCACTGGTGAAGGCCGTGGCGCGGTCCTTCACAATAAATCTGTGGGCGGACACATTAACCTTTACTTTAGTTTATATCTATGGTAAAAACTCAATTTTGACAGAAACTTTTAATTAACCAAATGGTTTTTTTGGGAAATTGTTTTTAAAAGTGCCAAAAGTGGTGTTCTTTAGGTTGCGACACATCATTAAAAAAACGTCCTAACACCGTTTCGATTCTTATGAAAATATTTATTGGTGTTAATTTCCTTTATTTCTCTATTTAGTAAATTGGCAACACTTCTGCTTTTAAAGGTTTAAATTTTTCCATTTACATTCAACGTTAAGATTTACTTTTTATTGATTGTAATATATTATGCCAGAAACTAAAAATGATTTTAAATTAATTTTCCTTTATTTATTTCACATTGTATTTATTTATTTTACCTTTTAGAATTCGATACGTTTTTATACGATTCTCAATAAATACCTTAAAATCTAAATTTAAGTTCCTATTTTTAAAAGCAACATTGTTCGGAGTTAATAATTTAACTCTATAGGAATAGATACTCCGCTTCGAGAGATCTGCTTAAAGATATATTGAAGCAGACATCATAGATTGAAAAATAACCACCTTTATGCGTTTTAAAATTGTGCACAAAATTATAAAATCAAAAAATTAAAATGTACAAATTTATGTGCTCCTCAAAATTATACTACTCACTGCTCCTCCGGGTTGCCATTAGCTGTTGCAGCTTTGAATGTAGTTTCTCCCTCCAAAAGCGTTTGGTCCAGCTGAATCCTTTTTGTTAAGCGTTGCCACATATCCTTCCAATACTGCACGTTTCTAAGGACAACGTTCTCCTCGTCCTGTGAGTATAATACCGTTAAAGTCTTTAGAAATAATCAAAATTTTAAAATTTTACCCAAGATGGTTTCACGGATATGGTGATGAATCTTTTGACGGGCAGCTTTAGATTCATGACCTCGGCCAGTCGTGTTTCCAGCCGCCAGGGCAGATGTATCTTTAAAAAGAAGGTCTTTTCGTTGAAAGACTGCGACTTGTCCTCCAGCTCGACCTCGAGTCCCTCCTTGATGAGGTTCTCCATGAAAGACCGCCTATTATCGCGTCGCTTAGCTTCCGCCTCGGTCATCACGCCCAGGTCCTCCTCCTCCCAGGCCAGCACCATGTCCACTTTCCGTCTGCCATCCCGGAACATCAGCGATTCCGGGTCCAGGCCCTCCCGATCCTGTTTGCTGACCCTTCTCTCGTCTCCGGACTCGCCACCGAGGCTATTGCTTTTGCTGGCCTTCCGACTGCCGTAGTAACTCCCACTCACACTACTCGTGGCATCGGAGGCCTTCCTCTCCGTGGGAATGAGTTGGCGGTAGCCGAATTGGTCGGGTAACACGTTCGAGTGCGAGGACTCCATAATCTCGTAGGACTGATTCACTCTATCGGCAGAGCCCAGAGTAGGACTCAAGTTCAAGCCGAGACTTCTTCGCATGGCTGTACCAGGTATATCCTCCTCATTGCTGCCCATGATCTTGGGACCAAAGGCCTGCGTGGGACTCGGTTCCGCCGACTCCGATTCCAGATGCGTGGGCATTGGCACAGCAATCGAGTGCGATTTGGGGAACAGCGGGTTGCCATTGCTGGTCCGCATCACCGAGGAGTTGAGCCACTTTTCCGTGTAGGCAGCAGATCCAGCTCGAGCCCGACTGGCACTCAGCTTGGATTTGGGCGGGATTGGAGTGGCGGGCTTTGCTGGTCCCACTGGCTCATTATCGTCCCCTTGGCAGCGGTATATGTCAACTGTCGTATCAATTATGGCTGGTCTTGGTTGGAGATCGGAGTCAATTAAAACAGTCTCCTGTGGATTTAGGTTGCAGAATGAATAATCGGGGGGCAACAAGACATAAGCCGCACTTACTCCGTATCCAATCAATCTTCCGGCCACTATTCCACTATCCTGGCTAAGTCTTCGTGGTCGTAGTTTCGTCTGACTCCGGCGGCTCATGCGTTCGCTCTTGGCCGGACTGGACATCACCTCCCGGCGGGGAGAGGGTTCTGGGGATTGGCGCGGGCTTCGCAGCGTTGGCACCGAAAGGAATCCTGGAGGGGAACAAGAATTGATTTACGGTTAGTTTTTATACCATCTTGCTAAACTTTCGACAGTTCTAAAATGTCTACAGTATACTCTTACCTATAATAACACTGGTTAATCATTAATTGAATTAAGTCAAGCAAAATAAAAATAAATTCTTATATAAAATTATTATTTATTATTATTACATTTTTTATTTGGCATAAATATCACGCAAAATAATTAAATTAGTCATTTTTTAGATTATTAAAAAATATAATTTGCTTGCAATATCTATGCTACTTGCAAGAATAACCAAAAAAAGTGAAAAGGCAACGACTATTTAAAATTTGTTAATAAATGGAAATATCTTATTTGGTTATTCAGCCTTTAAGCTTCAAAGTTTGAAATTAAACCACTGTATAACTCTCGTAACTGAAAGTCGCAATAAGGAATATAAGAACGTCATGCCAATCAATAACTCAAAGTTTTCATAATTCGAATTTTTTTCGAGTTACAGAAGTTGGATTTTAATAAAAACAATAATATTTAAAAGCTATTGTGCGAATTTCTTAAAAATGTTAGTAGCCCTCCCTTGTCCTACTCACTGGGAAACTGAAAGACCGATTGCTCACTGGTCCTGTCGGCCTCCCGGGCGGCGCTGCCGATGAGATCCTCTCGAGAACTGGCCTCCGTTATGGGGGCGGTGCTCTCATCCTCGACGCTGTCGATGCGTATCTGAAAGATGTGTGACCTCTCGCCGGACCTTCCTTCGTGACTGCTCATCGTCGTCTCTCGCCAGGAGCTATGGCGTCATGGAACTCTGTGGGTCGTAATTGGATGGGCGACAGGTCATATGGGGCCACTTTCTAATTTGGCCTAGTTTGAAGACTCGGTTCCGAAGCACCTGCTCCGTTACCCATAATAAACTATTTAAAGTATCAAGTTCGGAAACTTGAGGGGGGGAGCCTTAGTGGGTTGTCAATCAAAAGTTGTCAGGCTGCACATACTTTTATCCCCCGATTCGACGAGAGTCCGTCGGGCATTAACTATTCATGTATGTTTATACTACTGGCCTCGAGCTGGGCGTTAATTTGTACCCTGAAGAGTATTTGTATCTTCATTTGCAAGCGCGTTCCAATCAAAAGGTGAACTCGCATTCGACATTGACCCATGGATGGTGTTTGTATAGCCCGATGTGGGTTCTGGCCGTGGGTTTGGGGAAAGGCGAAAGGCGAAAGCCATTGGGAATAATGCCTTCACATTAACATTAGCCACCAGTGCACCATGGGAGCGAGTCCAGTTGGGTCGCAAAATGGAAGGGGGAGAACAAACTTGTTGCTACGAGTGGTGAACACTTTCCCAGGCGGACGAATGACAATAGTTCTAAATAATTGCCCTAGATTTGGTATTGGGATATGAGTATGGATATGGAAATGTGGGGTCAGTGGATAGCCACTGGGCGACAGACAAACAAATCCATTCGCGGACTCAAACTCGTACCTGGATCACTAATAAGCGACGGACGTCCTGGAAATGTCAGCGTTCGTTGGCAGTTGTGAAAAGTCCCATGCCATTGAAGTAATCACAACAATTGAAGGATTATTGATTCGCTCCTGTCGGTTCCCAGCTGTATATGAGTAATCGATTATTGATTTGCGGCTCCCATTCAGATGAGGCTGGAGTTCAGTGGTTAAGTCTTATGGTGTCACTTTCACAATAATAGATCGGCATAAGATCTTTCAGTGGTGGGCATTATCTTAATATTACTTTTTTTTCTATTCCCAGCTCGAACTGACCCACTATTGATTTTGTGTGGCTTATGGTTATTATCTTTCAATCAAGTTTCACATTATCCAAGCACACGCTCGCACGTCCATCCTAGCCACTTCTAATAGCACTTAACTTTGACAGTTCCGCTCTGCATATGGAGTACCGCTCACCACGACGGTTCCCGACCGATTGACCGACCTGGAGCTATGACCCACTGGTCAGGACAGTGACACTCTGGGACAGATAGGTAATCACGGCAGTACTCGTAGTCGTGGCTCTCTCGACGAGTGGACGACAAGAATACGACCATGGAGGGAGTACTATCCGCAGTGATGGGTGGTATCTACTCATTGTACCTATGTGGTATCCTAAATTGGGACTTTTTACAATTTAGCTAACATATATTGAAAGCTCTAAATAACGAATTATAACTAAGATCAAGATATAAACAAGGGAGGTAAGCTAGAATTGAATATCCCATTAAGGTTGTAATCTTATTATGAATTTAAAATTCCACACCAATGTCAAACTAAACTAAAAATCATAAAATATTAAAATATTGAGCATAAACCAAAAAAAAATTACGAATATTAAAAAAACAATAAAAGGAAATATGAGCAAAAAAAAATGTATTTCGAATTAAAACAATTTTTACAAATATTTTCAAATTGTTAAGCCAATAAAGGTAGAATCAATCTGTACTTTCCCATCACCGCCGTTTCCGTAGTTCTTACGCATTTAGAATAAGTCTGGGGGACCTGCGGAGGGTACTTTTAACACGAATATCCTATTAATATGGTATTTGACTCGCTGCACGAGGTTCTTCGTGATAACTTTCTAATTTTAAATCATGCCGACTGTCGAGGCAAACATTTCCTGACCAATGTGTTGATAGTTGTAAATGACGTAAGTTTTTCAAAGGGTCTTTGGTAGCGCTTTGGCTTACATATGTAATGGAGGTTGACCTATAGACAAAATTAATATCAGGCCTGAATGAAGCTATCCCAGGGGCACCCTAAACAACGAACCTTTGATGAGTACTTGCTCAAATTGGAGACAATAAAAATAGAGTCCTATGCGACTTGTCAGGTACTCGTATGTTGGAAGTACTATTATTGTACGGCTGGGAATCTATTTTGATTGAATGCAAGTCATTAATAACTTGGAACCTTTTCTTTATTAGGGTATTTCGGGGGCTAGTGCGTGCTGATATGACCGTTTTTCGGTTTTTTTTGGATTTGATTGACAGTATCGTATTGTAAGTTAAGTACAAGTAGATTTTACGAATTAAGGCATGCAAATGACATTTATTTGTTTTCGATGTTGCGTCAAATTATTGACTTGTTTTACTGGGTAACTTAAAGAACTTCAAAATTATAGATTCTTAATGTGTTTTTTTTTAAATTTACCCCGTTTTGAATGCCACATTGCACTTATTTTATTTAATAATAAAAAACCATTTAAAGCCATTCAAAATGTCATAAAGGACTAATTACCTGAAAAAAATAAACTTTTTTTTATCACAAAAAAATGACAATCTTAAATCCTTATGATTATCATAATCATTTTAATACATACTCCTAATATAAGATTTAAAAAATATACGATAAAAACAAAATTACGTTGGATTTGCTTAAAAAACAAATCGTAAAATAGATTTATATTCACATGCAAGAGTGCTTTTTTAGTATATGTATGTATTTAACCACCACCAAAAATATATCTTAGTTAAATCAGATCGAAAGTGCACCGCTGATCACGTCGTCTGCATCGCTTTTGCACTGCTGCAGGACATCCAGTTCGCAGCTGCTGGTCAATCTATTGAAGAACTCTCCCTGGGAGCACGATCCCTCGATCTTTTGGCCATGGACGCAGGTGAAGTATCCGCGGCAGTTGTCTGCATCCCGGGCCAGCTGACCATGTTTGCCGTTGCAGACCCCCACTCGTTCGCCATTCTCCATGAGACAGGTTCCATCGTTTTGCCGGCAGATTCCCAAAAGGCTGTCGAAACTTTCACCATTGCGACATCGCTGGGAGACGGGTTCATCGTCGTCGCAGCTGGTGTACCGCCTACAATCACCCTGCTCCGCCACGAAGGCACCGTTTCCGATGACCCCACATATTCCGGCAAAGGAAGTGGCCGCATCCTTGCAGATTCCGCTTGTTGCAGCCCTTTCCTGGACACCAAGCTCCGTCTGTTGGGACTCCACAGGTTTCTCTGTCCGGCTATCTCCATCTGAACTGACCTCATAGGCCTGGCACTGCTCCAGTGTGGCGTTAAAGAAGTAGTTCGTGTAGCACAGCTCATGGCGGAGTTTCCCAGAAACGCACAGATAAAAGTTATTGCAGTTGGCCGGATCGGGCATAATATATCCATGTTTGCCCTCGCAAACCAGCGGATCTGGGGGCACATGCTGGTTGTTTGGGTCGTCACCATCGTCGGGAACTGGTACCACCAGCGGGCAGGAGCCATCGTCCGCCAGGCAGAGTAGTTGCTCCGAATCAAAGAAGGTTCCCGCAGCACATTGCTGCGCCGTGGCCCTTCCTCCGACGCAGATAAAGTAGCGGGTGCAGTCAGTCCGATTGGCCAGGAAGCTGCCATCCTGAAGGTTTCCACAGCTATAGACATAGCTGACATTTCCCTGCAGCTGACCATTGGGACACAGTTGGACGGCCTGGGACTCCGGCTCGCAGATGGATAGCACCGGATTGAATTGGTGCTGTGCCGGACACTCCACAGGTACGGCTAATCCCTTGACGCAGGCGTAGTACAGGTTGCAGTAGAGCTCGTGTGGAATTTTTACTCCATGGAGACCGGAGCACAGCCTGGGTGCTGTTCCCGAGTCGTCCTGATTGTTGGCCGAGCGACACTGACCGTGATCCGCGCGGCAAATCGAGAGCAGGCTGTGGAAGTACTGACCCTCGTCACATTGCATCAGGCTGGTTCCATTCTGGCTGGAGCAGCTGTAGTAGGAGCGGCAATCATCCGGATGAGCCACCAACTTGCCATCCAAGCCCGAGCAAAGGGCCAGCTGGCAGGAGCCATCGTTCGGACGACAGTATCCTTGGTTGGAGTCGAAGAAGCTGCCCGAGGAGCAGCTCTGCGGAAAAGCGGGCACTTGCTGCAGACATATGTAAAACTTTGTGCAGTCCGTGGGGTCGGAAACACTAAGACCATCCAATTGACCCAGGCACTGGTTCTCCGTGGCGAGATCCTTCGTCTTCAGTTGGCATTGTGACTGCAACTGGCACTTGTTGAGACTGGCCGCGAAACTGTGCCCCCTCAGGCAGCTACCCAGATGCCACTCCTCCGCCTCGCAGTAGAGGAACGACTGGGAACAGTTGTTCCCGAACTGCGCTCGCAGTTCGCCCTCCGCACAGATGCGCCTCATCCCATTGTCCTGGCAACTTCCATCGCTGGGCACACATCCAAGCATGGGCTCGAACTGCTCCCGTTCCTGGCAGCGCTTCCTAATCCACTGGCCACCGGAGCAGAGCTCATAGCTGTGGCAACTGGCCACCAAGGATCTACTGCTTCCACTGGAGCAGTTGCCCCCACTCTGCTCCGTCGGCAGGGAACACTGCCCGGCATCGTTGGGCAGACAGTAGTTGTGCTCCCGGCTAAAGTACATGCCCAAAGGACACTGCTGGAGCCACCAGGAGTTGTCCAGACACATGAGGTAGCTGTGACAGCCTCCGGCCGACGAAGGACGCACTGCCAGGTGCTGGCAGAGCTGGGAGAAATTGCCAGCTGTCTGGCTTCTCGCCCAACCGCAAATGGTTTGATTCTTATCCTGCTCAAGGCCCTTGGGCAAGGGCAGACAGGAGCCTATCATAGCTGAGAAGTAGTGCTGTTTGGGGCAGTTTCGCAAACGCCACTTGCCACCGGAGCAACGGAAGTACTGCAGGCAGCTGCCACTCTTGGCCACAACTATCTGGGATTCGGTGAAGTTGCTGCAGACCGGTAGATTCGATACCCTGGCGAAGGCGCAGACCATGTCATCCCGGGGCTCCAAGCAGCGCTGCTGCTCTGGATTGTAGTACCGCTGGTCGGAGCAAGTGCGTCGCCGCCAGTGGCCATCGATGCAGACCTCGTACTGGGAACAGTTCGCTGGCACCGAACGCTTCTCATCCTTGTCACACATCTGGAAAAATACAAAAGTGGGTGCATTAAAAAGATTAAGTGTCAAGGTTATTGAGCCGATAAGGTGAAGCCCATAGAATGGAAATGTTGTTAGGAAAATTAAAAAAAAGTTGTAATTTAAAAATAAAATAAATATGAAAATATTTATAAATATCCCTTTGATATTTGACCTTATTTAGTTTTAGAATCTTTTAAGTTAACAAGAACTAAATATTTGTATATATAACTTTTTGAAAACTACTAATCTGGTACTTGGTAAACTCAACATTTTATAGGAAATTTAATAAAATTTTAAATAATTTAATGTAGACATTATTTTTCTAAATAAGTTTACCCCTTAGTTCTTTTTAATTTCTATAAAATGTCGAGTATTCCTATTCAGTTTTTCCAGTACGGTTCCCCCTTTATTTACATAAAAATTAAAAGCTTAAATCCTTCAAATAAAAATCTTACAAAATAAAGCCCCCATTACCTTCAACATTTTCCCTTTTTCTGAAAGATGGCAAAATCCACAAGTTCCATTCTATAGGCACACAAATGAAAAGCCGAAATTTTGTAATTCATCTATTTTGAATTTATTATAGCGTATATGTGGGTAAAATACATTATTGGGTATTTAATACGTATAGAAGTGGAACAAGCGGAACATTCACATTAAACATAACTCATAAATAACAACTAATGTCATAAGGTAGAGTAAGAGTATAAAAAGCTAGCCCAAAGCTGGCTTAGAACAGTTTCGGGAAGTATTTCTTGAACAAGGAGAGGGACCTTACGTTTTCCTCCGCCTCCACGGAACGCTTCTGGATGCTGTGGCTCGCGCACAGGCCGAGTTCGGGGTCGAAGATCTGTCCCAAGGCGCAGGGATGGTAGGTGACGCTGATCTTCTGCTGGTCATCGCAGGAGCAGAATCCGGACTTGGTGTTTTCGGCGGCAAAGGGCTCGAATTGCCCTCGCTTGAGGCACTCCTGAAGGTTGCAGGAGATCATCGCAATAACGTTCTTCAGCTGGCACAATCCCTGGACTTTGTCGAACACGAATCCCTTTTCGCAGTGATGGAAGGAGGGCACACCGTCGCAGGAGCAGAATCCTTCAGTGGTGTTCATCGCCTCGAAGGCTTCGAACGGAGCTCGATTCAAACAGTTGGTGTAATCGCAAGAAGCGATCACACAGGATCCCATGCTCTGCTCGTAAACATGTTCGTCCGCACAACTGACGAAGGTGGATACGCCCACATCCTGGCAGCTGCAGTATCCACTGGTCGTATTGATGGCGGCAAAGGGTGCGGCCAGAAGGGCACGGTTATTGCATCGGCTGTGATCGCAGATGCTGGAGGCAGTGATCTTGGTGGTGCCCCCCACGCAGGCCGCTAGATCGCTGTCGAAACTGGCACCCTCCGGGCAATCATTGAACACCGGAGTTCCGATCACGCACAGGCAGAAGCCCTCAACCGTATTTAGAGCCCCATAGGCGTAATAGTCGTCGCTGTTGTCGCATTTACCCGCTTCGCAAACGCACTCGGATGCCTGGTAACCATTAAGTGAGATTAAATGAATGTATCTCTAAAAAACATGCCCATCCACTTACCGCCACCGGTCCGCAGCGCTCCTCTTTCGGAAAGAACACCATATCGGCGCTGCACTTGCCCAGGAACACCTCGTCGTTTTCACAGTAGCAGAAGGAGTCGCTATTCTCGCTGGCCGAATTAGTTGGGAAGGGCACGTAGTCGCTCAAGGTGGCGCACTTGCTAGCATCGCATTCGCAGGCCGCACTGTTGTCCTGCAAAAGTTCCAAGATTCTGGTAAAATACCTTATTTCCACCCACAAGTTGTTTCCTTACCACAGGCGTTTGGCAAATTCCCAGGGATGTAGAGAACTCCTGGTCATTGGGACAGAGTAAGAAGTTAGGCAGACCACCCTCGCAATAGCAGAAGCCATCCACTCCCTCGTTGGGCAGGTAAGGAGTGTATTCCGACAAGACATCACATTTTTCGGCATCGCATTTGGAGACAGCACAGGGATCCTGGCAAAATAATGCAGTCATTGTTACATGCCTCCAAATACTCAGTAAAAAGGTGCAAGATTTATTGGCTTATATCCCCATTGCCACACTTACCACTGGCTCCGTGCAAATTGCTTGTTCAGGGTCGTAGACCAGGTCATTGGAACAGACCCTATAGATTGGGCAATAATCGAGGCAGTAGCAGAAGGCAGAAGGTTCGCCCTCAACGGAGAAGGTATCGTAATCGGGCTTGGTCTCACACGCGGTGGCATCGCAGACATTCTTTTCGCAAGTGGTTTCGCTCTGGAAATATATTATACATTGAAGATGGTCGAACTTAAACACTGCAAAATACATACCCCAGTGTTAAAGCAGGCACCCAGCTCGGTGTCATATTGGGAATCGGCTGGGCAGCTGGTATACTTGGGAACCTCATCCACGCAGACACAGAAGCCGTCGGTGGTATCCAAGGCCGGAAGATAAGTGAAGTCAGACTTTCCCACGCAGCCATTGCGGCAGCAACGTGGCTAAAATAGGAATTGGAATTCCTGATATCATCTATAATTTGCAGGATAAAACCGAGGGACTCACATCAGCCTGGGGAATGAGGACGCATTGAAGTTCCTTGCTGTCAAAAGTGTAGCCGATGGGGCAGGGCACTGAGACGGGTTCGTTGGCTCGGCACAAGCAGAAACTATTCGGGTCCTCGTAGTCCTGGGAAACATAGTACTCCGACTCACCCTTGCACTCCCGAGGATCACAGTTTCCTGTCTGTAATTGGGAAAGTAATGGCAGAGGTTTTTTTTAACTTGCTTAGCCTTCCATCGTCCCAGCTACTTACGAAAGTGCATATCGCTTCAGCTTCGTCGAAGAACAAGCCCGTGGGGCAGGAGTTGATATATCCGCCACCATCTTGGCACTCACAGAAAGTCGAGGAGTCATTACTTAGAGAGGGATATGCCGACCACTCAGCGGCAGTCTTGCACACGGTCTGGTCGCAATCGGTCTGGAGTTGGATAAGGAGGTTCATGTTAAGGACAATCATTGTGCACGTGACCGGTGAAGGCAACTACTATACTTATAATACTAATAAAGCAGATATATACAGAAGCAGCGGTTAAAATTGAAATTATTAATGCGGGTGCATTCTTAAATCATTTGGGAAGCGGCAAGATAAAATCCTTAAATATTTTTTTAAGACATTTTTTGTGCCAAAATTTGATATCACAAATCTTGTACTTGTAAAGGAACGACATCATATTTGATTGATTTTGATTAATTAGTTATAAAATATTGATGATTTAAAAATGGATGATTTATAAAAATTTCCTCAAATAGTATATAAAATAAATATTGCCTGAACATAATTGATTGGAAAACGATGAAAATGAACTTGTGTATCGCGAACAAAAAAAGAAGATAATTGCGGACAATTAGTATACAAAGGTTATACGACAATTGCATTTGCTGCTATTAGAAGTTCATGGTTTTTTTTTAAGGAAATAAAACGATTTTTTTTATCACTGGAAACTTCCAAACTTGCAAAAAATTAAACCCTTTTGGAAGTAAAGTTACTTACACTGGGCTGGGACTGGCATATGCCCAGGTCTACGTCATATGCAGAGTTAGCCGGGCAGGACGCAATGGTCGCCACGTTATTGCGGCACAGGTAAAACTTGGTGGAATCTCCAGCCACGGGATAGGTGGTGTCATCAGAGGCGGTGGCGCAGTTCTTGGCCGAGCACGCCACGGTTGCGGAGCACAGACCAGTGGAGGAATCGAAAGCCTCGCCAGAGGGGCACTGAACCGCTTGGGCCACTCCGTCCGTGCACTGGAAGTACTTGGTGCAAATGGGATGGGCGACGTTGCCGTTTCCGCAGGTGCAAGGATTGATGCACTTGGCATTCACATCGATGGCGCACTCACCAGCGCCATTGTACCACTCATCGGCTTCACAGAAGTGCTCCGTGGCCAGGCCGTTCCAGCAGGTCAAATAGCTGGTGCAGTCGGTCGGATTCGGCATCTGGTAGCCATTTGGCTTGTTGGAACACACCCAACAGGTGGCCTTGGTGTCCGGAGCACAGACGCCGCTGCAGTTCTTGAAGACATTGCCCACGCCGCACAAGCCCTCCACCAGCTGGCCATTCTCGCAGATCAGGTACTTGTCGCAATCGGTGGGGTGACTAACGATGCTTCCCTGCTCGATGCCACCCTCGCAGGTGCAGTCCTCCACACTTCGCTTCTGGCGCGATCCACTCGATCTGTTCTCGGGGCAAACGTGGTCGGAGTCCTCGCGGCAAATGCCCACGGAGGCGTCGAAGTAGTAGTCCTTGAGGCAGGTCTCGTCCTGCCACTGGCCATCGATGCAGGCCTGGTAGCTCCAGCAGTTCTTGCCACTGGCTGGGGGATCTCGGGCGTTGCACTGGTTAGTGGTGGTCGTGGCTCCAATGCACACTTTATTTTCATCCACTTCGCAAATGTTCAGAAGCGAGTTGTAATAACTACCACCTTCACAGGGGGTTGATGTCCATTCGCCATTGACACACTTCAAGTACTTGCTGCAGTCCTGGGGATCCACTTCCGTGGCTCCTTCCGCGCAATCCGCCACACAGCACTCGTTCTTCTCGTCCACCACGCAAACCTTGAGGGTGGAATTAAACAAGTTGCCCTTTCCGCAATCTCCGGCCTTTAGGGCGCCGTCGGTGCAGATGAAGTACTTGCGGCAATTGTCGGCATCGGAAATAATGTCGGAATTTTTAACATCACCACAGTCGCAGGATGTAGGAGGTTCCGTGGTTGTTGAATCTTCACAGGGTTCGGTGGTCGTGGTTGTTACATCTTCACAGGGTTCGGTGGTCGTGGTTGTTACATCTTCACAGGGTTCGGTGGTCGTGGTTGTTACATCTTCACAGGGTTCGGTGGTCGTGGTTGTTATATCTTCACAGGGTTCGGTGGTTGACTCCGTGGAACATTCGCCGGGAACACAGCCCCAGTCGGTATTTTCGAAATGGCTGCCTTCGGGACACTCCTGGGCGGTGGCCGTGTTGTCGGAGCACACGTAAAACAGGGAACAGCTGGACTTATCGGCCACAGCGGATCCATCAGCCTTTCCAATGCAGTAGTTCACCCAGCATTGGGAGTTTCCAGTATCGACGGTGCAGGCATCAACAGTAGTGTTGAAGAAGCTGCCCGAGGGGCAAGTCTGGAGGGTGGCTTCCGCATCCGAGCACACGTAGTAGCTGCCGCAGTTGTCCTTGTTTGCCAGGGAAACTCCGCTCGCCTTACCGATACACAGGTTCTGCCAGCAAGTGGACGCCGGATCCGGAAGACAGGCACTCAACGTCTCGTTGAAATAACTGCCGGAATCGCACTTTTGCGGGTAGGCCAACTGCTCGTCGCAGATGTAGAACTCAGCACAAGTACCGCTTTTGGCCAGGTAAGCACCGTTCACCTCCTTGGAGCACACATTGGTGGTCTGCAGGAGATGGGATAGGAATTAAGTGTGTTGGGATAAGGAAAAAGTGGTAAAAAAACCAAAGATTTCATTAGCTCCCAGTGGTTACCCTTAGGAAGGATTTAATTTTAAGTAAGATCTTACCTCGGCGAGAGGAGCTACCAGGCTGAGCTTGCACAGACTGCGTCCTGCATTGGAGCATTTACCGTTCTTAGGGTTATACTCCTTGCCCACCGGACATGTCACCGTGCGAACGTTGTTCTTCGAGGAGCATCGGTAGTAGCTGGAGCAACTCAAGGGTTTTGGCCAGTGCGTCGAGAGGCCCCGAATTTTCCGGTATATGCATTCTGGGTCGGCGGCTCCAACGAGGGCAGCCACTGTAGTGAGTGTCACCACAGCTAGTAGAGTAACTGGAGATGGGAAAGGTTATTAAGGTCCTAGTTACTATTAGGATCCTGCCCTTGCTCACCTTTCATCTTGTTCACTTGTATTATTCCACTTGTGACGGTCGAAATGTACTCCACATCATTGCCAAAAATTTGATGCCTTTTATATACATTATTAGTGGTGACTGCCAGACTTAAGTTTCCCTTATCGCAATCAATTATGTTGATCATGTTAGACATGCGCCTATCATGTCAGTCTAATTGAGGTGTGAACTCTGGGCACTGTAGTTCCTGGAAGCCATCACCTTTCGCAGTGGAACCACTCCCCGAAATTCGATGTTTGGAATTCGCAAAAGTTATGAATGAATGTCACGAGCATGGCCTTGTTCAAGCTCAAGATCACTCAAAATTTACAAGGAAACCCAGCAAAGTAAAAGAGTTTGGGTTTTTGAGAGCATGCTATTCTAAGTACTTTATTTCTTTAAGCGCATGTTTCGGCGCAGGACTGGGTGATTGAATTCCAGTTAAGATCGCCGGCACAATCCCTGACGTGTCCTACATTCCCTTCGCAATGTATGTAAAGGTGGCAATCGTAGGGATGCGGGAGGTACTGGACCCCCGGATGGGACCGACAAGAGGCGTCCGCATCAATGCTCGGAATGGACTGGGTGGTTCCAATCGGCTCTGAGTTTGTGGAGAAAGGAGGAACAGATGATTCACTTGGATTTGGTGGTTCCTCAGTTGGTTCCACAGTGCTTCCTGGGTCAGTAGTCTCTTCCGATGGAACCGAGGGATCAGCAGTGGTCTTGTCTGTAGGAAGCGATGTTTCTTCTGTGGAATCTTGAGTGGGATCAATGGGTCCTTCAGTTGTTTCCCCCGTAGGTTGATCCGTGGGTACTTCGGTGGGTTTTTCAGTGGGTTCATTTGTGGGTTCCGCCGTTTCTCCAGTGGGTTCTGCCGTGGGATCCAAAGGATTTTCAGTTGGCTTCGATGGTTCTTCAGTAGGGGTGGGATCCGAGGGATTTTGAGTGGGTACTTCGGTGGGGTTTTTAGTGGGTTCATTTGTGGGATCCGCCGTTTCTCCAGTGGGTTCTGCCGTGGGATCCAAAGGATTTTCAGTTGGCCTCGATGGCTCTTCAGTGGGTGTGGGATTTGTGGGTTTTTGAGTGGGTACATCAGTGGGTTTTTTCGTGGGATCCGATGGGCCCTCAGTTGAGTCGTCATCCGTGGGATCCCAGGGATCATCAGTGGGGTCGTCAGGATCCTCTGTGGGTGTTGAAGCGGTAGTAGGCGTAACACATCTTCTGGCACTGAGGGCAGTTGCCAGGAGCATAAGCTGCAGGGACATCAATATCCAGACCACTAAAATATAAAAATTTGTATCTTTATTGTTAGAGGATATAATTCAGCTTTTCTTTCGTTACTTACATCTCATCGCAGCCACGATCAGTCGCCTAGCAACACAGACCAACGAAAACTTCTCAATCGACGGTGCATTTATACCATTTCTAGCTGCATCAGATTCAGCCTTTAATTAGCATACAACAAGGCTCAAAAGTGTTCTCATTATCACTAACATGGTCAAATAAGATAAGACTGCATTAAATTACTTGATAATGAACTCAAACATTTGTGAATTAAACTAGGAATGTAAACAAACAAAAAAATAATAGCTTGTGAAATCATTATGTTTAAAAAAACCAATTAATTTCAGTTTGCTAAAATATAAAAGTTTGATCTGCTGCTGCTTTTAAATATATTTGTATAATTTAAAATATTGCGTTACTTTATTTTCCTTATTTAATATTTGGATGCACCAACTTTCAAATTTATTATATTTAAATGAAACATTTATATCTACCCTCGTACATCAGGGTTCCAAGAACATTTTCCGTTACGTCTTGATTAGATTAGAAATAATATCCATAGTAATATCAGTTACAGAGACGAATAACAGAATCAACGCCACAATTCAAACCACACTCTTCTGTTAAAATTGTTATCAGTTTTGATGCGCTGTTAGGTACGGTAATGAAGGTACTGATTATATGATAAACAAGAAAGGAAAGCTAACTTCGGGCGGAGCCGAAGTTGATATACCCTTGCAGAATACTCTGTAAATTATATTCTCCAAAATTATTCATATGATGCATTCTTAATACTCATAAAAAATCCGAACTTCCTAACTTTAACAACAACAAAGTTATGGCATTTCCAATCGTTCAGTTATATGGCAGCTATAGGATATAGTCGGCCGATCCTTATGAAATTTGATAGGTCGGATTGATTGGCCAAAAATAAAATCCATAGAAAATCCCAACTTCCTAACTTTACAAACACCAAAGTTATGGCATTTCCGATCAATCAGTTATATGGCAGCTATAGGATATAGTCGGCCGATCCTTATGAAATTTGGTAGGTCGGATTGATTGGCCAAAAATAAAATCCATAAAAATCCCAACTTCCTAACTTAACAAACACCAAAGTTATGGCATTTCCGATCATTCAGTTATATGGCAGCTATAGGATATAGTCGGCCGATCCTTATGAAATTTGGTGGGTCGGATTGATTGGCCAAATATAAAACCCATAGAAAATCCCAACTTTCTAACTTTACAAACACCAAAGTTATGGCATTTCCGATCAATCAGTTATATGGCAGCTATAGGATATAGTCGGCCGATCCTTATGAAATTTGGTAGGTTGGATTGATTGGCCAAATATAAAACCCATAGAAAATCCCAACTTCCTAACTTTACAAACACGAAAGTTATGGCATTTCCGATCAATCAGTTATATGGCAGCTATAGGATATAGTCGGCCGATCCGGCCGTTCCGACTTATATACTGCGCAAAGGAAAGAAGGGTGTGTCAAAGTTTCAATCCGATAGCTTTAAAACTGAGAGACTAGTTTGCGTAGAAACAGACAGACGGACAGACGGACAGACGGACAGACGGACATGGCTATATCAACTCAGGAGGTGATCCTGATCAAGAATATATATACTTTATAGGGTCGGAGATGTCTCCTTCACTGCGTTGCACACTTTTGACCAAAATTATAATACCCTCTGCAAGGGTATAAAAACAATCAGTATTGTAAACGGGCAGTTTACGTGTAATAAATTACTACCAAAAGATAAAAACTATTATTTAAAAAAACCTTTTTGTTGAAAAAGGAACATGCTACTTTTTATACCCTTGCAGAGGGTATTATAATTTTGGTCAAAAGTGTGCAACGCAGTGAAGGAGACATGTCCGACCCTATAAAGTATATATATTCTTGATCAGGATCACCTCCTGAGTTGATATAGCCATGTCCGTCTGTCCGTCTGTCCGTCTGTCTGTCCGTCTGTCTGTCCGTCTGTCTGTTTCTACGCGAACTAGTCTCTCAGTTTTAAAGATATCGAATTGAAACTTTGCACACACCCTTCTTTCCTTTGCACGCAGTATATAAGTCGGAACGGCCGGGATCGGCCGACTATATCCTATAGCTGCCATATAACTGATTGATCGGAAATGCCATAACTCTGCTGTTTGTTAAGTTAGGAAGTTGGGACTTTCTACGGGTTTTCTATTTGGCCAATCAATCCGACGTACCAAATTTCATAAGAATCGGCCGACTATATCCTATAGCTGCCATATAACTGATTGATCGGAAATGCCATAACTCTGCTGTTTGTTAAGTTAGGAAGTTGGGATTTTCTATGGGTTTTATTTTTGCCCAATCAATACCACATATCAAATTTCATATGGATCGGCCGACTATATTCTATAGCTGCCATATAACTGAACGATTGGAAGTGCCATAACTTTGGTATTTTTAAAGTTAGGAAGTTGGGATTTTTTATGAGTATTTAGAATGCATCATATGAATAATTTTGGAGAATATAATTTGCAGAATATTCTGCAAGGGTATTTCAACTTCGGATCCGCCCGAAGTTAGCTTTAATTTCTTGTTATTTGCTTATTTTAATATTTATAAAATATCAACAACAAACTTAAAAGAATATTCCAACATATTTCTAAACATTGATTTGATATGATATTTATTTCTATTGGAGGTAGTATATAAATCGGTACGGGAAGGATCAGGCGACTATATATAAGATTTGTATAAATAAAAGAAATTATAACTTTGTATTTTGTAATAGTTCCAGAATTCCGATTAAAAGGAAATAATATTTAAGCTTTGTTCTTTCTTAACATATACCCATAAACTACAAGTTACAAAAATGGTTTGGTCGGTAAAAATTCATATCTCAAATTTTGTATATTGGTGGAACGATCGTCTCCGCTATTTAACTTATTCTGACTTGATTTAAAATAAAACATTTTATTAATATTTAATGAATTAATAAGTAAAAGTATCTTTAATTTATTGCTTACTTTATTAATTAATTATTAATAAATTACAATTTGAAGTCCTGTCACAAGATTTAACAAATCTTTAAGTCTGGAAAAAACTTTAAGAAAGCGATTCAGGTGATTTCCCGTTTAATAAGTTTGCCCAATGACGCATAAAGTTATTCCATACTTATCTTTTTAACCTTCAAATGGCCTCGATGTTTTGCTAATGTTGCTATAATATAAGGTATCTTAACTTAGCTACTTAGAATTATGATTTAGCCAATATTTGTATGTCAACTTCTAAATATGAAATACATTCAAATGAAACTTGCATAAGCCATAATATTTTTTATTTTGCAACACGCAGTTTATATGTTTCCGGATTCACTTGAAGTAACCAAGACTATTAAATTTCCAAGAACACTTGATGCTTAACGTGAGTAAAACTGATAAAGCGTACTAATTAAAGTATCAGAAAACAAATACTCAGTAAGAACACAATTAAATTGAATGCTAAACTTTAGTTTAATATAAAATAAAAAATAATATACAAATAAAATTATTTAAGAATATATGTAAGAGAAAAAATTTATTTATACAATACATTTAGTATTGTTTTAATTGGTTATTTTATTTGTTAAGATAATTGTTTCATTATCTCTAGTATTGGTTTCAAAGGGTATATAGCAAAAGGTATAGCCACACTTGCTTCTAAAGCAGCAAATCAATAAATTGATAAAAAGAGAAAAAGTTGATTTGCTATAGCCATCAATACACGTGTAAATGATATAGATTAGACAGATATAAAAGAAGAGTAGTTAAGTTTGAACTGAAAGCAATTGCTATATAAGCACGGAAAAGGTTGTACTTTGGCAGAACTACCACATTTAATAACATGGAAGGTAATTTAAAAATGGTGACCTTTTGTAATTTAAAATAATAAAATTAATTTTTTAAGGGGTTCATATTATTCGATTTTTTGGATTGTTTGCACTTCTTGTAAGTGCGATGGCGTCGTTAGAGGAAGATACTTCCATTGAGGTTTCATCATATGAAACTTCCACCGAAAATACGGAGATTCCTACGACAACGTTGCCAACACCAGTCCTGTGTGATGATGGAGATTTATTTCTTCCAGGACCTGACTGCAGGCAGTACTATCAATGCGTGTACGGTGAGGGAATTTTGAAAATATGCCCCGACGGGCTATATTGGGATCCTGAACTACAGTGGCTCACAGCTTATTTGACCCACACCTAATTTTCAACATTAAACAGGTATAACTCCTGAACCATAAGAGATTCGCATAAAAATAAAACGCAGAAAGGTTAACTGTTGTTTTAACTTCAAAAATATGTTTTCATTTATTTATTCTAGCAAGGAACTTCTTAATTAAACAATAAAAACTAAAAATACTGCCTTTTTCAATGTCACAGCTTATTTGACCCAGTTCATCAAATTAATTATAAAAAATTGCATAAAAATATTTTTTTAACTTTTAGTATTTGGTATGTCCGCCCTTTTGGTCCACAACCGACTTCAGTCGATTGGGAATAGATTCGACCAATTTTTTGAGGTTCCTGGGGTGATTTTAGCCTATTCTTCGAGCAAAGCCGTTTTCAAGTCATTTTTATTGGAAATATTGCGCTCCCGAATTTTTGAGTCCCGCAAAGCCCACAAATTCTCAATAACATTAAAATCGGGTGACTGAGCTGGAGATTTCATTATATTGGGACAATTATATCCCAGCCAATATTGAATAATACCCTACTTATGCTTTGGGTCATTGTCTTGGTAGAACCGAAAACCCTGTTTTATTCCCAATTTCTCAGCACTTTAAAGTAAATTATCCTTAAGGATATTAAGATAAACATTTTTATTCATTATGCTTTCAATAAATTTTAGGTTTCCGACTCCTGCTGCGGACTTACAGGCCCAAACCATAACGTGTCCGCCGTCATGCTTAACGGTGGGTTTTAGATGTTTGTCCTGCAGCTCTGTATTGGCTTTACGCCATACATTTAGACCCAAAAATATTACGTCATTTTCGCTGATGAGTCAAAATTTAATATATTTGGTCCGAGGACGTTCTTAGCTATGTCGTAAAGCCAATACAGAGCTGCAGGACAAACATCTAAAACCCACCGTTAAGCATGACGGCGGACACGTTATGGTTTGGGCCTGTAAGTCCGCAGCAGGAGTCGGAAACCTAAAATTTATTGAAAGCATAATGAATAAAAATGTTTATCTTAATATCCTTAAGGATAATTTACTTTAAAGTGCTGAGAAATTGGGAATAAAACAGGGTTTTCGGTTCTACCAAGACAATGACCCAAAGCATAAGTAGGGTATTATTCAATATTGGCTGGGATATAATTGTCCCAATATAATGAAATCTCCAGCTCAGTCACCCGATTTTAATGTTATTGAGAATTTGTGGGCTTTGCGGGACTCAAAAATTCGGGAGCGCAATATTTCCAATAAAAATGACTTGAAAACGGCTTTGCTCGAAGAATGGGCTAAAATCATTCCAGGAACCTCAAAAAAATTGGTCGAATCTATTCCCAATCGACTGAAGACGGTTGTGGACCAAAAGGGCGGACATACCAAATACTAAAAGTTAAAAAAATATTTTTATGCAATTTTTTATAATTAATTTGATGAACTGGGTCAAATAAGCTGTGACATTGAAAAGGCAGTATTTTTAGTTTTTATTGTTTAATTAAGAAGTTCCTTGCTAGAATAAATAAATGAAAACATATTTTTGAAGTTAAAACAACAGTTAACCTTTCTGCGTTTTATTTTTATGCGTATCTCTTATGGTTCAGGAGTTATACCTGTTTAATGTTGAAAATTAGGTGTGGGTCAAATAAGCTGTGAGCCACTGTAAATGTGTGCGCCTGGGACTCGCAGTACTGCAGCGACGAAGGAAACGAGACCACAGAGTCTCCATCATTGAACTGTGCATCGGGATTGCCATTTTTACCCTATCCGCCCGATTGCACCAAATTCATCCAGTGTGTTTATAATATTGGGTTCAAACTGAGCTGTCCAAACGGACTGTACTGGAACCAACCTCTTCAGGCGTGTGACTATACTTGCGACAATGGAATCGAACTCTCTGATGACTACTAGGTGCAATAACCGCCATTAAATGAGGTAGTATTTCGTTACACACGAAAAATGTATACACATAATAAACAAAATAAAGGGAAATCATTGAACGTAATTGGTTTTCAGTAGACGGCAGCTCACTTGAGTTCCTCTTAAAGATAACGGGCCTCGCAAAAAAATATCAGATAAGACGTCGAATGAGTTCCCAATGGGGTTATAAATATGAATGCACAAAGCCCAGGTATCATTTGGCCAAATGTCTTTATAAAACTCGAACGTTAATCGGTAACGATGAATTATTATAAGTTATCCTGCAGGGGATATATACTATGCGTTGTGTTAACTGTGATACTTACCAAAAAAGTGCAAGCAAAAACCGATTACATCGATACTCATCAAGAGCGAAAAAATCAAATTCATAATGGCATACCAATTAGATATTCGATTAAAAGAGATTCGGCACAAGAGAAAATAAATATTCACATAGCAGATAACACCGATGACTGGGCACAAGAAAAAACAACAATACCTAACATATCTCTTCCGGTCGAAACTACCACAGCTAAACCTGAAGAAAGCACTAGGGTTACAGAAGATACCACACTTTTTCCTGACGAAACGACTACAGCTGCCCAGGACTCAACAAATAGTCCTGAAGATAGCACTACGATAGGGGATGCCACAACTCTTCCGGACCAAACTACCACATCTGGACCTGAAGAAAGCACCACGAATGAGGATACAACACCTATTCCTGACGAAACTACTACAGCTGCCCAGGACTCAACAAATGTTCCTGAAGAAAGCACCACGATAGAGGATGCCACAACTCTTCCGGACGAAACCACCACAGCTGGACCTGAAGAAAGCACCACGGTTGAGGATACAACACCAATTCCTGACGAAACTACTACAGCTGCCCAGGACTCAACAAGTAGTCCTGAAGATAGCACTACGATAGAGGATGCCACAACTCTTCCGGACCAAACTACCACAGCTGGACCTGAAGAAAGCACCACGGTTGAGGATACAACACCAATTCCTGACGAAACTACTACAGCTGCCCAGGACTCAACAAGTAGTCCTGAAGATAGCACCACGATTGAGGATGCCACAACTCTTCCGGACGAAACCACCACAGCTGGACCTGAAGAAAGCACCACGGTTGAGGATACAACACCAATTCCTGACGAAACTACTACAGCTGCCCAGGACTCAACAAGTAGTCCTGAAGATAGCACTACGATAGAGGATGCCACAACTCTTCCGGACCAAACTACCACAGCTGGACCTGAAGAAAGCACCACGGTTGAGGATACAACACCTATTCCTGATAAAACTACTACAGCTGCCCAGGACTCAACAAGAAGTCCTGAAGATAGCACCACGATTGAGGATGCCACAACTCTTCCGGACCAAACCACCACAGCTGGACCTGAAGAAAGCACCACGGTTGAGGATACAACACCTATTCCTGATGAAACTACTACAGCTGCCCAGGACTCAACAAGAAGTCCTGAAGATAGCACCACGATTGAGGATGCCACAACTCTTCCGGACGAAACCACCACAGCTGGACCTGAAGAAAGCACCACGGTTGAGGATACAACACCTATTCCTGATGAAACTACTACAGCTGCCCAGGACTCAACAAGAAGTCCTGAAGATAGCACCACGATTGAGGATGCCACAACTCTTCCGGACGAAACCACCACAGCTGGACCTGAAGAAAGCACCACGAATGAGGATACAACACCTATTCCTGACGAAACTACTACAGCTGCCCAGGACTCAACAAATAGTCCTGAAGATAGCACCACGATTGAGGATGCCACAACTCTTCCGGACGAAACCACCACAGCTGGACCTGAAGAAAGCACCACGGTTGAGAATACAACACCTATTCCTGACGAAACTACTACAGCTGCCCAGGACTCAACAAATAGTCCTGAAGATAGCCCTACGATAGAGGATGCCACAACTCTTCCGGAAGAAACCACCACAGCTGGACCTGAAGAAAGCACCACGGTTGTGGATACAACACCTATTCCTGATGAAACTACTACAGCTGCCCAGGACTCAACAAGAAGTCCTGAAGATAGCACCACGATTGAGGATGCCACAACTCTTCCGGACGAAACCACCACAGCTGGACCTGAAGAAAGCACCACGAATGAGGATATTCCTGACGAAACTACTACAGCTGCCCAGGACTCAACAAATAGTCCTGAAGATAGCACCACGATAGAGGATGCCACAACTCTACCGGACGAAACCACCACAGCCGGACCTGAAGAAAGCACCACGGCTGAGGATACAACACCTTTTCCTGACGAAACTACTACAGCTGCCCAGGACTCAACAAATAGTCCTGAAGATAGTACCACGATAGAGGATGCCACAACTCTTCCGGACGAAACCACCACAGCTGGACCTGAAGAAAGCACCACGGCTGAGGATACAACACCTATTCCTGACGAAACTACTACAGCTGCCCAGGACTCAACAAATAGTCCTGAAGATAGCACCACGATAGAGGATGCCACAACTCTACCGGACGAAACCACCACAGCCGGACCTGAAGAAAGCACCACGGCTGAGGATACAACACGTTTTCCTGACGAAACTACTACAGCTCCCCAGGACTCAACAAATAGTCCTGAAGATAATACCACGATAGACGAAACCACCACAGCTGGACCTGAAGAAAGCACCACGGTGGAGGATACAACACCTATTCCTGACGAAACTACTACAGCTGCCCAGGACTCAACAAATAGTCCTGAAGATAGTACCACGATAGAGGATGCCACAACTCTTCCGGACGAAACCACCACAGCTGGACCTGAAGAGAGCACCACGGTTGAGGATACAACACCTATTCCTGACGAAACTACTACAGCTGCCCAGGACTCAACAAAAAGTCCTGAAGATAGTACCACGATAGAGGATGCCACAACTCTTCCGGACGAAACCACCACAGCTGGACCTGAAGAAAGCACCACGGTTGAGGATACAACACCTATTCCTGACGAAACTACTACAGCTGCCCAGGACTCAACAAATAGTCCTGATGATAGCACCACGATAGACGAAACCACCACAGCTGGACCTGAAGAAAGCACCACGGCTGAGGATACAACACCTATTCCTGACGAAACTACTACAGCTGCCCAGGACTCAACAAATAGTCCTGAAGATAGCACCACGATAGAGGATGCCACAACTCTACCGGACGAAACCACCACAGCCGGACCTGAAGAAAGCACCACGGCTGAGGATACAACACCTATTCCTGACGAAACTACTACAGCTGCCCAGGACTCAACAAATAGTCCTGAAGATAGTACCACGATAGAGGATGCCACAACTCTTCCGGACGAAACCACCACAGCCGGACCTGAAGAAAGCACCACGGCTGAGGATACAACACCTTTTCCTGACGAAACTACTACAGCTCCCCAGGACTCAACAAAAAATCCTGAAGATAGTACCACGATAGAGGATGCCACAACTCTTCCGGACGAAACCACCACAGCCGGACCTGAAGAAAGCACCACGGCTGAGGATACAACACCTTTTCCTGACGAAACTACTACAGCTCCCCAGGACTCAACAAAAAGTCCTAAAGATAGTACCACGATAGAGGATGCCACAACTCTTCCGGACGAAACCACCACAGCTGGACCTGAAGAAAGCACCACGGTTGAGGATACAACACCTATTCCTGACGAAACTACTACAGCTGCCCAGGACTCAACAAATAGTCCTGATGATAGCACCACGATAGACGAAACCACCACAGCTGGACCTGAAGAAAGCACCACGGCTGAGGATACAACACCTATTCCTGACGAAACTACTACAGCTGCCCAGGACTCAACAAATAGTCCTGAAGATAGCACCACGATAGAGGATGCCACAACTCTACCGGACGAAACCACCACAGCCGGACCTGAAGAAAGCACCACGGTTGAGGATACAACACCTTTTCCTGACGAAACTACTACAGCTCCCCAGGACTCAACAAATAGTCCTGAAGATAGTACCACGATAGACGAAACCACCACAGCTGAACCTGAAGAAAGCACCACGGTTGAGGATACAACACCTATTCCTGACGAAACTACTACAGCTGCCCAGGACTCAACAAATAGTCCTGAAGATAGTACCACGATAGAGGATGCCACAACTCTTCCGGACGAAACCACCACAGCTGGACCTGAAGAAAGCACCACGGTTGAGGATACAACACCTATTCCTGACGAAACTACTACAGCTGCCCAGGACTCAACAAATAGTCCTGAAGATAGTACCACGATAGAGGATGCCACAACTCTTCCGGACGAAACCACCACAGCTGGACCTGAAGAAAGCACCACGGTTGAGGATACAACACCTATTCCTGACGAAACTACTACAGCTGCCCAGGACTCAACAAATAGTCCTGATGATAGCACCACGATAGACGAAACCACCACAGCTGGACCTGAAGAAAGCACCACGGCTGAGGATACAACACCTATTCCTGACGAAACTACTACAGCTGCCCAAGACTCAACAAATAGTCCTGAAGATAGCACCACGATAGAGGATGCCACAACTCTACCGGACGAAACCACCACAGCCGGACCTGAAGAAAGCACCACGGCTGAGGATACAACACCTTTTCCTGACGAAACTACTACAGCTCCCCAGGACTCAACAAATAGTCCTGAAGATAGTACCACGATAGACGAAACCACCACAGCTGGACCTGAAGAAAGCACCACGGCTGAGGATACAACACCTATTCCTGACGAAACTACTACAGCTGCCCAGGACTCAACAAATAGTCCTGAAGATAACACCACGATAGAGGATGCCACAACTCTTCCGGACGAAACCACCACAGCTGGACCTGAAGAAAGCACCACGGCTGAGGATACAACACCTATTCCTGACGAAACTACTACAGCTGCCCAGGACTCAACAAATAGTCCTGAAGATAGTACCACGATAGAGGATGCCACAACTCTTCCGGACGAAACCACCACAGCCGGACTTGAAGAAAGCACCACGGCTGAGGATACAACACCTTTTCCTGACGAAACTACTACAGCTCCCCAGGACTCAACAAAAAGTCCTGAAGATAGTACCACGATAGAGGATGCCACAACTCTTCCGGACGAAACCACCACAGCCGGACCTGAAGAAAGCACCACGGCTGAGGATACAACACCTTTTCCTGACGAAACTACTACAGCTCCCCAGGACTCAACAAAAAGTCCTGAAGATAGTACCACGATAGAGGATGCCACAACTCTTCCGGACGAAACCACCACAGCTGGACCTGAAGAAAGCACCACGGTTGAGGATACAACACCTATTCCTGACGAAACTACTACAGCTGCCCAGGACTCAACAAATAGTCCTGATGATAGCACCACGATAGACGAAACCACCACAGCTGGACCTGAAGAAAGCACCACGGCTGAGGATACAACACCTATTCCTGACAAAACTACTACAGCTGCCCAGGACTCAACAAATAGTCCTGAAGATAGCACCACGATAGAGGATGCCACAACTCTACCGGACGAAACCACCACAGCCGGACCTGAAGAAAGCACCACGGTTGAGGATACAACACCTTTTCCTGACGAAACTACTACAGCTCCCCAGGACTCAACAAATAGTCCTGAAGATAGTACCACGATAGACGAAACCACCACAGCTGGACCTGAAGAAAGCACCACGGCTGAGGATACAACACATATTCCTGACGAAACTACTACAGCTGCCCAGGACTCAACAAATAGTCCTGAAGATAGTACCACGATAGAGGATGCCACAACTCTTCCGGATGAAACCACCACAGCTGAACCTGAAGAAAGCACCACGGTTGAGGATACAACACCTATTCCTGACGAAACTACTACAGCTGCCCAGGACTCAACAAATAGTCCTGAAGATAGTACCACGATAGAGGATGCCACAACTCTTCCGGACGAAACCACCACAGCTGGACCTGAAGAAAGCACCACGGTTGAGGATACAACACCTATTCCTGACGAAACTACTACAGCTGCCCAGGACTCAACAAATAGTCCTGATGATAGCACCACGATAGACGAAACCACCACAGCTGTACCTGAAGAAAGCACCACGGCTGAGGATACAACACCTATTCCTGACGAAACTACTACAGCTGCCCAGGACTCAACAAATAGTCCTGAAGATAGCACCACGATAGAGGATGCCACAACTCTACCGGACGAAACCACCACAGCCGGACCTGAAGAAAGCACCACGGCTGAGGATACAACACCTTTTCCTGACGAAACTACTACAGCTCCCCAGGACTCAACAAATAGTCCTGAAGATAGTACCACGATAGACGAAACCACCACAGCTGGACCTGAAGAAAGCACCACGGCTGAGGATACAACACCTATTCCTGACGAAACTACTACAGCTGCCCAGGACTCAACAAATAGTCCTGAAGATAACACCACGATAGAGGATGCCACAACTCTTCCGGACCAAACCACCACAGCTGGACCTGAAGAAAGCACCACGGTTGAGGATACAACACCTACTCCTGACGAAACTACTACAGCTCCCCAGGACTCAACAAATAGTCCTGAAGATAGTACCACGATAGAGGATGCCACAACTCTTCCGGACGAAACCACCACAGCCGGACCTGAAGAAAGCACCACGGTTGAGGATACAACACCTATTCCTGACGAAACTACTACAGCTCCCCAAGACTCAACAAATGTTCCTGAAGATAGTACCACGATAGAGGATGCCACAACTCTTCCGGACGAAACCACCACAGCCGGACCTGAAGAAAGCACCACGGTTGAGGATACAACACCTATTCCTGACGAAACTACTACAGCTCCCCAGGACTCAACAAATATTCCTGAAGATAGTACCACGATAGAGGATGCCACAACTCTTCCGGAAGAAACCACCACAGCCGGACCTGAAGAAAGCACCACGGTTGAGGATACAACACCTATTCCTGACTCAACAAATAGTCCTGGAGATGGCACCACGATAGCGGATGCCACAACTCTTCCGGACGAAACTACAACAGCTGGAGCTGCAGAAAACACCACGGTGGAAGATACAACACCTATTCCAGAGGAAACTACTTCAGCTGCCCAAGACTCAACAGCTGTGCCCAAAGACAGCACCACGATAGAGGATCCCACAACTCTTCCGGATGAAAAAACTACAGTTGAACCTAAGGAGAGCACTACCATAGAGGATTCGACAACTATTTCCGATAATAGTACCGGACAGGATTCTACGAAAGGAACAGAAGGAAATACTTCTTACTCTACCGATAAACCTGGAGTAAGCAGTACGGTGGCGGATACCACAAAGAGTCCAGAAGAAAGTTCCACTGCTGATGCTGATACTACGAGTATTTCTATTCCGTCAACGGAAAAAACGACTCCGACTTATTCAAGTTCCACAACTGCAACATCCTCAACAACTTCTTCCCCTGAAACCCCGCCGTCAACTTCACCACCGCTTTCTTGCAGTAGCGGATATCCTTATTTACCCCATCCAACAAATTGCCATAAGTTTATCCAGTGTAGTAATGAAAACGAATTTATTATGGATTGTCCAGCTAATCTCTATTGGGACTATCGGAAATTAGTCTGCTGTGCAGAACCAAGTGTATGCTACAACGATGATGAAAATTCCAGTCCACAGGAAAAGGTTTGCGGCCCTGGAGTAGATTTTCTAGTTCACCCGACCGACTGTACCAAATATTTGCAATGTAGTAACGGCGAGCCATTAGAGCGCAAATGTCCCGATCCTCTGTACTGGAACCCAGAGCGTTCTGTCTGTGATTGGTCAAATAAGTACTGCAAAGATCTGAGAGCAAATGAATTGAATTCTTGCGCAGTGGGCATGAATTTTAATGTTTTTCAAGGCGATTGTTCAAAATACATAAAGTGTTTTGGCGTAAGGGGTATCGCAATGAGTTGTAATTCAGGACTTTATTGGAACCCTATCAGTGAAGTATGCGAAAAGTCGAAGCGATTCTGTACATAAGTGTAAGTTTAATAATTCTTTAATACCTTAAATAACAATAACATTTTTATTTTTACAGAATCATTGTAGGTTAATGCCATTCATTGACCTTCCAAATCAAATTATACTCACGGAAACCAATAACATGAGGGGCTAATAATATAATGTGATTATTTAATTAGGTTTTTGTTTTTTCGGTATTTTAATCCGCTTATTAATAAAAGAATTGAACATTACATATATAATAATAAATGTATACATTTTCTTATACTTTAGATTTAAAAAACAAATGGGCTCACTGCTGAATTTTAAATATTACATACCACAAAAAATAAAAAAGACAATCATTTGCATTTCATTTTTGCTTTTGAGATGTTCTCAATAGATTTCCATTTTGGATGAATGCAAACTTGTTTCAAAAAACTGACGCACTTTGGTTCTTTGTATACCCTTTTAATGGAGAGATGAGGAGTGTATTTAAATATAAAAATATTGTCAGAAGAACTTGTCAAGACCCAGCATTTTATACTCGATTTACGTTTACAGAGAAAATAAGAAGGTATTATTTATATACAAATTCGGTACCTGGTAAGCCTTATCAAAGGGTATAATATAGTCAGAATACTGGTTTTCTAAAATTCAACGCATTATTTGTTGATCTTATCAATCTAGGCTTCAATTAAAAATATTATTAGCCTTGAAACCAACCCCATACTGCCGATGGGCCTTTAAAAAATTAAAATTTAATGCTAGATTTCAATTTAAACACATGGTTTCATAGAAGCTTTCAGCAGATAAGAGAATAGCCGTACTCAGCATTGAATGGGGGCTTGTAGACTATGCTCTATATATAGATATGACGATGGACAGTCTAACCAGAAAGAGGACGCGAATTTTCGGTATCAAGGGTTATCAAGACAGATTACTTCCGCCAATTTTCTATTTGCTAACAATAAAAACAAAACATCCAAATAAATGGTCTGGGAAGTGTACAACATTAAATGTATAACGCGTTCACCAGGCACGAAAAGAGAACACATAGGCCAAGTAAATGAGTCGGGGGCAGGGACACACTTGAAATGTATCCAAGAGATACAATTGCGTATCTTTATATGCTAATAAATGCCAGCACATTTCCCTAAAATGGGTCAAAAGAGTCCCCCATCCGTTGGCGAAGAATATGATGTTGTAATGCCCCCAGAAACTCATTTGTCGAAGGGGACGTCAGCGGTACCCCTTCCATTGCCAGGCGACCAAGTGATCGATTGACACGATCAAAGCGCTGATACGTAATGGAATAGACACTCGAATGAATGGCACTGGCGACGAGCTCCAAGCTCGGAGCTCTAAGTGCCCTGATCCGCCTCACAGATACCAAACGCGCACTCTGCGCTGGTGTGGATCCTACATAAATATTCATGCTGTCGCTGGCTAAATGCAAATGTATTGGAAATTACTCGCCTTCAATGAATCTAAGTTCTGCTTAAGCTCTAGAGTTTTCATGCTCGGGCGGTCCAGTGTTATTCGCAATCCAGCAGTTGTCGCGATCGGAAGCAAATCGGAAAATCTCCCTTGGGATCCTAAAACACACAGGCGAAGATGTATGTGTCTAACAAATTACACTTCGAGCAAGGACACATCAAAATAATTTCTCTGAAACATGTGGATAAAGGATCAAAGAATAATTAAAGCATAACAAAATCGGGTCAAGGCAAAGCCAATCCTTATAACAACTTTGAACTACGTGATAGATTATAATTTGTTTTATATATTTATTAAAGAAAAATGTGTTGCTACCGGAAAGTTATGTGCTGTGAACGTTAAAAAAATGATATAATTATATTTATATGTGTTTAAAAGAAATTCATTACAAAATAATATGTGGATATTTAAATAAATTAACTAGGAATGCTTCTTCGTAAAATACAATCAAGCATAACACAAAACAAAAATATTTTTTTAATTAAATCCAAAATATTGCAAATTAAAATTAAAATAAATAAAATATCCTTTTTAAATACAAAGTTATAAATATAAATATAAATATAAATGTATCAGTTTGGGGGATTACATCACTCTGTAAATTAAATTATACTCAATAAAAGGAAAAATGATAATTTCAGAAAGTAAAAGACGGCTGAAATATAGTCAGGACAACCCACTTGTTAAGTAAAGTCCTAAGGACAACTGTGTAAATTTCCGAAATGAAACAATACAATTAATCAGTTGGAGCGATTACCTCATACCCAAAAAAATTTAATTTAAGATCGATTGCTTTATTTTGGCATCTAACAGCATCGTGCGTGCTCATTTAAAAGAAATGTGATAACCCCAGAAAGTGCCGGGCACAAATCAGAGAGAAGGAGTAACTAATAATAACACGCACGTATATAATGTGTTGATAATACAATTTAATTTCATCTTACAGTTTGCTGGTTGTGTTGCGACGACGTCGACGCATTCCAATTGGATTCAGAAAATAATTTATTGAAATGTTGCCCTTTCGCTTGGGCCTGCTACTTGGCGCCGTGCTTCTCGTGGCAAGCGCAAATGGAGCTGCCCTCGTAAGTGTTTGAATCGTTAATGAATCCCTAGATTTTGTGCCTGTGTGGAACTAGAGTAGTTCAATGTAAATGAACTCGGTTCAAATAGTAGGCGATAAGACCTAATTTGACCAAGGTCAGTTATTCTAGCAGCATCAAATTGGGGACACTTGCAGACACATGTTGAATACGCCTGGTGATAAGGCTGACATTAGCATTGAATCTAAATGGTTTTAAATACTTTCAGGAAAAATCGCTCGCGAGTGAAGACGAGGTTTCTGGTCTAAACGACTTGCAGAGAGAAAAACGAAGTGGCAGAGGCTAGTAAGTGTTTAGCGAATATTTTGGGCTTTAAAAATAAGAACGTTCTTTCTTCCTCCCAGTTCAAGAGGTCAAACCCAGTCTCAGTACTTAAATTTCGGCAAACCCGAACAGGACGGAAAGGCCGAAGCGGAGGCCACCGAAAGTGGGTCTCGCTCAACTGTCTGTAAGACCTGTACAAAAAGAATCCCATAACATCCTTATTGACTGATTCAAAACCCTTTCAGCTGGCACCCACGGAATGGGCCAGGCCCAGAGTCAGTTCTCATCGGGAGACTGCAATGGATGTTCCGGCTACCAAACGGATTACCCCTCTTCCGGCAGAATTCTAGATGCTAGTGGAGCTGGTGGAGTCGGAAGACCCGGTTCTATTATAAGCTTACCCGGTGCAGGTGAGATCTGAACCAAAATAGGTGTATCTTCTGTTTATAAAGTTGTCATACTAATTTCAATACAGGTGTGGACGGTGGACTGGGTGGGCAGCCAGGATTTGGCGGTCAGCCAGGAATCGGAGGGCAGTCAGGAATCGGTGGACAGCCAGGAATCGGAGTACAGCCCGGAAGTGGCACACAACAGGGTATTGGAGGTTACTCACCCGGATATGGTACTCCTGGCTCTGGTAGTCAATTTGATAGCGGAAGACAACCAGCAACTGGGGCACCTGGAACTGGTGGAACACAACCTGGATTTGGTGCACGCGAACAGCCAGCATACGGAGCTCAGCCAGGGGTTGGAGTAAGCCAGACAGGAATTAGTGGAGCTCAGCCTGGATACGGAACTCAGCCGGGAGTTGCAGACCAGACAGGAATAAGAGGCGGTCAGCTTGGAGTCGGCGGACCACAAGGGGTAGAAGGTGTACGTCCTGGGGAATCAGGACTCGGCGGCGGACAGCAACAGCCCGGATATGGTACTCAACCAGGAACTGACGGACAAACTGGAGTCGGTAGTCAGCCAGGAGTCGTCGGACAACCAGGATACGGAAGTCAAGCAGGATCAGGCGGTTTCCCTGGATCTGGAGCACAGCCAGGAGCTGGGGGACAATCTGGAGTCGGACAACCCGGACTTGGACCTCAGCCAGGAGTGGGAGGACAAACTGGACTCGGAACTCAGCCAGGTCAACCAGGATTCGGAACTCAAGCTGGAACAGGCAGCTTGCCCGGATATGGAACCCAGCCCGGACTTGGAGGATCACCCGGATATGGCGCTCAGCCAGGAAGTAGTGGAGTCCAAACCGGATACGGAACTCAGCCGGGAGTTGGCCAACAATACGGAAGCCAGGGAGCAGTTGGTGGAACTGGAGTTGGTGGCCAGGCGGGAACTGGAGGATCCCCCGGATATGGAACCCAACAGATCGGAGTCGGGCAACCTGCATACGGAGGTCAACCCGGACAAACAGGAGATGGCCGGCAACCTGGTTACGGAACTCAAAGTGGAATCGGTTTGCCCGGTTATGGAACTCAGCCAGGAGCTGGCACGCAGACTGGAGGCGCTGGCGGACAAATTGGATACGGAACCCAGCCCGGTTATGGCGCACAGCCGGGAAGTGCTGGGACCCAGACCGGATACGGAAGTCAACCGGGAGATCGAGTCGGACAACCCGGATATGGAAGCCAGGCCGAAATTGGTGGAAGTCAACCCGGAATTGGTGGAGTTCAACCCGGATATGGAGTTGATAGTCAGACAGTCGGAGTTGGGCAGCCTGGAACACGTCCTGGATTTACTGGAGAATCATTAACCAGTGGCGGACAGCCGAAATATGGTAGCCAACCAATGCTAAGCGGATCGCCTGGGTATTTAACTCAACCTGGATTTACTGGGCAGATAGGAGGTCAACCAGGTATTGGTGGATCTCAGGACGGATATGGAACTCAAGTTGGAGGCACACAGCCAGGAGTTGGAGGTAGGCAACCAGGAATTGGTGGATCTCAACCTGGATATGGTGGACAGACAGGAGTTGGAGGAAGCCAACCAGGAATAGGAGGAGCACAGCCCGGATATGGAACTCAACCTGGATATGGAACTCAACCTGGATATGGAGGTAGTCAACCAGGAATTGGTGGATCTCAACCTGGTTATGGAACTCAACCTGGAGTTGGAGGCATACAGCCAGGAATTGGAGGAAGCCAACCAGGAATTGGTGGAACTCAACCTGGATATGGAGCTCAACCTGGTTATGGAACTCAACCTGGATATGGAACTCAACCTGGTCTTGGTGGACAGACAGGAATAGCGGGAGCACAGACTGGATATGGAACTCAACCTGGATATGGAAATCAACCAGGTGTTGGAGGTAGCCAACCAGGAATTGGTGGATCTCAACCTGGTTATGGCACTCCTGGACAAGCAGGAATTGGTGGAACTCAACCTGGATATGGAGCTCAACCTGGATATGGAACTCAACCTGGATATGGAACTCAACCTGGAATTGCGGGTAGCCAACCAGGAATTGGTGGATCTCAACCTGGAGTTGGAGGAATACAGCCAGGAGTTGGAGGAGGACAACCAAGAATTGATGGAACTCAACCTGGTTATGGAACTCAACCAGGAATAGGCGGAGCACAGCCCGGATATGGAACTCAACCTGGATATGGAACTCAATCTGGAGTTGGAGGCACACAGCCAGGAGCTGGAGGAAGACAACCAGGAATCGGTGGAACGCACGCTGGATATGGAACTCAACCTGGAGTTGGTGGACAGACAGGAGTTGCAGGAAGCCAACCAGGAGCAGGAGGAGCACAGCCCGGATATGGAACTCAACCTGGAGTTGGAGGCACACAGCCTGGAGTTGGAGGTAGTCAACCAGGAATTGGTGCATCTCAGCCTGGGTATGGAACTCTGCCTGGATATGGAACTCAACCTGGAGTTGGAGGCACACAGCCTGGAGTTGCAGGTAGCCAACCAGGAATTGGTGGATCTCAACCTGGGTATGGAACTCAACCTGGATATGGAACTCAACCTGGAGTTGGAGGAACCCAACCAGGAATTGGTGGGTTTCAACCGGGATATGGAACTCAACCTGGAGTTGGAGGCATACAGCAAGGAATTGGAGGAGGACAACCAGGAATTGGTGGAACTCAACCTGGATATGGAACTCAACCAGGAGTTGGAGGAGGTCAACCAGGAATTGGTGGGTCTCAACCGGGATATGGAACTCAACCTGGAGTACAGCAAGGAATTAGAGAAGGACAACCAGGAATTGGTGGAACTCAACCTGGATATGGAACTCAACCTGGAGTTGGAGGAAGACAACCAGGAATTGGTGGGTCTCAACCGGGATATGGAACTCAACCTGGAGTACAGCAAGGAATTAGAGAAGGACAACCAGGAATTGGTGGAACTCAACCTGGAGTTGGAGGAAGACAACCAGGAATTGGTGGGTCTCAACCGGGATATGGTACTCAACCTGGAGTACAGCAAGGAATTAGAGAAGGACAACCAGGAATTGGTGGAACTCAACCTGGAGTTGGAGGAAGACAACCAGGAATTGGTGGGTCTCAACCGGGATATGGAACTCAACCGGGAGTTGGAGGCATACAGCAAGGAATTGGAGGAGGACAACCAGGAATTGGTGGAACTAAACCTGGATATGGAGGAACCCAACCAGGAATTGGTGGGTCTCAAACGGGATATGGAACTCAACCTGGAGTTGGAGGCATACAGCATGGAATTGGAGGAGGACAACCAGGAATTGGTGGAACTCAACCTGGTTATGGAACTCAACCTGGAGTTGGAGGAGGCCAACCAGGAATTGGTGGGTCTCAACCGGGATATGGAGCTCAACCGGGATATGGAACTCAACCGGGAGTTGGAACTCAACCGGGAGTTGGAACTCAACCGGGAGTTGGAGGCATACAGCAAGGAATTGGAGGAGGACAACCAGGAATTGGTGGAACTCAACCTGGATATGGAACTCAACCTGGATATGGAAGTCAACCTGGAGTTGGAGGAAGCCAACCAGGAATTGGCGGAGCACAAACTCAACCCGGATACGGAACTGTGCCCGGATACGGTGGACAGACGGGAGTTGGAGTCGGGCAATCTGGACAGACAGGTGTTGGTGTCGGACAACCCGGCTACGGAATTCAAACTGGAGTTGGCGGAACGGGAGGACGCTATACAGCTGGCACTGGAGTTTCTCCTGGAGTTGGTGGTGTTGGAAGCGCTGGTGGAGATGGTAAGAAGCTACGCCGGCTTAAGGGTCATGCACAAACTAATTTTAATCTGTTCCAGGCGTTCCCGCTGCTGCAGGGACCGGTGGAGCTGACGACGCCTTCTCCCAGGCTGAGTCTTCTATTGGCGACGGACAAGCCTCGGCAAGTGCTCAGGGCAAGAAGAACGGAGGCACGGCCAAGACCCAGGTGTCTGGAACCTATAGTGCGGGCGGAACATTCAGCGCCAGTGCGATGACCTCGGATGCGGATCGCGCAGCTAGCGCTCAGGTGACCGGAACAGCCGATGGCGCCGTGAGCCAGGCCCAGGGATCAGGGGGTCCTGCCCAGTCACAGGCTCAGGTGCAATCGGCTAAGGACGGCGGCACTAAGGCCTCCTCACAGAGCGGTGGCATCGTCCAACAGAGCCAGAGCGAGGTCCATGCCAATGACAAGGGCGGACTGGCGGACGCCCAGTCGAGCGGGCCTGGACAGACCTCGTCCCAAGCACAGATCGGTTTCCGTCCCGGCCAGGAAGCTAATCCGCCAACGTCCAATAACGGCGGTCAGGCCTCGTCCTCATCAGGCGCCCACTCTAGTCAGAGTAGTTCGCAAATTCACGGAACTTCCAGGTAGAAGAAGTAGTATGATTAACGGCCAAAAGGGATCTTATAAAAAGTGTTTTGATTTTAGCTTTGGCGTTTCGTACCAAGGTGCTGCACAATCCGCTTCGGGAACCAAGGAGGAGGTGGCAAGTTACAGGGACAAAAATCGCGAACTCTTCAACACCATCAGTCAGTTCGGCAATAATGGCAATGCGTAAGTAACTCAGAAAGAAAGTGAATATTTCGCTCATATTATATCCATTTATATTATTAAAACTTTAAAAGCATTTCGAAGTTTTTTGGCGCTAAAGCTTTTCATTTCACATTCACTTTTCGAAACTTTTGTTCTTCATGGTTTTTGACATTTTTAATTTAGTCTATTCTATGTTATAAATCTGTCACTATTTAAGTAAATTTTCAGTTTTTTGAACAGAGGAGAATGGAGATTGATTATTTGTAAAGTATTAAAGTTTTTATTGTTGTAATTTGTAAACGAATAAATTTATTAAACAACGAAAGTCTTACTTATTTCGTATGGGAAGATATTTTCTTGTAAGTTTTAAGGTTTATCGATTTGAAGAAGGAATAAATAAATAAATCTTTCGCCTTTTTAATATTTGTAATGCAAAATAATTTTCAATTAAAAATATCTATACATGTATGCTATTTTGGGAAACACGACTTATAATTTGTTGTTCTTTTTTCACCTTCCAGAGTTACTGATCGTACTGATGCTGTCTATAGTGGACCTGCCCTCACTGATGACTCCGAGAGGCAGCCTGAATTGCAGCTGAAGTCGACCAAGCCCAAAGAAGAATCTGACAAGCCAGAAAGGAAACCAGACCAGCAGGAGCCCGCTCAGTACGACGATGACGATGAAGCGGATCCGGATGAATACGATGATGATGAGTATTACAACGAGAAGCCAATCAAGCTGGAGGAAAGCCCCAAATCAGTGAGCAGTGTTAAGCAACCAGAGCCAACTCCAGAGCCCAAGGTCTACATACAGACTACGCAGAAGGCGGTGGTTCTACCGGTGGTGGTGCAAAAGCAGAACAGCAAGGCTATCAATTCTGAGCCCTCAACCACCGAGGTCATTCCACCAGGATTCCGAGGCACCGTCAATGTGCAAAAGAAGTTCCACACCAAGGCCTTGGAGCTGCCCAGTCCCAAGAGGGTGGAGATTTCAGCAGACACAGCTGAAGAGGGCCCCATTCGCGGTGACAAGCCCATCGCACGGGCTCCAGACAGCTATGTCACCGTCACCAAGTCGGTGACTGGCAGCATGGACAACAGCAAGAACCCGCCGCAGGAGAACAAGAACTTCCAGTCCACATATTTTACCAAAACCTCGACATGCGGCTACTTCACCTTCTCCTGCAACATTGTTTACGGTGCGAACGGCAGGAGCAAAATCTGCCATAAGAAGACACCCACCAACGGCAAATGCTAGGGGATCATATACCACATCCCCTTACCCATCCATATTATAGTAGATCAGTTCCAAAGGGGCTCAATTATAGAACAGCTTAGCCAACCGCCATATACAAATACCTATTTGAGTTCTGATGCAGCTTGGTCTTCAGCATTTAAGTGTTTTTTGCAAATAATTTTAGAGTTTTACTGCCATTTCTTAAATATTTTGTACGTTTTGCAACTGTAATTAATATTTAACAACAAACCACAAAAAATAAAGTCATTTGCTTGATTTATTTTACCGAACTAAGGGAAAATTAAACACAAATTTTGTCGCAAGTGAGTAGATGGGAGTTCCAAAAGAGATATTGCGGGCAGCTCATCACAAAGGGCAGAAAATCGCACATGATGAAGCGGGTGCAGTCGCCTGGGTAAACTATCCTCTGTCCCAACTTTTTGTCACATACCTCCATAAGATTGTGGGATTCTTGGACCGCCACGGGACTTGGCTTTGAGTCGTTGTGAAAGCTGCCACTCCAATTTGGTACCGGAGAAGTGAAATAACATCCAGCAGGCGCCTGCAATTTGCATTGGTTCAATTCCGAGTTCCAATAAAATTCCGGAGGACAGCTCAGCAAGCGAGTCTCATAGAATCGATTACAGTCATTGGGAATGGGTTGCCTAATCACATTTTGAGACATAGACTGACCAAAGTACATCACACTTAGAGAAATAGTCAGCCAAAGTTGGAATTCCACTATTAAAAATGTGAGATTATTAGAGCGAAATTAAACAAATCACTGTACCCATACTTTTATTTGCTTCGAGCACAGATTCTTCAGTTCGTCTGAGACTCAGACACCGATCGTTGCGGTGCTTATATATCATTGATAATCAAATAGACATTATTGACAAAAAGATATCGTGTCTTCAGTGGAATTTAACTTAAAAACTTTTTATCTTATCTGTCCTTGAAACGATCAGCTTGCCCGGTTAAGTGGAAGAGTCAATAATGGACAATAATGATTGATTATAAAACAATAGCTTGCCAATTAAAAAAAGATGCTATTCAAAATACCCAACACTTTATGGATGATTCTAAATGGTAATTTCCATATGTGGAAAAAATATTTCTGCTGTTACCTTTAAAAATATATATAAGAAAAAGCATTTTAAAGAAAAGCCGGTCAACCATAGATATTAAGAATTTAAAAGAATAGAATTTTAGCCGTGTGCTTACATTGTTAATCTTAAATTCCTAGGAGTGCTTTCAGAAGAGCAGTCTTTACTTTGTGCAAGAAAAAATGCCTTATGATAAATAAAAGTTAAACACTTCAACTTGATAACGATTGCCAGCATATTGTAAGTATAAAAGGGCTTGCGCTAACCAAGCACAACATTCACTTTCTCAGTGCGCTTTCACTGGATTAAATCAGAAGTAAGAAAAATACTTTAAAGCATTACAACTTGAAACCATTATTAAATTCCTTTTTTTAGTGCGGCAAGGACCTACATTTTTGTGTCTAGTTTTAGTGGCTTACTTGTCCGGAGTTAATAGCCAGGTGCTTAATAATGGAATAGTAAGTGCTTCATTCGCTCCAAATGAATATAATATAAGAAGTTTCTATGTAGGCCATTATTACCCAATCTTCTAAGCCGATTGACCACTGCCCACCGTACGACGATCCCAACCATCCTGTAATGTTGCCGTACCCCAACGACTGTCGCAAGTATTTTGCGTGCCAGAAAGGACAGGCCTTCGAGCACCAGTGTCCTGAAAATTTGTACTGGAGCCAAATGACCTACCGCTGTGACTACAGGGAGTACTCCAACTGCAAATCAGAGGAACCACCAAAGCCCAGCAATGAGGTTAAATACAGTCCATTTCCCGGAGACTGTAGTAGATTCTATGAGACACGTATCCTTCGTTGTGAGCAGGACTATCAGTGGAGTGCCCTATATCAGCGATGCGTAGCCCCACAGTATTCTAGTTGTCAGGACTTTTCGGCTCCATTTCCTCCTTCGATCTCCTTGCCACCCTTCGATACCATACCTACTGCACCTACTCCACCATCTGCATCCTGGACTCCCACTGAAACAGAATTCCTACCAATAGATTCCCAATCCTTGTGCAAAAACAGTGTTTCCAATGCGTACATTCCGTATCCCGAAGACTGCCACAAGTTTATTCATTGCGGACCAACGGCCACCGTCCTTACATGTCCAGGCAACTTGTATTGGAATCCCAGTCAGCTTTCGTGCAGCACATCTAACGCTGATTGCCAGTATCCCCAGTGAATAAGAAAACTTGAAATAGCATTTTAATATTTGTGTATTAAAGCTTACAATTCAGATAATTTTCATTAAAAATCTGTAACAAAACTTGCAATTGTTTTTAAAGACTGCCAAATTGACAGGATGAATTCTTCCGAATCAGTTTTAACCACTAATTTAGCCGGAAAAAGACGCAAGCCATTCGGGGTGCAACCGGCCAGCTCAGCTTCCATACAGGTCAAATCAGAAGGACTAAACTCTTCGCCATCTGGACAAGCATATCCAACTGGGATGGGATCCTGACAGATTATGTACTTGCTACAATTTGCGGGATAAGGGACCACTGATCCTTCGACTTTATCCGCACAAAAGCTGTCCGTGGAAGGTAACGTGGTTGTTTTGATAGGAGCTGCAGTAGTTGGAGCTGCAGTAGTTGGAGCTGCTGTAGTTGTGGCTGGGATGGAACAATTGGCATACCACGGAGCCATACATCGCTCCAAAGTGGCGCTGAATTCCTGTCCTTCGTGGCAGTCAAAAACGATGGGCTTCGGTCGAACGCATTGGATGAATTTGGTGCAATCATCCGGATAGGGAACAAGTTTTCCCACAGGAGCTCCTTCGCAAGGATCTATTTCAGTACCTGGAGTACTTGGGATAATCACCGTTGTCGAGCTCTCGGTGGACTCTGTTACTAAAGTGGTGGAAGTGTTAATCTCCCGACAGGCTTCCGGTGAAACATCAAAGCCACATTTCCCAGTTACGGGATCGAAGAACTCTTCACTGCTACATACACCCATCATGTAAGAGGAGTCGTCAACGCATCGTATAAACCATTGACAATTTTCTTGGAATGGTAAATTATTGCCAGCATTATTAAAACATATCGAAGAAGCTGGGTTCGGAGTCGTAAGGCCGGGCGATGGAGTTGTGGTATCTTCCTTGGGACACTCGCTTACTTCCCATTCGACGCATTTCTGAAGAGCCTCGTTGAAAAACAGTCTTTCCGGACAGTAAAATGCTATAGGAACAGGACTAGCACACGCTATGTATTTACTACAGTCCTCAGGATACGTTGCATAGTATCCTTCATTTTTTCCAGAACAGATATTTGAAATATCCGAAGGGGCAGTAGTTGTTTCCTCTGGATAATTGGTAGATGAAGTGGTAGACAATGTAAAGGAAGGTGTTGTGATTGGCGAGGTGTTTTGACTTGACGAGGACTCGGTGGAAACTTTACTTTCAGTACATGCTGTTGGTGGTACCTCGGGTCCACAAATTCCCGTCTGCGGATCGTACCAGGCATTGTAGATGCAATTGGCCACCGTGGACTCCCCGTTTCCCATGCACAGAATATATTGCTGGCAGTTCGTCACCAAGGGATAAGAGGCCCCCAGCTCCTGATCGGCACAAGGATCACTCGAACCCGGTGTTGTGGCAACGGTCGTGGCAGATGTGGTTGTTGCGATGCAAGCGGTGGGCGATACATCTGGTCCACAATCTCCCGAGCTTGGATCAAACCAGGCATTAGTTGGACATTTGGCTGTCGTAGATTGACCTCCACCCAGGCAAAGAAGATATGACTGGCAGTTTGATTGCAACGGAAAGCTGGCTCCCAGTTCCTGATCTGCACACGGATTCTTCTCATTGGCTTCCGTAGATGTCGGGGCAACTGTTGTTGCAGGTGAAGTAATAATAATGGGCGTAGTGGTAGCCACGAAATCTCGGCAAGCTTCCGGTGAAATATCGGGACCACAGTTACCGGTGTTCGGATTAAACCAATTGTTCACGGGACAGGGGAGAATTATATAGGAATCGTTGCCCCAGCAGTAATAGTATTGCTGGCAATTGGTTGTATCCGGAAAGGAGGTTCCAAGCTTTTGGCCCTCGCACTTCGTGAAGGACTCAACAGTAGTAGCTGTGGTTTCCAACGGATGTTGGGTAGTACGGTCACCGTAGCACCATACATTATCCTTATAATCACAAATTTCCAGATCCGGATTAAAAAGCATTTCCCCGGGACACTCATACACTTCAGTTTTCTGATTTACGCACACGTAGAACTCATTACAATTATCAGCAGAGGGCAAAATGGTGTTATTTCTAATGCCTTCACAACGGTTTTCCAGTGGTAATTCGGTAGATGGAGGTATTGGATATGGCAACGATTCGCAGTCGACAGCTTCAGGTGTATCGCAAATCTGCAGGGGACTATTGAAGAGTTTACTACCTGGGCAGTACTCCAAGTCAGCGCATGAATCATTACACGATATATACGCACTGCAGTTATAGGGGTATTTATAAAAACCATTCGATAGAGATAGACAGAATGTGGAATCTATTTCTAAGGAAGTCAAACACTCTTTTGATTCTGATACTGATAATTCCGTCTTCATATCAATAGCATTCCAACCATTAAAATGTGACTCTTGGCTACCGTCACATATAGTTTTTGTCAAGAACAAAAAAAAAAACGGGATATATGCCAACTCTAAAAATAGATAAATGGAAAATTAATTCACTGACTCTTATTATTCTCAACTTGTCTTAAACGATGTAGAAATATTTCCTTTATAAGACATTACCTTTCATTGCGAATTTTTATATATTTTTGAATGAACTTTAAAGCTCTTCTAATTCAGTTACTGTTCGTTTGTTTAATATAATTTAACACGTTAATTACTTCAAAAATATATTGTTTGCGGTAATCTTTGGATGTTTATATCCCCACGTCTTGCAATTAACTGAAATGGGATTGACTTTTTGGCAATTTCTAGGCAATAATAACTGATTGACGCCTGCCAACGAAATCAACGTTAGACCTTTTTTTACTGATAATGACTAATAATATTGATAACATTCTATTGGAAACTTTGAGAAAACAAGTACTGACATTTTGGTCAAGGAAATAGACAAAAGCTTATTAATAATGACCGATGATAAACATCTTTCCACTCCTGTTTTCGTTTCAATTAATTTCAGTGAGATACGACAAAAACTAGAGACTCTTTATTCGTCTGCAAAAAAAGACCTCGTTATTGTTAGATATTCCTTACCTACTTTTAGGCTAAGTTAGATAATGTTATGTTTTATCGGTTATCGGTTAGCATCGGTTAATGATATAAGTCATATCACAAATAAATTAAGTAACTCTTGCTTTTCGTAAGTTTGATAATAAAAGTGTTAATCGACTTAATATTTTTTTCGAGTCTGAATAAAGTATAGATACGAAAATGGAAACAAATTTTAAATATTAATTACATTCTTCTATAAAATTAGTCCGCAAATAAGGAATGCATTTTATTGTTAATTTTTCCACCCAAAATTGTGGTTATTAACCTGGGCCGACGTACATACGTAATTGTCTAGCTTTTATTCAGGCGTAACATATGTTTTATATGAACACTTATCAATTCTCAGTATGAAAATCTAGATAGTACTGGTAGTCGGGCATCTATCTGAAATGAACGACACAATCAATGTTAACACTTTACACATTGGCAAATCATGCAAATTTGGCATAGATGATATTCTATATAAACGCAGTTTAATGAGTGGAAAGTTTCAGTTCGATTGAACACTCGATAGCGACAGACAATATAAAATGGAGCTATTCGGACTGCTTTGGGGAATTTTTGTATTTCAAGAATGTGCACACGCTGTATTACAAGTATGTTGAAAAAAAAAACATTTACAAAAAGAAAAACTGACTATGTTTGATTTCAAAGAACGGATTCGCTTTCAAGACGTCCATATGCGAGGGTAAAAACGGCGAACTTTTGCCCATGTTTGGAACTTGCAAAGGATACTATGTGTGTGCAGATGGAAGTGCTGTGATCGGGACTTGCATAGGGAATACCTTGTTTAATCCATTAACTTTGCATTGCGAAGAGGCCGATAATGTGGATTGCATTTTCGATGGCAAGGTCAGTGCAAGTGAAGATGGGTCCGGTTCAGAAAGCGATGAGGACGACGAGGAAGTGATCTTTAAAACTGATCCTTCGCTTACTGTCAAACCAGTGAAAAAGAAACGGCCTACGGCCCAAGTCACAGGGCCTGCGGATTTATTAAATAGAATGTGTACTGGCAAGAAGGATGGCGTGATGCTCACGAAAAAGGGATCCTGTGGGGAATACTATGTTTGCATGGCCAAGAAACCCCATCTTCACTCATGTCCAGGTCGACAGCACTTTAGTCCAAGTCACCGAATTTGCATGAAGGCTTCAGAGGCCAAGTGTTTAGTTGGTCCACAGAAAACCAAACAATTAGACGAACCTGCCACAACAGGAGGAGTTTGTTCAGATGATAAACAAAACTCACTCGTAGCCCATCGATCGGATTGTGGCAAGTTCATGCTCTGCAGCAACATGATGTTCCTGGTGATGGATTGCCCCACGGGCCTGCATTTCAATACCGCTTCCTCACGATGCGACTATCCCAAGATTTCCAAGTGTCAGACCAAGCTAAAGGAGACCAAGATAAAGGAGACCAAGAGCAAAAGGAAATCAAAGTCGAAAAAGAATATTCACAAGGTCAAATCCCGTCCGTTGTAACTCTATTTTGCAAGACAATTTATAAAACTTGTAATTTTAATACTAACAAGAAAGGCAGCACGACGAAGTTTATATACCCTTTCAGCAGTTACAAAATAAATTTTTCGATTTTTCCTATGGCAGCTAATGATAAATTCGTCTGATTGTGTAAAAAATAACTGAAGAAATTCCGTTCATATTTAAAAACAACGAAGTTTTGTGGATTTGCATTTTATTTTCCTTTTTTATTTTTCGATTTTTTCCTATTATATATTTTAAATCGTTAAAAATACCGACTTCTAATATAATGACAAATCAATAAATATTCGGAGATTGTATTAAGGAAATCAATTTGCTTAGGACAAATAGCGGTGACACACAACTTACTACGAACCTGATTATACGGATAAAAGTCATTGCAAAAGCAAACCCTTGCTCTGGAATAATTTAATATGAAAAAAAAAATGTTTGTATGTGTCCATTAAATCGAGGAAAAATTTTAACATTGTTAAACAGTGCCAAAAAACAAAAAATTTAAAAAAGTTCTTATTCGGCAAGGAAAAAAAAATGCATGTATAGACAAACATCTTAAATTCTTTGTTGAAGCAAGACGAATGAGGTAATTTTGAAAAGTGTTTTCTTTTATTAGTCGATTGCTTTATCATTTTTCGTCACAAAATTTGATATCAGCAATTTTGAATGTTGGAAGTGCGATCGACTTTTTTACTTCGTTAAGAGGCGTTTTTGTTTAATGTGAGTATATATTCAGAAACAACGAAGCTATAATTTTGTTTCCAACCCTTATTTTTTTAAAAAGTCTCCAATTACAACCAATTATATTTTTAATTTTATCATTTTTTTCCCAAGAGTGAACATTAGATCATGTGGCATCTATAAGATCGAGCAGCACACAGATGAACATATTTGAATTAAATCTTATGAAAGTTACCTAACCTAGTAAGTTTAAAATGTGTTTAGCCGTATACTCATTGGAATTTTAAAATGTAAAGGAACTGGTTTTAAAAATTGTCATACTTTAAACTGATTTAGACAGTATAAAAATATATATTGTCCGTCCGTTTCTACACAAACTAGTCCCTCAATTTCAAAGCTATTTGAATAAAAAAGTGGTAAACATAAAAAAAGTAAATATTTAAGTTATAATATACTTTCAAGACAAACTTTGGCGAGCTGCAAGTCAAGACTAGCCCAACCCTTAAATAAAAGCCATTAACCCTTTTCTACAATCGCACACAACAATGCGGTGCTTGATGCACAACAATGCGGTTTATTGAAACATTCAGCATTTTACATTAGCGGGCCAATCGCAAGAATCGACCTGCTTGTTGAACATCAGTCCAGAGGAACAGCTGAAATTGACCTCGCACTCGCACTGGCAGACGACATAGGCGGAACTACAGGTCCCGCTGGCATCGGCGAACATGGTTCCGTCCCGCTGGCCAACGCAGCGTCCATGGCTCTCGCAGTATGTTCCCGATGGACCGGCATTCGGACCACTGGGCGGCGCAGATCCATCATCGCAGTTCACATTTTCGGGATAGTCGCACTGCTCCGTCTCGGAATTATATTGCAAGTTGTTGGAGCACCTCTGCTGGTACTTGTTGCCATCCACACACTGGTAGAAGGCGGAGCAATTCTTCTCCACGGGCCAGATGGAGTTGTTGGGGACATCGCAACAATCCGGATCGCAGGTTTTGGGGATGCACACACCCTCAGTGTCGACGACGCACCTCTGCAGTGTGGCATTGAAGAACTGTGTGGCGGAACACTTCCTGGCCACATAGTTGCCGTTCACGCACTGCAAGTACCCGGAGCAATCAGCAGGATTTTCCTTTATCGCACCCTCGGTGCACTTCACGCAAACTCCCTCAGTATCGGGAACGCAGGTTTCAAGAGTGGTATTGAAGTAAGCTCCCTCTGCGCATTTCACATTCACATAGCTACCATTTGAACAAGACAGATATCCTGCGCAATCTGTGGGATCCACCTTTACGTCACCATCTGTACATGTGGTGCCATTACCATTGCACTGTCCATTGTCCCATTCACAAACTTCAGTTTTGTTGTTCCAGTAGTATCCACTTTCACAGGACTTAGTAACATACTGGCCCCCCGAGCAAACCTGGTACTTAGTGCAATCGCTGGGTTCGGGTTTTTGGGCTCCCTCGGTGCACTTTACGCAAACTCCCTCAGTATCGGGAACGCAGGTTTCAAGAGTGGTATTGAAGTAAGCTCCCTCTACGCATTTCACATTCACATAGCTACCATTTGAACAAGACAAGTATCCTGCGCAATCTGTGGGATCCACCTTTACGTCACCATCTGTACATGTGGTTCCATTACCATTGCACTGCCCATTGTCCCATTCACAAACTTCAGTTTTGTTATTCCAGTAGTATCCACTTTCACAGGACTTAGTTACGTACTTGCCTCCCGAGCAAACCTGGTACTTGGTACAATCGGTGGGTTCGGGCTTTTGAGCTCCTTCGGTGCAATTTACGCAAACTCCATCAGTATCGGGAACGCAGGTTTCAAGTGTGGTATTGAAGTAAGCTCCATCTGCGCATTTCACATTCACAAATTTACCATTTGAACAAGACAAGTATCCTGCGCAATCTGTGGGATCCACCTTCACCTCACCATCTGTACATGTTGTACCATTACCATTGCACTGCCCATTGTCCCATTCACAAACTTCAGTTTTGTTATTCCAGTAGTATCCACTTTCACAGGACTTAGTTACGTACTTGCCTCCCGAGCAAACCTGGTACTTGGTACAATCGGTGGGTTCGGGTTTTTGAGCTCCTTCGACGCAGTTCACGCAAACTCCATCAGTATCGGGAACGCAAGTTTTGTACGTGGCATTGAAATAAGCTCCGTCTGGACATTTCACGCTTACCAAGCTGCCATTCGTGCACTTCCAGTAACCTGCGCAATCTGTTGGATCAACCTCAAGTTCTCCTTCCGTGCACCCCGGACTGCCGTTGCACTGGCCCTCGTCCTTCTGGCACTCCTTATCCGCTGAGTTCCAGTAATCTCCGGTGGGGCAAGACTGAGACACGTACTTTCCGTTAACGCATATCTGGAACTTGGCACAGTCGGATAGGTCTTCCTTCTTGCTTCCCTCGGTGCAGTTGATGCAAACTCCGCAGGTGTCGGGAACGCAGCTGTTCTGTGTCGCATTGAAGTAATCTCCTCCGGACAGCTTACGACCACTACGGTTCCGTCGACGCACTCCAAGAATCCTGCGCAGTCGTCGGGATTCGCCGTGATCGATCCTTCCACGCAAGTTGGCGGCTTGCACTCGCCATTATCTACAACGCAGTCTCCCTTCTCCGAGTTCCAATAGTACCCGTCTTTGCAGGATTTGGACACAAATTCACCATGACAACAGGCTAGATACTTGGAGCAATCATCCGCATCGACTTTTGTCTCCCCATCCGTGCAACACTCCGCGTTTAGGGATCCCACGAAGAGGACCATCGAAACGAACAAAGAAACTAATGAGAAAAAATTTTGGGTGAGGATCCATCCGCTTAACACTCAACCGTCCGTCCTTACCATAGTGTCTACTCTTGGACTGAGCCATCTTTGCACTCCGCATATCGAACACTCACTGATTTCTCTTCGGTCCATTTCGGCTTTTATATTTACCGGCAATTAAAATAATTAAATGCCTTTTCCTGCTCGGAAGCATGTGCCAATGATAATGTGGAACCATTCTGATATTATCAGCATATATTTACAGTAGTTATACAAGCCAAAGAGATTGTCACTATTTATAAAACTCATCGGGGAACACAGAATCCGTGAACTCAAAGAGTGCAAAGGGAAATAGATTTCTCACATTTCCTTTTTAAGTTTTTTTCGAACACAGTAGTTAAAAATAAGAAGAAAAGCAAACTTTGGCAAGCCGAAATTTATATACCCTTGCAGCTATGGCAAAAAATAATCTTTCTATTGAGATTTGATGCTTAAAACAATGAAGCTAGGTCGATTTTCCGATAAATGTTTCTATCGTTCCTATGGAAGCTAGATATGTGATATATAATTTTTCCATTTTTATTATTTTCCTTAACAGTAAGAAGACTTTTTGCAAATTTTCATTCAAATAGCTTTAAAATTGAGGGAATAGTTCGCGTAGAAACGCACAGACGGCCAGATCAACTCTCCTGGTGAAGCTGATCAAGAATATATACATTTTATAGGGACTGAAATGAGCCCTTCACTGCTTTGCAAACTTTTGACTGAAATTATAAGACCCTCTGCATATAAAAATCTATAAAAGGAAATGTTTAATTGAGAGCCTTTAAAATGATTTAACAAATTTTTGGTTTTCATAACGAATTGGTCAATGCAGCATAGCTAGCTAAAAATGCATGTACGCTAGTGGACAAAATGCTAACCCAACGCAAACTTTAGCTGTTGGTGTAGTGTGACTTGCTTGATGCCTTTTACATTTTTCTTGTTTAATACAAAAAATTTGAAGTTTAATTTTCTTTGTCAGGGAGTCCTACTGCACCGAAAAAATAAATCGCTGTCAAATTAATTTTGTAAGCTAGTTTTACTTAAGAAAGCAAGTACGGTTATTGTTTTTGGTAATATTGGAGAAGCTAATTAAGATCGACAGACAATTTTAACTGCAAAAGCAGAGATTTGCCGGCACCAATATGCATACCCCTTCTTTTCTTTGACTAAAGGGTATTTCTAATCGTTAAGTTTATGCCCCTGTTTTTGATCGAGTGGCCACAGCTGCTGGCCCATGCCCGCCGCAAACTGATAAGAATGATTTATCACCCCGGAGTTTCATTAATAAAAGGGGCCCATTGGACCAGATCCCAGTTGCCTTGACAATTATTTGCTTTATTCGACAATCGGTCATTTAAAGAGTGCAGACTACATCGTTTTTATAATTGCAGGTCTGCATGTCCTGGTCCCAGTACAACCCACCAGGGCACTCCATCTCGACCTCGCACTCACACTGGCAGACGACATAGTTGCCACAATTTGACGTGGATCGGAAGAAGGTACCCTCGCGTTCACCCAAACAGCGACCATTACTCACACAGGCGATCCCCGAAGGTCCTGCATTGGGACCCGTTGGCGGGGTGTACTCCCACTCACACTTATAATCTTCCGGATACGCGCACTGTTTAATAGACGGATTGTAGACCAGATTATTCGGACAGTATTGGTCCACGGCGCAGTTGAAGTTGCACTTGTAGAACATGTTGCACTTGCCTTCCACCGGGAAGAGCTCTCCCTCCGGCTGATCCTGGCACACTGTGCTGGTGGAATTGCATGGCACCACGGGCACATAGTTCGCAGGATAGTCGCACTGTTCCGAGGTGGCATTATAGACCAGGCCATCGTAGCACACAACCGCCGAGGAACGACTCGCCGAGGAACCACTCGCCGAGGAACGACTCGCCGAGGAACGACTCGCCGAGGAACGACTCGCCGAATCACTGTCTCGCACATAATCGCACACCTGAGCCTTCTCGCTGAACTTCAGACCGTCGGGACAGGGCATCGCAACTGGGCACTGGCATTGGCAGACTAAAAATCCATCTGAATCGGGGTCCTCGAACATCTCTCCGTCCTTCTGCCGGGCGCATACGCCCTGGCTGGAGCAGGACGTTCCCGAGGGTCCTTCCAACTCGCCCGAGGCATCGGCGGTGGGTATGCAGTCCACGTTCCACCAGTAATCGCAGTCATTTACCTCCCGGTTGAAGTACAGCCCAGAGGGACAATGGAACTCCTCGGCGCAGCCATCGTTGCATTGAAGAAAACTAACGCAAATGCCGGGCAAATCGATATAGGTTCCAGTTTCCTTATTTACACAATCCGAGCGAGAACTTTTGCAATTCGTGGGCGCAACGCCCGGGCTTGCAGGTGTGGTATTGGAGGAGTTATTAGGGTCATCGTGATCTGTGGTTGCAGTGATATCAGTTGGTTCAGTGGAATCAGTTGGTTCAGTGGAAGCCGAGGGATTCGAAGGGTCTGTCACCGAAGTGGGGGTATCCGGTTGGCAGTCCTCGGTGACAGCAGTGGTTGCTTCATCGATCTCATCGATGGGGTCCTGACACTCCTCGACGCAACAGTCGCAGGTGCACTGATCATCCACTGCGGCGAATGCTGAGAGCCCCAGGCAGTTGGCTCGCCACTGGAAGTCACACTCTCCGAGCTCCCGATTGAAGTGAAGGCCGCGCGGGCAGCTGCCAATGATGGAGACCTCTCCCCTTAGGCAGACCACAAAGCGAGCACAGTGGGTGGCCAGGGGAAGTCGGGTTCCATCCTCCTCTTGCAGGCAGACACTTGTCAACTGGCCCACCGCAACCTGAAGACCTCCGGCCAGCAGGAGAACCGTCCAAAGACCTAAGCGATTGACTATATTTGGGTTACCAATCTCAAGGACCGTGCCCTCCACCCACACTCACCAATATAATCGAAGTTGCGCATTCTCGACCGTTCAGCTTTGAAGTAGTCCAAAATTCGCGAACGACTAAGTGGCAAACAGGGCAGAGTGGCAGCATTTAACTGCCTCGAGTGCTCCGAATCGGTAGTCAATCTTCTGATAATACCAATCACCATATCTATCTCTCGATTAGTTCAGCAACTGATTTGTTTGCCCCGCTCGCTATCGCAGGTGCAATTAGGTGGGCATGTCTGGAGCTCGGGGCTGGGGATTCGGGTGCCTTATCTCCACCTCCATCCCCCACACCATTACCGCCTAGAGGGAACCCAAACATTTTGGCATAGGTCTGCGGACTACCAATTTTTGAATGAGGCCCGACCTGGCGTCTGCCTAATTTATGTCTTTCCACGCTCCCCGATAAGCACAAAATGATCGCTTTATTGACACTTGAAATTAAATGACGTTTATTGTCGCTCAAAATGAAGTGCCTGAAAAACTTACACATTTTTTTAAAATTCTGCCGATAAAATGGGAACCCCATTTACCATAATGCTCGACTCCTATGTACTTAGTTCTTTAAACGTATTTTTTGGAAAAGGCAGTGTTTTTGAGTTTGTATAGAATTGGTATATATTATATAAGATTTTTAGGAATCGTCCGGTAAGAGATAAGAAAAAGAGTGGTTACATGGCTTTGAAACTGAATGAATGAACTTGTGTCTATCCCGAAAGACCGAATTGTCAGTTAAAAATTAGTATGGCTAGTAAGAAAATTTAAAATCGATTGACATTAAATCTAATCTAATCAACCTATGTAATTTACACAGCACAAAACATAAAAGAATGTTTTCTGCAGTAATTTTTTTTTAGATTCTTACATTAAGTAAATTCAGAAATGAAATGTGGTTTTTAAATTTTGATTTCAATATTTGTATTATATGTTCCGTATCTTAAATTAGAACCCATCAAGCCAAATTCACAATCAAATGGTTAGCTATTGCCGAAACCTTTTTATAGCCGCTATCACAGTTCTATGTGTACACTCTCTTAATTCCTGGAACTGCATGCAATCTTCCCGATCCAAGTTTACTGATAACAAAACCATTCAGAACAGTTCTTCAAATACCTGATATAGCATTGAACTTGTCATTTCACTGGGAGATGCGTTCTTAGCTCGGATGCGAATTTTAATGACGAAAATTACTTTTCCCTGTCATTTCACTTGGGTTACTGGAGCGTCTCAGCCGCGGGGGCAGCGAAGTCTATTTGTCACAGAAAGGCAATCGGTTCATGACAAGTACTGTTATGGGCTTAGGAACTTGGAGGAACTAGAAACAGATCGCCGAAGACTGCGGTGAGAGGCTTCCTGCTCCGCGACTCTCGAGTTGGGATGAAACTCAAGACAATGCAATTCTAATTATTCAAATGCTGGCCAAGTACGCTTGAATTAAATTACCAAACTTGGGGAGACCTAAATGGAAGAAAGGAGAGCAAAAGTTGTACTAAGACCCAGGCCCTTGAGTTGGAAAGGCTTAGACTCTTCGGTGTCCATTACACTTCACGCATCGCCCTGGAGACGACTGCTCGTCGGAGGCCATGAGGGGCAACAAAAGACGACGGCCCAGCGGAAATATGAGTGGATCTGCCATCGCACCGATACAGCCTCTATTATAAAAATCTTCTCAGGTGTAACAGGTTTCTCAGATTTAAACAGAGGTCGCGCCTGTTTCATACACAGTCATCAGCGACACTCGCTTCGCAAACGATCGTTAATACGGCTTTCAGACGGGGACTTCAGTCCAAAAGTGGCAGGATCGAAATCAGGAGCTCCATCCACCCAGCACACTTCGAATCGAAGAACTGAGATCGATTGGTGCATAGATATCAAGGGAACCCGCTCATTTCAACTCTAGCACCATTCGAAATCAGTGCTTTTGATAAGAATCAATCAGCAGAGTGCCTTAATCGAAGTGAATTTTAAATGAGCCTTCGAATAACTGAGACCAGAACGATTCAAAATGTAAATGTACATGTAAAGTTAACTCAAATTAACAAGTAATGAGTGCCAAGTGGTAACCGCGTTGCTGAAAGAAGCCAATAAAGTGCAAGCGTGACTCTGACCGGGTCTTTAGACGACGCTCAAACTAAATAAACAACATTTGCTTCATCATTAATGGAAATAGATTTCTTATCGCTTCCGAGTCGAAAAGTGTCAAAAGATTTCATGGTTGACACTATGTTTTTATTGATTGTGAAGAAGGCGTATATGGTGACTAAAAGTATTTATTTTCATTGGGACCTTTTGTGGCGTGCTCTAACCTCGGACTTTTAAGTTTTAAAAGTATAGAAACCCTTAGAAATATATTCTGGGAAAGTACAGAGTTTAATAATTAAATATATAAAATTAACAGAAAAATCCACGTAGATTCTAGTTTGGGGAAATATAGAGTTTAATTATTTAAATTTAACATAAATAAAAACATACATATATAGAATATAGATCAATTGATGGCACTGTAATTTAAAATGAATAGCATTCTTATCTCAACGGATCCACAAAATATTGGACTGTTTCGATGTGGTATTCTACATGACCAAAACACAACCAAAATGTAACCCTTCATTTGCCAATCGAAACTTTCTACGATTGACCAAAAAGCAAAAGTTATAACGTAATTGGGTGTAAATCACAGTGCATTGCTATCTTCAGTAAACTGATTCCTATTTTAAGTTTCAATTAACAGTTCATGTTGCTTAATACGCTTATCGATATATAAAAATAAACACACTATCTAATAAAAGTCTATACACAAAGGCAATAATCTTCCAACTTAACAAACAATTTTTAGATAAAAGCTTAAATGTTTTTACTCAAGATGGTGTTTTTTTTCTTTCCTCCTGAATTTTTTCAATATCATTTGTAAGTTTTTTCTGATGTTTTTAAATATTTTATATCAAATGCAGACTTAAACTAATGCCCAATATTGTATGTCAAGCAGTCACCAAACAATTTAATTGAAAACCAAATGATCTTTGTTTGTGACAAGAACCAAATCTAATCTATTTTGGGTGTAGTAAATTAATGAAATCCGAATGGGAAAATCTGCGATTTGTCATTTGGGAGAAAATATTTCTATAAAAGGCCCAGGTGGCTCCTTCCAACTGTTAGTTTAATTTGTTAAAGCTAAAGAGACGGGGAACCTATTGCAAAATGCGAGGTGATGGCGGTTTGCTCGGATTAATTAAAGTGAAATCTAATATATATAAACAATTCCAGGACTTTCAAGTTCGTTGATCCTGCAGGCCTTGTTGCTGGTCCTGATGGTTCATCTGAGCACCCAAACGCAGTACCTCAATTCCACTGAGGACATCTGTCGCCTTTTTAAGGATGGAACCAAACTCCGAAAGCCCGGAACTTGCAATGAATGGATTGAGTGCAAAGGCTTTGCCACTTCAGAATCCGGAACCTGTGATAGCCAATATTTTAATCTTGCCAATGGCGCATGCAACAAGAAATTGGACACCTCATACTGCTCAACATCGAGTATATGCACATCGTCGACAAAGGGTTATATGGGCGATACCTTAAATTGCGCGAATTGGTACCTCTGCGATGGAAAATTACTGAAGAGTCAAGGAGCTTGCACATCAGGAATGTACTTTGATCAAGAGAAGCAGATGTGTGTCTACCCCAGAGACACTGTTTGCACCGCCAAATACGAGATGTGCGACATTGTGCCTGTGGGTGTGGCTTTCCGCGATGAGGCGAACTGTAACAAGTACTTCACCTGCAGCTCGAAATTCGCACTGGTGGACCACACCTGCGACACTGGCAAATATTTCGACGTGGCCACGGCTACTTGCGTCGAGAGCAAGCTCGTCGTCTGCGATAACCACCCACTGCCGGATGGCGCATGTGGCAACAAGAAATTGGCCGTGCGCAACAAGTTCGTTTCGGACGGGGCCACCTGCCGTGGTTACCTATACTGCCGGGATCTTGGGTCCGGAGTCCCCGATCCCGACCCCATTCGTCAGCAGTGCGGCGAGAACTACTTCTTCAACCAGGAGCGACAGGCGTGTATGCCCAGCGAGAGCCAGAAGTGTGTACACGACCGATGCGATGGCCGCCAGGATGGCTTCGTGGTGACCGAAACAGAAGGATGCCACAATTACGTCGAATGCGTCGATGGGCGGGAGGGTACAGTTTTCACCTGCGATAATGATGAGTACTATAATGTTGCCACACAAAAATGCACCGCAACTAAGACATCCTATGAAGCTTGTAGTGCTTAGTGGCCCGAATGCAGGCGCCTTTTTGCTAAAATATGATTATTTACAAAATACCAAATGTTACTGTTTATAAAGGATCTGATCGCCTTAATTAAAGATACAAATTAAACGTATGAGGCCAGGCTAAGTTTTGATAACTGAAAACAGTCCGGGTATTTCCATTTTTCTTAATGTGCACCTTTCGTTTTGAAGCATTCGTACACATACGCTCCGAGACAACAACCATTTGAATCTAGCCACACTATAACTTAAAATAATTAAAAAAATATAATTTTCACCCTATTTTGGACACCACTAATTCATCGCCCACGATCAAAATGAAAAAATAATACAGAATTGTAATAGTAAGCATGATCAGTTTAATTGATTGTGTTTACGCTCGCCTTTTTCAGAGCTATTTATGACTGGCAATAAGTTACAAATTATTTAAATAAGTTAGCCAATTGGATCTTAAATGGGCTTGTAGTCCAGCTTAGACTCCAACTTCTTGTTGTCGGCGATTTTGCGGACAGCCTTCATGAAATCCTCCTGCACAACGTATTCTCGGTCGCAGCGCAGGGCGAAAAGCCCGGCCTCCGTGCAAATGTTCCGTAGATCGGCGCCATTAAACATATCCGACAGCTTAACCACCGCCTCGTAGTCAATTTCGCCGCGCTTCGACAGCGGTTCTGCGTGAATCTTGAGGATGTCCATGCGAGCCACCTCATTGGGCAGCGGGATCTCCAGCTTGCGATCCAGTCGCCCGGGACGCAAAAGGGCAGGATCCAGTGTATCCGGCCGATTGGTGGCCATGATCATTTTCACCTGGCCCAGGGCATCAAAGCCGTCCATCTGGTTGAGCAGTTCCATCAGGGTGCGCTGGATCTCGCGGTCGGCGGAAGTTCCCTCCGAGAAACGCCGTCCTCCGATGGCATCGATCTCGTCCATAAATATGATGCACGGCTGGTGATCGCGGGCGTAGGCAAACATCTCGCGAATCAGACGGGCGCTCTCGCCAATGTACTTGTCCACAATTGCCGAAGAGACCACCTTCAGATAAGGTTGAAAAAATATATTTAAGTCTTTGGTTTCAAGTAACAGTCAGTACCTTTTAGCTTATTTTTGGAAACTCAGCAAAATGACCTTTTCTCTTTACAACAAATTTAACAACACCCATTTTTCTGTTAATATTTCTTTCACATTGGACATGTTGTAAAAATTTATTTTCATTTACAAAAATATTACAAAGCAATAACATTTAGATTTTGTTTCGGAAAAAAACAATCTTAACATTAGTAAACAGATATATTAAATATATGTAATATATAAGCACTTTTAAGTTCTTAACTAAATTGTCGAATTCTTGTATTATTTATACCAGCAAAATTAGTTTTATTTTTGAAAAGGGGGAATCTCTCAAAAGGATAATCTAATGTGGCTTCCATACTAAGGAGTAGCCAAATTAATACATCAGCTCGGAATCGGATGATGCAAAAACCTTACCTTCAGGAAGTTAGCGTCCATCTGGGAGGCGATGGCGCGGGCCAAGAGGGTTTTTCCGGTGCCAGGTGGCCCATAGAGCAGACATCCCTTGGGCGGATTGATGCCCACACGGATGAAGATTTCTGGATTTAGCAGAGGCAGTTCGATGACCTCGCGAAGCTGGCGGATTTGCTCGGCGAGACCGCCGATCTCGGAGTAGTTGACGTTTCCGGGATCCTCGTGGGTCATGTTGTAGACCAGGGGATCCACTTCCCGCGGCAAATAGCGCATGATGGTCAGAGTGGTCACATCGAGGGCGACCCGAGTGCCGGCCTTAAGTTTCGCCTTGTTGATCTGCCGCCGACATCCGACCACGTAGCGCGGACCATTCGAGGCCTTCACGATAAAGTTGTCCGGAGTCAGCTGCTTGAGGACCTCCCCGAGCATCTGCCCCACGCTCTGCAGCGCCATTAGGTCCGCCTCGGATTTCTCGTACTGAGCGTTGAGCACCTTGTGCTTGTCCCGCAGCGCCTTCAATCGCGACTCCACCTCGCGGTGCTCCAAAAGCTTGGTGCGGTATGAGGTCAGGGCCTTGAGTCGTTCATCGTCCATCGGGGGACGTGCTGGTGGAGCTGCCATCAGAATAGCCTGGAATCTCAATTATTTTAAACTACCCCTAAACTTTTCTCGCCGAACAGCTTTTCAAAAATGTGCCAACTCACCTAACGATTTTGACGTCTGTCAAAGCGAATCGATAGTAGCCCTGGGATGAACCGTTTTAATTGTGAACTACTTGCACTCTAGAATCTTGTGAACTACTTGCACTCTAGAATCTTTTCGGAGCGGAATTGGAACATGAAAAAGAAACGATTTATTTAAACAGAATAATTGCGATATTAACATAATTTATCAAGCCAAAATTTTTGTTGTAAGTGATGCAATATATAAATATATTTATTATTTTTAAATTTTTGCTTTAAGCGAATTTACCAAGTTTGTAGATTATTCCGACTAAAATCTCTCACATAACACAATTTTTCAGAAAAATAATCGTTAACACGTTTGTACCTATTTTTAAAATATAAAACTTGAACGAAATAAAAAGATTAGAAGCTGGGATAGTAAAAGTTACCATTTTTATTATAAAACTCCTTTTTTACCGCAATATTTTAATAAAATTAACTGCGTGAAAGGTGATTTTTCGGAATTTGTAGTTGCTGCCAATTTTTGAAATCTATCAAACTTTTTTAAAATAATATCCCCTGAGTTTATTTTATTCATTATTAAAAGTTTATTATCAGAAGTTAAAAATAATGACTTAAAACATGGGAGTGTTGACCGCCACTTCCATGCCTTTTACGCTAATGTTTCTCCGCCAAGATTTTAGAGTTGCACGTAAAAAATATTCGGCTAAATTCGTAGATACTTAAAATTATAGTCAAGTCCCACAGATCACATCCCAGTCAGCCTTTGACAGTCGTAAAACTCGTGGTCCCATGAGCCAGCATCACACAAGAAAAACATTATAAAAATACTTTCCACTTAATTGACTTTACTAAGTGCTATTCGACAATGGTGAATACTGCTTTGTGCGAATTTATTAAAAATCTACAATCGCAATCCAGAGGTACGAATTAATTCCAAGCAGTATATTTTAAGCCAGGTGAATTTAACATTTGTTGGCTTTGGTAATAATCTTTTATTTTGGCCTTAACTTTTAAAAATATATAAAGCTTTGAATATAATTGATCTATTGTTACACACATTATTGGTTGCGTTAATATACCTTTAAAAATATTACGCTTCTTGTGGTGCAAATATACTATTATTACAAAAGCGATATTTAAAACAAATATCAAGAAATAAAATCGAGTTGTTAACGTTATCGATAGACGCTTTTCAGATTCCTCATTTTGGAATTATCAAGCGAACTGAAAGGTAAGAGCACTTTTTTTATAAAGTTCATAAATTTTAATAAAAGAATTATTGTGTCTTTTAAGTCTACAGTAATTTTAACCAATTCTAAATGAAAATTTGTATCCGTAAAAACCCACAAAACAAAAGCAAACAATTGCGTTTATTTCTTAGTATGACGGGGGTTCCCAGAAATAAAAATTTGTATAGAAATTATGGAATAAGAGTTCAGTCAATTATTTACCAAATATAATATTTTTTTTTAATGAAATTCTTTTAAGTCTACAGTAATTTTAACCAATTCTGCTATATGAAAATTTGTATCCGTAAAAACCCACAAAACAAAAGCAAACAAATGCGTTTATTTCTTAGTATAACGGGGGTTCCCAGAAATCAAAATTTGTATAGAAATTATAGAATAAGAGTTTAGTCAATTATTTACCAAATATAATATAATAGTTAAATTTATTAAATTAATTCATTTCAATTGTCCTACAACAATTTATAATTTTTTAAATACTTTCCAGGCGATTTAGCGTTTGATTCATATTTAGAACATAAAGGAGTGTAAAATGAGTACCAAGTAAGTTTAATTCAGGTTATTAGATTTTGCCATCCCTTAATATACTTGCCTTGCTCCCTAGGCTTGATTCTGTTTTTTTAGATATGCTGGAGAATGGAAAGTTCTCTGATTGCCGTATCGAGGTTGAATCGGCGACATTTAAATGCCACAAGATCATATTGGCTAGTGTATCCGGTTATTTTGAGCGCGTGCTCCTAACTGAGTCCGAAAATCTTTTGCTATCTGATGTTAAGATAGACACTTTTAAAAAGTTTCTTCAGTACGCATATACCAAAAGCGTAATGGATTTTGAGAAGTATTCAAGTGCCATTCTTATGGAACTCTTCGAGTGCGGATCGAAGTGGTTAGTAACATCGATGACCACCATCTGCTTGCAGCTCCTCGAAAAGCGTGGGGAGTCTATGACCCATGGCGATTTGTTAAAACTTTTTGAATTTTCGCATAAAGTGGATAGTTCAAAACTCATATTTGCCTCGAAAAAAGTAAGTAATTCTATGATTGGGTAATGAATTCATAGCATTTTTAATCGGTTCATTTCTATGCAGAATTTGCAAAGCCGCTTTGCCCACAGATTATATTGCTTCCAAGCGCTTCGTTTGGCCCCAAAAATCTTTGAGCAGTACTTTCTTGCTACCATTAATTTCCTGCCAGAAGTCAAACGGTTCCAGATGATCGAGGCCTATATTCGCATGCATGGTGATAACGATGAGAAATCAAATCAGAGATCGCTGAAGGACAAGGACGATGAGGATATTGAAGAAAATGTCAGCTACTATGGTTCCGAGATAGAATTGAAGCCGAACAATGTTGCCTCCAAAACTCAAAGTATTGAGAAGATTAATATTGAACTGCCTAACTCAAATTTCGTGAAGGAACTTCTAAGCTACATTGACTATAGTTCGATGAAGACTAAGGATTTTTATGAAGTTGTTGGAAAGTCCTCCTTGTTAACTTACCAAGAAAAATTCGAAAATCTTTTCTTAACTGTTAAGGATTCTTCTAATGATGATTCTGGCGAAGATGATGAATGAAAATGTTGTTAGTCACATGTTAAAATAAAAACAACAAATTAAATGAATTTTCAAAAATAAATTCCTTAATATGTGTTCCATTGACGGAAAACAAAATTTCTTAAAGAACAATAAAAACATGATTTTCAGAGGACAAAGATCAATTTCAATATTATTGTTCAGAACGCACTTTAAGGCAGTTGTATTTTTTTAGTGAAAAATAATTTTTAAATTAGGTAAAAAAATGATTGATATTTTAAAAAAGGCTTTTATAAAGTTTTTAATCATTAATGGTAGTAATTGGGTTTTAGGCGATTGGCATTAATAGCTTGGATATGAATTTGTAAACTTAAATTGTGCAATTGTACAGAGGCAGCCGTGAGTTGACTTTCATTCTTTCGCTGGCACGTAAATACCATTGAGTGTGTAGGAAGGTGCTGTCCGGGAACCAAATTCCCAGCATGGCATTGCCATTCAGGCAATAAATCAGGCCATTTTGGAAGCTCTCGGTGTTGCGGGTCCAGCTGCTTCGAGTGGCGAGGCCAGCGCGACCAAAACATCGAGATGTCCACTGGGACAAGTGCATCCGGAGGCCGAAATGCCTCATAACAAATATGCAGCTTGCAACTGTTTAATGAATTTTGGGCCCGCCTCGCGTAGCAGCGCCAATTGTCGAAAGCCTCTAAATTCCCACGTCTCCTTTTTTGATTCACCATTACATAAAATCCGTTGGTGGAAATTTGTTACTAGTGGATATTTTTCTTGTCCTCTTGCTATTGGGCTCTTGGACGGTAAATAACGATAATAAGTAATTAAGTTAAAAAATTGAATTTATGATGTTTTATAACCAAAAATCAAAGTATAAAAGACATTAGAGTATCAGAGCAGTCTTTTAAATAAAAAAGGCAAGCCTGTTATGTTACATTTATGTTGTTAAAAAAAATTAAATATTGTATATTTTAATTTTTATGTATATATAAAAACAAAGCTTGGTCGATTTTTCGATTGTTTCTATGGAAGCTATATGATATAGTAGGCCGATCCGACTTCGAAAGCGTTTCCTGATTAAAACGAATTATTAATAATGTTATTTAAAGGTGTAAGCCAAAATGGTTGGTCATTATTGTTTGGTTTGTTATAGAAGCCTATATTTTCTGCCTTACTGCCTTCCTTACACAAAAAAAATCAGTATCACCCACTCGAAAGGATATTGTTGAGAGGTGGAAACCAAATCCCGCCCACTGGCTAAAAAAAATGTAAAGAGGAAGGGAAACACAAAGAACAGAAGTATGAAGTTTTCTGCAAACGATACTGAAATTCTATTCAATAAAGTTGGGCTCTTGGATGCCCCGATTTTTGTTGCATGGCACAACATGCGGCACAGATGTTCCCCGCTATCCAAAGTTCGCCATTTGGCCAAAAGAAGAGGGCTCTTCGATTTCGTCTCACTTATTCCAGTGTCCTGTCCCCATGAAAGAAATTAAACGCAGAGCCGCAACAAGACGCCTTGTTGCAACTTTCGCTTGTTTTCGATCTTGACTTCTGGCATCCGCTGTGACAGGGAATTACGACCGAGCACATGGGCGTGGCTGGCCAACATGTTCCCGGAGAAATATGGCTTGACTCCGACATCAACTCACTTTAAAAGCCCAATTTGATTTAACATAAATGAAACAAGCTATCTTTTTAAATTTTTATTTTTTAACTGCCAAAAAAAAATTTGTTAGCTGCTCTTAATAATTCAAGCTGCCTTTAAGAAAACTACCGTTTGATTTTATTCATACATACATACATGAATGTACATATGTATGTTTGGCCGCTGCCTATTAATTTTGTGAGGCCTTGTATCTAGAATATAATTTGCATATGGATGTAGCATGTGCTAATGCAAATTTTAGACCCAGCTTGAATTTCATTAACACGATTCGGGGAGAGAAACGGTGCAAACACTTACATACTTCCCGCCATTTTCCGATTCCCGCCCTCAGGCACTCATCCCGTCCGATGCTTGATGGCCATACATCAGGATGAAGGATGAGCACTCCAGGGGATGGATGTGCCATGTGCAAGTACTTACATATGTACGCAGGTAAAGGTGTGCGGAATGTGGCCATGCATTGTAACGCTAACTGGTGTCGCTGTCAAGATGCAAGAAATGTTCACACTTCAAAAAAAAATAACAAAATAGAAAAAATTACACACTCTTATTGTTTTTATACTGCCATTCTTAACTTCTTCGTCCTATTGGTGTATTTAAGGCATACCAGAATAAATTGTGTGGAAAAATTGGAAGAAAGATTTGTTTGCAAAAAATTCTTACTGTCTATAAAAGCTTTGCCACCAAGAGTAATTTAATTTTTTCAATCAAATAAGCAAATATCCACAAGCCGTTGTTTATATACCCTTTCAGCTGATACAAAAATTAAATGTTCTATAAAATTACTATATTTTTATTTTTATTTTCTTAAAAAAAATTAACATATGTTGATTTACTGATCGATTTTTCGATCGTTCAATGGCAGTAATCGTCCGACTTTTATGATATTAAAACCGTATTTCTAAAACTTTTTAAAATTAGTATATACCATATTATATTATATAAAAATCTAGTATTTTAGTAAATATATAAACGTATATGCTCAAAAACAACGAGGTTATATTTTTTTCATTTAATTTTGCGATTGTTCCTATTGGAGCTATAAATATAGTCGTCCAATCCAGCCGCTCCAACATATACTACATGCAGTAGAAAAAATAATATTTTATTTCCAAATTGTTTCAAAACTGATAGACTGTTTTGAGTAGAAACCGACAGACGGACTAGATTGGCTCTCCTAAGAATGCTGAACAAGAATATAAATACTTTATTGGGTCGGAGAAGTCTCCTTCGTTACGCTGCATACCTAAAATTATTATACGTTATGAAAATTAAATAAAAATAAATGTATTATATATATTCATTTTGGAAATCTATTTTTCCTGAGTGTTGGGTTGAGGGGCGGTGAGTGTTTTGAGTTGAGGTTAACAAAAATGGCTGTGCGTCGTGCTGCTCACTGCGAAATTGCTTTGGATGCCAAATGAATGCACTTGCATATTTCATTGCCGCCCTGTCACCTGCGGCCTCACCTGCGGGCCACCTTTGGCCGTAAGTTGGGAAAACCCCATCATAAAAACAATGGATGTTAGCTTTCCTGCTAGGTGCAATCGTAACTTTGATTATGGAGCTCGCTTTAAGGTAAAAAGAGGCATAAAAAATTATAAAGGACATAGGCTGCTGAGTACACGTTAGATAAGAACATTAGAGCACTAACTGGGAAAAGTTTTGTGCTGTACTCTATTAGTTTATTTCAAATTTGAAAGGTTTGTACAAATTCAAACTTTAATATTGTGGGTATTAATCTTTTTTTTTTGTACAGAAAATCAACTTTTGGAATTAAAAAAATTGAAAAATCCATTTTAAAATAATTACTATAGAATGCATACATTTTTTTATTAGGATTAAAATAAAATAAACAGTTTGTTATCGTAGTTTTAATTCTTTTTATTTCACTTTATTTTAATTTTATGTTAGCGTGCTTTTTACAATGTCTCTCTGTTTCTCTCTTTTTATCGTAAAGTGACCGTTCTCTGATATTCACGTTATCCTTAGCCTTTTTCAATATTAGTTTTACTTAGTTCTATATCAAATCGGAACAGCGGGATTGTTACATAAATGTGGATGTTGGTACTTAATTAATATAACTTAGAAATAGCTATAGACATGTTAATCACATCATCATACACTGCTTACAGCTCGGCCATCCTGACAATTAGATCGTCCTCGATCGTGGGTTTCTAGTTTATATAAGTATTATTAAAATGTTCTTACGTTTAGTAAAATAAATATAAATATAAATAATTTGTAAAGAATAAGTTAAGTTGTAAAATTTTGGTTAATAATTTAGATATTAATTGTTTAAATATATATAGGTTAGCTTAACATTTATTAGGAGTTAATTTCACACTGATTACGCCAATCTGCCCATTTTCGTAACCGACATGCTTCTACAATTCCATCATAGGGAATTTGACTAATTTGACAATTTTCAATATCAGCTATAACATATCTATCGTTTGGCAAAATTCTTTTAACGACGTATGGTCCTTTGTACTTCGGTACAAATTTTTTATTTATACCAATTGTGGTGTCAATGTTTCTCATTACAACAAAATCGCCTTCTTCGAATTCTACATGACTTTTGTAATTTTTCTGATAATATTCCTTGCTTCTTTTCTGAGACTGTTCTATTTTATCTGAAGAATTCTTACGGACATTTCCTAAATCGCACTGTGGTCTATCATTTCTATCATCTAAATATTCTGTCAATGCGTCAATATTACACCCTCTCTGCTGAACTCCAAATAATAATACTGATGGTAATTCCTTCGTCGTTGAATGCACTGAATTATTAATGGCATATTCGGCCTTAACCAGTAGTTTGCTCCAATCCTCGTGCTTTATTGGTTCAGTTATCTTAGCTAACATTGCTTTCACTGTTCTATTTACTCTTTCCACCTGACCGTTCGCTTGAGGTGACGCAGTTGCTACTTTAACGTGTTCAATATTATTTTCTAATAAAAAGTTGGCAAACTCTAATGAAGTAAAACACGTACCCCTATCACTTATAATTCTACGTGGTCGACTGTAATATTGAAAATATTTCGAAAAACACGTATTGACTTCTTTCGTACTCGTTGAATTTACAGGAAACAATTTAACAAATTTGGTAAATCCGTCAATAATCACTAACAAATGTTTCTTTTTCGATATAACTGAGGGCAATGGTCCAAAATGGTCTACATGTAATGTATCAAATGGAATTGGTTCTAAATTTTCGTAATGAGTAAACCACAGCTAGTGTTTCCAATTTAAAGCTTTCATATCTTGCCTCTAGTTTTGTTGTTCTCTGTGAAAAATAAGCTATTGGATGGAACTTGTTATCATCCTGTTTTTGTAATAAGATTCCACCAAATCCCTCGCTACTTGCGTCGCAATGCAATTCCGTTTCTCGATTTGGATTGTACAAAGATAATATAGGGAATGAAATTAATTTCTCACGAAGATATTCAAAAATATTGATACAATCCTCATTGAGTTCATACTTAACACCTGCTTTTGTGAGCTCCTGCAATGGCTTTGCTATTTTTGAGTACGCCGGAATAAATCTTCTAAAGTAAGAAAATAGTCCTAAACATTTCTGCATTCCATGGCGATCTTTTGGTATCGGAAGATGTTTAATAGTTGATGTATGCTCGTTATTCGGACTTATCCCTTTTTCACTGAGTGTGTATCCTAAAAATTCAATACTTTTGTAAGCGAACTGGCATTTATTTATTTTAATTTCCAATCGATATGCTGCTAAAATTCTTAATACTCTTCCTACCGTCTTAAAATGTTCATTCAATGTCTTCGAACCTATAGCAATATCGTCTATGTAAACTACTACATTTCCTTCGCGGATCAAAGGTTGCAGGTGGGTGCATTCATGAGTCCGAAAGGCATTCTTGTGTATTCATACTGTCCGGAAGGTGTTACAAAAGCTGTTTATTGCACTGAACTTTCTGCTACTTTCACTTGGTGGTATCCACTTTTCAAATCTAAAAGTGTGAAGTATTGATTTCCTTCTAAACGCTCTAAACAGTCATCTATAAGGGGAAGCGGGTATCCATCACGAATGGTTATCTTATTAAGTTGCCTATAATCTACGCACATGCGCTTTTCCCCAGATTTCTTCTTAACAAGTACAATAGCAGAACTATAGGGCGAATTGCTTTCTCTTATAAATCCTTTTTTCAATAATTCGTCAACTTTAAAATCTACTTCTTTCTTTTCCTGATATGAAAGTCTTCTTGGAACAGAACGTACAGGTTCTTCTGACTTTAGTCTTAACCTCATTTCGAAACTATGTTGAATCGCTGGGATGTTAGATAAACATAAATAATTCAATCTTATTATTTCACTGAGCTCACTCCGATCTCTATCACTCAACTTTGGGTCAATGTCAAAACTTTCATCATCCTTAAATACATCTATACTATATATCTCTGGTATGCTGTTATCACTATCAATTTCACTTTCTTCACATAAGTCTTCAAAACTTCTACTGTCTATCAATTGATCACTGTCTCGATATGTTTCACTGTTCACTAATCTATTCAATGGTTCACTATTCTCTAAAATATTCAATGGTTCACTATTCTCTAAAATATTCAATGGTTCACTATTCTCTAAAATATTCAATGGTTCACTATTCACTAATCTATTCAATTCAATAATTTCTTTTACTTTATACTTAGAAATCAATTTTATTCCAAATTTTTCCAAAAACTTACGCCCTAAAAGAACATTAGTTGCAACATAGTTGTTGGGTACAACAAAAAATGAGATTTCTTCTTCTATGTTTTGAAAAACGAGCTTAACAAATATTTTTCCGAAAGTTTTAATCTTAAATCCATTAACTCCACAATAGTCAGTCGGAAACAATACATCGCTAAGTTTTTTATAAGGAATGGCAGCGTGTTGAATTAAATTAATGGCGTTACCCGTATCGAACATGGCAGAAAGGAAGGTTACATTAGGCTTCATTTGACAATCAGTGTAAAAATATACTCCTACCTGGTTAATAATCGGAATAAACATATTTGGCTCCTCTTCGTCATCCCGTATCGGCTGGTTGTTGGCTGCTCCCACCATTTTTGGGTTACTTGCTGGCTTCTGTTGGCAATCCTTTAGCATGTGCTGGAGCGATCCACAGCGGAAGCAGGAATTCTTCTCGCGCTTCGGCGCAGTGCACGACGAAGCGTAATGCCCATAAGCGGAACAATTGTAGCAACGGATTGTGTTCCGATCTTTTCTAGTGTTTTCTGAGCGGAGGGAAAAATGTTGGGACTTCTTTGTTAGATTTTCATACTTCCGTGCCAACTCCTTCAATTTTTCGATTGTTGTTGCTGTGTACAATAGGGCGATATTGGCTGAACGATCGCGAAAACCATCAATTATAAGCTGAACTGTCAATTTTTCTTCGATGCTAGCACGCATAGCAATTTCCTCCATAAGAAGTATGTATCCCATAACAGTGTTTTTCAGCGGGTTGAAAATGGTCTCCTTTAACAGCAATACGATGTCAGCAGTTGAACTACCACGACCAAATGTTTTTATAAAGTTCTCTTTAAATGCGTCATAAGTATTCGATTGGTCAACACGCAAGAACAAGTCGGCATCTGTTCCCGGTTTCATCAGCATTCGTACGCAGCGTAATTGGAAATTTTTACACTCGTTAACATCTCTGCAGATTCTCTCAAAATCCAAAATCCACTTAAAGGCTTCCTCATTTTCAGTGGCAGAAAACGGAATCATGAGCTGTTTCACCATACGAATGTCATCTGTAGTCTTGCTGTCGTTTCGCATTAATTCGGCCAGTATCTTCTTCTTCTTAGCTACCCTTATGGCGGCGTCAAGTAGTGCTTCTTCTTCTTCTAATTCGTCGATGTCTTCGCTAGCGCTCCGCTGGCTTACAACCTCAATTTTGGCATCTTCTTCCTCCAATAGGCTTTCTGGGATATTAGCCGCATCCTGGCAACCGGCATCCAATGCAAGCTTGCGCAGTTGTCTTAAAGTTGCACTTCCTGGAAACCTGATTTCATTGGCTTGAAGCCACTCTACAATGTTCGCCTTGTCCATTCCAATTTGGCGTCACTCGCCAAAACGCAATTATAGGAAAAAAAACTTGTGCGTCTTCGGATAGCCAACAATGTTTATGTAGGCGGATGTTTAAATGGTGTCTATCCCACTTCTGAAGTTGTTATCGTAGTTTTAAATCTTTTTATTTCACTTTATTTTAATTTTATTTTAGCGTGCTTTTTACAATGTCTCTCTGTTTCTCTCTTTTTATCGTAAAGTGACCGTTCTCTGATATTCACGTTATCCTTAGCCTTTTTCAATATTAGTTTTACTTAGTTCTATATCAAATCGGAACAGCGGGATTGGTACATAAATGTGGATGTTAAGAAATAGCTATAGACATGTTAATCACATCATCATACACTGCTTACACCACCGCGTTTTTAAGTGACACCATAGGTTTTAATAAGTAAATATTTCACCAAAATTAAGCTGACTTGGGTTAAAAAAGTTAAAATCGGTTTGTTTTCCTCCTGGTAATGATAATTACAATGACATTACCTTACATGGCGTTAACATAGCGACCCACTGCCTTAGTTTTTTGTTGGGCCAGGTCACTTACGATCCACAGCTTCCACCGAGTTTCTGTGGCACTTATTTCGGAAACTGTTGCTGCTGCTGTTAGCAGTGCCGTTATAAAGTAACGGTACCACAGTCAAATAGAGGCCAGTGTGCTGGCAGCTCCGCGTGGCAACGGTAATCGAAAGAGGTATCGGTTGACGGTAACGGTACTGTCTATCGAAAAATGTGACGGAATATTGGCGGGATTGTGCGTGTTATATTTTATTTATTTTAGTTCAGATGATGACACCGTTTAAATAATGAGGACCTTAAATTTAAAACAGTGACGTGATGAATATAGGTAGTACTTTGTATTTTAAAAGTTTACCTGACTTAGGCACAAATTTTTAATTTCAAAAATGTCTGTAACTTCAGTTTTAATTAAGCCAAGTTATTTGAATGCTTTAAGCAAACCGCATCATTAATGAGTTTTTGAATTTGTCTCTTAGCTATTTTGAAATTCTAAATGCTCGTTTGATTTTTTTCGGTATTAAAAAACGTTATTAAATTATTAAAATTAAACTAATTATGTTTAGATTGCACTAAAAAAACTAGATGGTTCATATTTTCCTTTATTTTGCATTATATTAATATATTATTATAATAAAAGTAATATTAATGATTTAAGATGTTAATAAAAGAATTACATATCCAAACCGATAATCTTTTATCCCAGCTAATTATAATTACTGAGTGACTTAGATGCCTAAAAGGTATTATGTAACCCATCACATGAGTGACTAAAAGTTTTGTGCAACGATGTCTTCCGGGGAGTGGGACCTACGGGCGCTCAAGGCGCTCGAGGAAGAGGAGCAGCGCGAGTTCCTGGCCCTCAGCCAGAGGAATCTCTTTGATCCGCTGCCGAATCCCACAGCCGATGCGGCCAGTGCAAAGCCATCACTCACCTACGCCCAGTTGCATCCTCATCTGCTGAAGTTACCGACGATCGACGAGTGCCAACTGATGGCGGTGAAGCAGCAGAGATCAGCGGCCCTGCGATTCAGTCGGGCTCTTTCCCTATCCGCCCACTCGCTCTCCTCCCGCACCGGAAGCGGTACGGCGACCGGAAACGGAAGCGGCCTTGGCTTCGGACGGAAGTTGAAAGCCCGCTTGGTGGGCGCCAAGTCCAGCGGTTCATTATCGCCCGGTCGCCATTCGCACAGCTACAGTGTCTCCCCGGTATACACGCCGCCGCCCATGAGGAGATGTGCCACCCTGCACCACACGCAACCGGTTCGCAAGGCCTTCAAGAATCTCCAGCAGCTGCAGGACCGGAAGCGGCAGGCGGCCGGAAGTCACCTGCAAAGGATCGCTGGCACAGGGAAAACCTACTGGAAGTACGGGGCCAATTCCACGGCTGCCTCGATAGTGGGACAACGAGCCCGCCAAACGCAACAGATCGAAGTCGAGGAGTCCAATGGATCGGATGAACTGAACTCAGAGCCCCAGGAAATCTCCGAGGCGGAAACGGGATCCTGCAGTGTGCCACTGCCCTCGAAGGACACCAATGAGGTACTGCGCCTGATGCTCAGTGCGGCCAGTTCGGCGGTCACGGTGACCCCGACGGCGGCGGCAATCGGTAACGGCAATGTGACCGGAGCAACTGGTGGCGGCCCGCCAATGCGGCGCTACCAGAATGCCAGCGATGTTGAGAAGGACGAAACTGTTGCGTACGAAGCTTTCCACCAGGCCGCCAAAAGCTTCGAGCGCGGCGCTCTCTTGCGAGTCGGCAGTTTAACAGCGCAAGAGAGCGATAACGGTAAAGCTGGGGCCATGAGTCCCCAGAACAGTCCTGGTCGCGAAACACAATCCACAACGGCGGGTTCTGGTGGCAGGCGGATGTTAAAGTCCTCCTCTTTGGATTGGCCCGGGGAATCACAGCAGCAACATCAGCTGCAGAGCCACCAGCAACATCTGACCCAGCAGCAACATCAGACTGCAAATCAACTGGAGTTGGTCGAACAGACGAAGGATACACGATTTCGGCTGCGGGATAACTGGGAACTGGACCACGTCCACTTCCACCACGAGGCACTCGGACATCTCGCCACCGGCGCCACCGTCATCGATGACGAACTGGAGCAGCATATCAAGCACTGTTCCTGCTCCTGCAACCACATGGGCTACGGCAACTCAATGGACTATCAGGTGAGTCAATAGAGACCCAAAACTTTTTGATAAATCTCTAGAGACTTTCAGATGAAGTGGGGGATAATCACTTAAAAACTTTTGTAGGGCCTTAGGGTTTTTAGCCATTTCTGTTTGAAAAAGCTTGTTTTGTAACAGTTGGACATTTTTTGGAAATAAAATATCTTCTGCCGCGCTTACATAGATTAAATACTAAAATTTGTAACATTATTAAACGTATCAAAATATTACTTTTCTATGAAAATGTTAGAATAGTTATCATGTAAATTTAGAAGACATAGTGTGTCTCTTAACTTTGGAGGAAATGAAAGATCTCGGCTTACTAAGTACACCCAGAAAACCACATTCCCTTAATATAAGGAAAAAGTCCTTAACTTAAGGAATAATGACCCAGAACACGACCGAATCTATGAGCTCACCATTCATCTGTATGGGGCCTATTCATTATGTTCATTATGCCTATGTTCATTATTCCCAAAACTAAAAGATTTTTCTTAAAATTAAGAAGATTTGCTTTCTGTGTGTTAGTATTTCTGTAATGTTTGGGTGAATGTTTCTGTAGCCATTCCAATGATTTGAATATTTTTGAATCTTATAAAATTACATTGAAGTGGATGTGGGAATATAATGAGTTTTTCAATTTACGAAAGTACTGAAAGTGCTCGTGTACCCACTCTGTGCAAAACCGCATCCAATCCCCTGCCGTGGGCATTCTTCCACAAATGATTCTGCCGTGTAATTTTAATTGCACCAACTATTTCTGCACTGCGGGTGTCCGGCCATTCAGGTGAATGGCGGCACATTCAGTGGCCGTTACCCAGCACTTTCTAATGCACTGCGTTGGCCCGGCCAGTAGACGCGTATAACCCAAACTCATTATCACCGAGGTCCTTTGTGGGTATTCCGGGTTCACGGCTGGATTGGTCCTGGCAGATTGCCGCCTGGAGATCGAGCTGGCGGCACTGACTCTGCCAACTGCTCAGTGCTCCATTGTCTGGCTGAGAGTGGCCCGCAGGATGGGGTAAACTTTAGAACTGAATTGAATACCCCTTTGAATCCAACAATGAGCTGGATGCCTGAGTTAAGCCTGGCTCCAGGTTTTCGCCCCCACACATCGTTATTGTCTGTAATTGTTAAGACGATTTTAAGTTTAATAGCGGCCATTTTGAATATTCCAAGAGTCTGTTCGCCGCTGACCCCACGCAAACTCAAGAACTTTATCTTTTGTTTTAATAGGGCGCTGCAATGATGCACTCTGTGGCCCCGAGCTGTGTGACTTTTAATGTGCAACACACAGCCACAGCCTGCCTGGGAAACTGTTCATATCCTGGCAGTAGTCTAGAACGTACAAATATTTAGCTAGTAAATACTGCACTTTATTCTAAAACATCCAATTCAAGTGCTGCTCCTATATGTTGTTTTGTTAGTACGTAATCTACTCACATTTTAAAATGATTAAAAAATTTTCTTCCTGGGTGTTTGGTTTAAGTATACATAAACAGTTTCGAAGCTTTAAATATATAAAGAGTTAATTTATATGCATTCTCCCTTAAACTATATGGATTTTCATGTAAATGTATTCTTATTACAGATTATCCGGTTGCTTCCTAAAATTTTTAAACATATATAACATCAAAATATGTGAAAAAAGGATGTTAAAAAACTTAATTGTTTCTTATGATACAAAATTACTAAAAATATTTCCTATATTAAGGATTAAGTTTAATAAGCAGAAAAAAGTTACCAAATAATTGAAAAACCTTCTGGAATTTGAGAATATTGTAAAATCAGCCAATTTTACAATCGTATATAAACACGGCGCTTAAAGTTTGAAATGAAAAGCAAACCCAGACCCAGTTCTAAAAGAAAAATTCTAGCCCGTTGTGTACTTTGATTACGACTTTATAGGAGAGTGTTTTACAGCATATAGATAATTCTACAATAGGAGCGATTGCGTTTGGGTGTGCTTTACTAACAGCGTTACTAACATAGGGCGTTTACATCTAATTCGATCGAACATCCATGGGGTCATGCGTCTAAAGGCTGGGGTGTGTATTCGTGGGATCCGATCACTGCAGCGTGCTCTGGGGCGGAGTGAGGGGTGTCCAGGTGTCGGCGCCGACGGCCGGGGCTCCGCTGACCACGGCGGTGGGCACTGGTCCGGAAACGGGGCCCCGCTCCACGGAGTGGTCCAGCGCCGAGGACTCTATCTTGATGTCGTGGGAGCTCTTCAGGGCGGCACTGGCGCACTCCAGCGTGATGACCGAGCCCTGCTCGTCGCTCGGCTTGTACATGGCGGCCTGCGGATCGTCCAGCGTCTTCGATACCTCCACGGGCTCCAGCGGATGGGTGGCGTAGCTGCAAGGCGGGTGGCGGGGAATCATTGATAGCTACGTTAGCGGTAAGAGCGCACAGTTCCCCACCGACCGATTTAACCTACCCGATCTCCAGGGGAATGTACTCCGGCTGGTAGTAGGCGGCCGCGGCGTTCTGGTACAGTCCGTACTCGGCTCCGGATCCGTTGTGCCACCCACTGGCCGGATAGCTCAGGGCCGATGGTGCATTCAGCACCGCATTCGTGTACAGCTGGTGGGTGGGCGAGGTGGGCGTGGGATGGTACACCTGGTGGGCAGCTGCTCCGTACGCCGCTTGCGGGGATCCCGAGGCCCCGGCCCCGGGCCCAACTCCCACTCCGGATCCGTAGATGTCCGTCTGGGCCATGTTGTACTGGTGACTGTGCGGCGTCAGGTGGTGGATGGTGTAGCTGGGCGAGGAGGTCGTGTAGCTCGGGGATCCGTTCGTCGGCGACGGCGAGTTGTGGGAGGCTGTAAGTGGACAAGCAAAGGGGTCAGTAAGGGGTCATTCCTTTGGCTGAGGTGTACCACGTTGCCTGGTGCTGTCCTTAATTATATTGTGCTACAAAAGTTGGTCTTTACTTTTGTACATTATTGAAATGATACTCTCAATTTGAAATTTCCAATCTGCATATGGACAAATTAACCCCTAAAGTTGGCAAAATTGAGATTTTGATTATTTTAAAACTTCAATAACAGGTGAACGGATTTGTGAGTTCGCAATTCTCTTACAACATTACATACTACTTTGAAGCTTGAGATTTATGAGTCGGATTGACTAGATCTTAAATTAGCCCTCAAGTATTTGATACACTTTTTACCAGTTAAAAATCCATTTGATAATTTGGTATTGGAAAGCAAGTACTTAGTGATAAAAAGCTTTGTACTTGTGGCTTATATCAAATTGCTAGTATAAGATCAGAACACCATACAATCAGTGTCAATTATTGCTTTAAAACATTCAAGAGGATATCATCGCTTCATTAATTTCTTCGAGTTTAATGGGGACTCAACTTAGAATACCTGCCATTGCATGATGTTTTCTTAATGCAAAGGAACATTTCTTTGGCAACCTGGTGATTACTCACAGATATTGCGGCCACTGCACACGTTCATGGGCATGGGTCCGGGTACGCTGGTGGCGTTCCAGTAGTTGCCGTTGCTCTGCCAACTGCTGGGATACGAGAAGACGGAGGCCGTGGGACTCGCCTCGACCGGCATGAAACCGGACTGGGCGTAGGAACTGCTGAAGCATCCGGCACTAGCGGCAGATCCGATTCCGCCGGCGCTGGAGCTGCTCACACTGGTGCTCACGGAGCCAGTGGACGAGGAGTGCAGACTGGTGGGCGTCTGCGGGGCCGACGGCGGCTGGGGCGACGTGGATGAGGCATTGCCGACGCTTCCATTAGATCCGGATCCGGAAACCACCCTAGGACGGCTGTACGGCGTGGTGCGAGTGGGTGCCGCACTGCGCACGGATAGGGATCTGCCGTAGCGATCGCAAGTGGCGCCCGAGGAGCCACCCACAGACCCGGCCGAGGAAACACTGGGGCACGAGGCCACCAGTCCGTGACTCTGGGCAATGGACAGCGGAGGAGCGGCCACGGCGGCGGCTGCAGCCGTGTAGTGGGTGGGCGGAGGGATCAGCCAGCCGTAGTGGGTGTCGTGTGGATACAGTGTATCCGGTCGCTCTTTGGCGTCGAGGAAGGCCTTCGCAAAGGGGTTGTACTTGATCTTCAGCGAGGTGACCTCCTCGTTCTGGTAGGCCGTCACCGCAATGAACTGGGTCTCCGGGAAGGGATAGGTCACCACGTGACGCTGCTCGGAACCCACTCGTACCAAGTGCACCCGTGGCTCATATTTGTGCAGGGAGTTCAGCATTATCTGAAGGAGAATACCTAATTGTTATCACGGCTCAAGTATTTAAGGTCCTAAGCTTTGCTCACCTGTCCATTGCCGTTGGTCTTGTTGGTGAGCTTTACTTTGGCAAACGAGATGGGCTCCTTCATCCAGTGGGCACCGAAGTTGGGAGACTCGGGGTGTACGTAGATGGGGTTTGATGGAGGAACCTCCGCCTTGCCACCAGGAACCTGCAAAGTGGGAAAAATAAAACAAGAATTATTTTTTGAACTTGATAAGGCAATTTATTAGATTTAAAACACATTGGAATCCATTGTAGTTTATGAGCAGTTGATAATAACCTATTTTTAATTACATTTCCAGACTATGATAACGCTATTAATATTTTAAAAAACTTTCACAAGATAAGGTTTATGTGGTTGATCTTGCCTTTATTTAAAGAGTATGGGATCGTATTGGAACACATCGAGTATATACAAATTTGTCACATAAACCTAACTAAGACTTTAATGTAAAAATCCTAAAGTTCCAAGTCGTTAGGCTCATTATATTAACTATTTTTTAAATAAATAAAATAAAGAAATAAGTGACTGTGGAATTGAACCTTACTGTTATTCTTTTATCAATTAATTTAATTTTTTATATGTTTTTAAACATGTGATAAAGTGATATAGTACTTTATTGTATGTAATGATTCTGGGAAGGAAATGTCTCTTGACTTTGTCATCAATTACTAAAATCTGGAGATCGGTAAGATAACCATGGCATAGATCAGTTAAAATAGCTTACCCATTCTCCGTTGACGTACTTCCAGCGATGTGAGTCGATTTGAACGAACTCCAGGAGGACGGTGTACATAGCGGCGGGATCCAGACCCGATGCACTGATCTTCACCACGGGGAACATGCGCCTGTGTGTGACAACGGGGATCGCAATTAGCAATTATAACAGTTATATAACAGTCGCCATGCATTCGTAATAGTGGGCAAACAGTGAGCGCAAATGGTTAACTGCCACGAATCGTTTACCTTTGCCTTTGGCCCAGACCCCAGGCCGAAATCCCCCAAAGGCGGAGTTCAAACCTCGAGATGGACCCGGCAGAGGGGGAGGGGGAGGGCATGGATTGCGTTTCGGGCAAATATTGGAACGCTCATGCGGGCTCTGTTCCACAACAATTAGTACAAGATGGCGGCTGTTGCCGGGCCACGCCAATTAGCACCTGACCAGGCCAGCAGACCCGACTCTCGGATCTCGGATCTCCGATCTCGGATCTCGGCCCGGTTCCAAGTTCTAAACGCGCGTTTCGCGCACACACACACACCCCGTACAAATGCCCGTAAATTGGTAAATATTTTTAGTTATTTCAACAAATGCTGGCATGTAAATAAACACTCGTATGGACTTTTCTGTACACTCAGAAAAAATGTATTCCAAAAGGTTAGACCAGTTTATACTGAAGATAAAGACGGAGCTCCCAAAACACATATTACTGCCTTGGGTACAAATTTCGATTTATAAATTCATAAAGTAGTTATTTTGAAAGATTAGCTTTTTAAAAAAGCTACTTATTGGATAATTTATTGCTTGACTGGTCTTTCTAGTATAGTAATAAATAAAATAATAGACAAATAAAGGTTGAATGTTATAAATAATCTCATTGTAAAGAAAAACTTTTCTTAAAGAATTCTAAAAGCAGGTCAATCAAAACTCTTTTAATCTTCTTAAGTTTATTTTGAATTGTTTCTTGTTTGATAACATAACATATTTTTCCTACTTCTGCTTATGATTGTGTCTTAAGAACCACATTTTCTCTGAGTGCATTCGTTTTAAGCTGAACAGGAGAAACGTTAACGCTTCATTATGACTTGCAAACGGCGATCAGTGAGATGAAAACCATGGAAAACTGATGCAGCAAAAACAAAAGCGCAAAAACTCATTGCCAATTTGCATAGGAAAACAAAATGCGCCGCCATCGCCATTTAGCACATTTGAATTTCGAACAGCCCCCAGAAAATTTGACTGACTCACCTGCCGTTCTTGGTGACGATCATCTCGTTGGTGAGATTCTGGAATCGCAGCCAAAGTTCCCGGTCGTCCAAGGAGATGCGCAGGTTTCGGTCCAGTTCGTTGGGACTTCCTGCTCCGCCGACGACCCGGTGACCACCATTGCCGGATACCCCGGCACCGCCTGCTGTCCCCACCACCACGCCCCCAGCCCATGACCATGCCCATGTCCATTGTGGGTCACATGCTGCGGCGAGCCACTGCCCCCAGTGCCACCGCCACCGCCACCACCTCCCCCCGCCACATTGCCACTGAGTCCGGTTGTTGGATCCACGGCGGACAAGATGTGCGATGTGGTCATGTCAGCTGAAATGAACAGACAGAATATTTCATCAATTTTTAAGTTGAAAGCTACCGTTCTTAAAAGTACTTCGCCTTAAATAGGTATTAAAAATCCGTATATAATGGGTAATTATATTAAGCCTTTATAATTCACTTAAAATATTTATATTATGGTTTCGAAAAAGATCTCTCTGTGTAAAGAACGATTAGAATAGTGAACAAGGCTAAACGTCTCATAAAACAGATCGGTCAAAGGTTTGTTACACTGTCCTAGATTTATAATACAATACATATTTGATGGAGTCCATTTCAAATATACCTTCTTTACCATTTTGATGCTCAGTCTTTTAAATGTGATTAATTCATTAAGTTGTCGGTTAGGTTAAATGGTTTTTATTTATTTATATTATTATTAAATACAAATTTCGTGGTTATATACAATATTTACTTAGAACTATAAAAACCATTTCTCAAATATTAAAAAAAAAACATAATACGAATTGATATTTTGTTATCATAATTACCCTAACACTAAAATTAAATAATTTTAAAAATACGGCTATTGGATTGTAAAAATGTGTATCCACCTAAAAAAACAGTCCTTTTATAATAATTTCTTTGGCATACTTTGCTCTACCAGTAAATGGAAACAAGATTTCAAACAATATGAGGAATAATTGCGACATAAAAGTTTGCTTTACTTTGATTTTTGTATTCGTTGACTCATTCGCCCGATCGGAGTTCCAAAAAAACATGATTTCGTGGCCGTGGTCAGTGTGCACTGGCATTACATCAAAGCAATCTCGCCCGCAAAGCAATCTTCATCCGACGAAGTGTCGGCTTTATGCGTTTACAGCACTGTCCCAGGAGCATTAGAAGAATGCTCGGCCAGCGCTCTTGTCGGCTTTTAATTATATTGCACACTTTAGCCATGCCTGGCCTGGGATTTTGTCTGCGAGTGGGTCTGGCTGGGATTGGGATTGGGATTGCGACGGGGACTGGGACTGGGATTGAGTCGGCTGAGATGCTGGCTGGCCATAAACAACGGGCACCCTTTTTATTTATGGCCGCGGCAACAAACACCTCTGTTTTGCGTCGGGTTCGGGCCAGGGTCATTTGTACGGTTCGGATGCTGATGCTCGAAAACCCCTCAGATGTGCCGGTTCGGGTGATGTCTATATTCTGGGATCCCCCCCATCCACCGAAAGTGTTTCTCGCAATGTTTTGTAATCATAAATTAACAAAATGTATTAATTGTTTTGTTTGTTTTTATTGGGCCACGAATTGGAGGCCAAGTGCCGCTGTCTAGGATTCTTTTATGGGAACGACCCCAAATACCTTAGGCCGATTGTTCTTGCTTCTTGGATCCAGATTTGATTTATTGGAAATTTCTTCACCCATCTTCCATCATAAAATGGCAATAACCGAATGCGGTTTAATGTCTTTCGTATTTGTCAACCATTTAATTTGATGGTGTCAAGCGAACAGGTTTCTCTCGTGTTCTAGGTGAGACCGACATAAAACCATCTCTACAATCAATCAGTAGATATACATATACATATATCCCCGGTAACATCTAAAGCTAAAAGGGAAATCAATCAAAGTGATGTTTCAAGAACCCAATTTTTGTGGGGTTAGAAAGAAATTATTTTAAATGACCATTTATTCTATGCTTTTAGACCATGTCAATCTTTCACTTTTTTAGTAAGGTTCTTTTTTCTTTAACTTTCAGGTAGGTTGTTCATTTCCAGTAGTTTAAGCCCGCGGCAATAGATTAACCCTATATCTGTTCGCTTTCATCTTTACCCATCATGCTACACCCAATTAAAAGTTTATAAGAGACTCCCTCATAAAATTGATTTCAATCAGTTAAATCTAAAAGTTTACCCACTGCAACCCGTTGGCGGAAAGTTGTATTAAGTTTATGGATTTTTAAAGGTTTCCGTTTTTCCAGTTTGTGTTCGCGCCGCGTTATCCTAATTTTCACGCGGTTCTTGGCGGGTTTTTCTCATGTCCCCAATAGGCGACATCATAAAAATTCACTCTTCACGACGGTTCCCCACATGTCTGATGGGTGATGGCTGTTGGCTGTTGGCTGATGGCTCATGGCCGTGTTTGTGTTCCACATCGATCCGCTCCGCCACTCCAGCCTCCAGTCTCCAACCTCCAAGTCGCAGAGTCCCAGCTTCGGCTCCATCACTAAGCTTAATGAAAAGCTGTTTTTGTATGTTGTCTCCTCATCCGAGGAAGCGTGTGTGTGTCTATAGAGTATATACTTTGACTTTTGATGGCAGCCATGACGGGTTTCGGTTTGGGGTTTGCATTCGACTCTTTCCCCATCCGCTTTGTTGTTGTCTTTGTTGATTTTTGAATCATTTCGTGACTTTGATATTTACTCAGACGCTTTGAGAGGTTTTTTCGTATGAAATATGCGCGCTATTCGAAATCGAACCGAACCTTTTGTAATATGGCGCTTACGTACTCAAAGTACTAGTACAAACGAACACGTACTAATGGTCGTGAATAAAAACACATTCGCCGAATATTACACGCGTTTGAATTTTTTATCTGAACATTTCAGTTGAGGGAGTGCCAGCGCGTCAAAGATGAATACTGCTCACTAAACTGGCTATTTAGAATATATTGAAAGGTTATTTTCAATCGCTGAACAACCAGCACAACATTCTGTATCTGGCTGCATTTTGTAATGGTAGCTAAGCTTTAATTGAGTGCACACCAAATGGATCATTTTCTTGATTTATTCCTACTTGAATGAAGTTTAAACCACTACTTTTTATAAGCCTATAAAATAGATTTTATTGGGTGCAAATGTTTGGAGCATTTGCTTTAACATACCCGTATTTACTTTTGTAAATTTAATTCGAAAGAGAAGTTAAAAACTACAGTTCTAAGTCCCTAATGTTCAATATTTTGTGGTACTTCATTTTAATAATAAAAAACCGTGCTAGTCACCTATATATTAATTATTTATTTAACTTTTATTTTTTGTATCATTTTTATTTTGTATCATGAGCGGCATATTTATTTACTAAACTACAAGATTTGCTTAAATAAGTAAATCATATGTTTTTGGATAACGTTATTTCTGAACTAAAGAAGCAATGCTCCAAAACTCCTGCCCCTATTTCCCTCAATAATCTTACGCGTGCAATATTATTTGTATTTGTACTCGCTATGCCATCGATTTATCTACTCCGATTCGCACTTTGTTCAAAAGGATAACATTTCGCACCTGCTCAGGATGTTGGCGGGTGGCATCGATGACAAGTGTTTGCTGGTAGCCCATCGGAGGCGATTAAACCAAATTTGCTAAATTTCACACACCACTTCGCATGAAAATAAACCGAATTTAAATTTAGACACTGCGGGGGCGCACTGAATTCGAGCCTCCGAACGAACGAAAGAACGGAAACGCCATTGAAGTAGGGGAATCCCATCGCAATATTTCCGAAGGACAATGTCAAAGGTCACGCCTTGAGAAAGAGCAATTTGATTGTGTTTTCCGGCTACAGTTTTGCCTTTTTTTTGGGGGCGGTGTGGGCGTGCCCGTACACGCCAGTTGTCACACTTTTGTTTTCTGCACTGCACGGCACACTGATAGGCGCACTTTATGAGCGGCGTACTAAAATTTTGTACAAACTGTAATTAATTAGTAAGCATTTGTCAAGTACTAAACGATCTGCGGGGGCGGGGGCGGGGGGTTCCTTTGGTCGGTTTATGGGCATCTTTGATTTGCATTTAATAGGATAATTTTCACATGCGTCGTAATTGGCTGGCCGATCGATCTAACTTGGTGTTTTTTGGCAATCCATGACTGAATGTCTGCGTTGAAATTCTTACGTCCCCACTAATTTGCGTGTGAACAACTGCCACGCCCACGGCCAGAGACACAGCTCCTCCCGCCCACTTATCGGCTGCTGTTTTATGTCATTAGAGGTATTATTAGGATCGTTAATGGGGGATTTTGTCACTTGCCCGCTGGATTTCGGGCGGCTCGTCAACACTTTTTTTGGCCAAGTGTCAAAAAGTGTCTGTTTGGTGGTTTTGTTTGGTTTCGGCATTTGATTTTCACACGTTCGTTTAAATAGGTTTGCCAATTTGCTATTTGATTACGTTTATGGTCATATGTCGCACAGAGAAATAAACAGTGACATTTTATGATCTCTCAGCTCTCGATTCGGAGAAGTGACTCTATAGAGGAATATTCATTTTTCGGCGCCATTTTCTTTGGGGTCAATGGTTGTGATTTCTAAATTGTACGGGATTCAAAATAGGTCGTCAATTTGCAGTATTGTCGCAACTATTAAATGAGTGACACCAATGCAAGATTTGTATATTTTTAAGTGGCACTTGAAATGTAATCCGATAAATCTTATTTTACAAATTTTAAATGTTTACGATTGCGATTTTGTTATAAGATTATTAATATAACAAACGCAGGTAAGGTGAATTATTAGATGTTTTTCTGTGGAGGTAGAAACATTTTAAATATTTTATTTGCCGACGGGCTTGTTTGAGTTCAACATTTAATTTAGAAAAATATTTGTCAATAAAATAAAATTCAACCCAACTTTTTACAAAGATTCTATTGGTAATTACATACAGGCTGCTTAAATTGTCTGGTGTACAAGCTATTTGGCTTAAAGTTTTCTTTTTCAAAGTATAACAAACAATTTCTTTGAATTAGCCATATAAAATCAATTTAACCTAAGAAACTCAGTTTTTTGATGTCCTGAGTTCTATTGTTTTATTAAATCTGTAAATTCATATGTAAGATTAAATACTCTTAAAAATATTTCTTCCTCAAATATTCAGTTTAGTCAAAAATTGGGGAAGTTAAATTTGTATCCTATTCCTTTTCTTTTCCTGGTGAACAAACATTATATTATTAGAGATTATAATTAGATCTGATAAAATCAGAATTTAACCTAAGTGGACACTAAATAAACTTACATATTTGGAAAAATGCTCCGCGCCGTAACTCGGCGTTCTCGATATAATCCAGTGGTAAAACTGCGTGTCAAGATGGGTTTATTTTGGTTGAAGTTTAGTTTGGAACACTCCCAAGTCACGCACTTTTATAAACACTATTTTTACGGGCGATCACTTAATTTACGATAAAGTCGCGGATCACTATCGAATGGATTAGATGAAAGGAGGAAGAGACAGCCGCGCACCGCGTGCCTTTTTCAGGTTTTTAGTTTTTCGATTCGAGTCGAGTTCCGAGTTGTGCGATGCCGCCGATCGTGTGTTTGCGTTGCCACCGTTCCCGAGCTAATGATCGACGGTCGGTGCTAATTTTTTCAACCATCACAAGCCGCGCTTTCGGTTCCTCTATTTCTCGTCTTTGGCCGACATCGCTGTTGCTTTTGTTGTTTGGCCCGTGATGGCCGGCTAGTGCAACTCTTTCCCGCCCTTATAGCCATCCCGTTCTGGCCCGCTGATCGGCGATCGGTGATCGGTGATCGGCTAGCGGATGGTTAGGCCACACCCTCTAACAGGTAAGAACGCTCCGATATCTCGCCTCTCACTCGCTCCCCCAGCCGGTCAACCTGCGGCCATCGCCTGGCAGCCGGCCACAGGTAAAGAGCCCTTGGTCGGGGCTCTCAGGTGGGTCGGATCGTTCAGGGCGAGCACACCTCTCAGGATTGGAGGAGTCCTAGGCGGGAGCCACCCGATCCCCGCTGCAGCCCCCGTGGATAATCGTTCGGTTTTGCATGCGCCAAAAATTAAGTGAAACGTGTTTCAGCACCTTAAATTCTTTGCACACAGAAAAATTATATTAACTTTTTACCACATCATGTGCTTAATATTTTATGCAAAGTCATTCACTTCAAGTACACCGCTTAAATTAGTAAAAATATATTTTGTTTAATTTTATTTAACCTTTGCAGAGGAGATTAAAACTTTGATTAACTATTATTTGATCACGATCATCAGACAAAAGGATTCTTTCTATTGTGGGTATTGTATATGTCGGAACGGCAAAAAAAGGGGACTATGCCATATACATAGATACCATAGGAATGATAGGAAAATCTACTGAAAAATTATCATAGCTCATGATTTTAAAAATACGGTCTTAAGTTGTTATAATTAGGTGTACTAGAGCATTTCGCTGCAATAGAAATGAGCCGTAAATTTATAAGAAAATAAAATATGAAAATAACATTTACATTTATTTCAATATAAATAAATTACTGTATACTTAAGTTTGTCGCTTAATATAGTATTATAAATAAACATAAAATATTACAGTATTATATTAAATAACTGTCGAATGGTTAATTAAGTAAATAATGTAGGCTTTCTTTTTGAGATTTCTAAATGAGATCAGAACTTAAGTCGTTCTGATAATTTTTGATGTGTTTTTTTTTGTATCATAACTGTTAATCAAAGACTTTACTATATAAGATAAGATACGGTGTCGAATCAAATAATATTTGAATGTCTATTTCATGGCTATGGAAAGTAAGCAAAGCCGTAGAGCAACTACCAATTTTAAAATGCGGGAGAAGTATTGAAAAGGGAAAATGTTTTTCTCTGTGTGGATGAAATCTGGATTTTCTGTCCGTTGGTCCCTGTCCATTGTCCGCCACAGACTGGCTTTGATTTGTTTAGACGCTCGTTTCATGTTTTGTTTGCGCAACCAATTAAAACTTTGTATTTTTTCCATGGGGTCTGTTTGCAGCCTAAAACGGGTTTGCGATCCAACACTTTTTTTTGGTAATATTTTCAGCTGAATTTCGAGTTGTAAACATTTGACTTCGTGCGTCAACTTGTGTATGTGGCCAAAATACGAGTTGGCCTGGGGCGGAGTTGCTCGGTTTTTGGGGCGGTGCGTGACCACACTCGGCCAAACGAGATTTGGCATCAAAATCAGAGCGAAACGGATTCGGATGTCTCTTTATATAGTATATTGTATTCAAGGATGGCTCAGAAGTGATCACAGGTTTTATTTTACTTTATTTCCCATTTTACAGACTTGTTTTTATTCACTTTGTTTGACTTAAAAATTTTGTAAATGTTTCGTATTATTAACTACTTTATAATCAACAAATAAAGGAATGGTTTTATATAGCAATAGAAAAAGGAGTACATGTCTAAAAATATATTTTAATTATCCATTTATTATTGCCCAAATTTGAGTGCTAATTTCGAAGAATATAATAAAAAGCGAATAGCGTTTTCCTAGGCTTCAGTATAATCCGATTCATTGAAAGTTGGCTGCGATGTTAAAAATATGTGTATAAAGTGGCAACTATTTATAGCTTTTCTGTGATTTTGGAGATCACGCGCCTCTTGCAGTCGCTGTGTGAATTTTTTAGTGGATCCCGGCTCGCATTTTAGTCGGTTCCAAGTCATCGCCGCGTGTCAATGGACCGACTTTATCGGGGGGCTGGGAACGGTCGAACGGTCGAAAAGTTGGGCATTCTATGGCGCTGAAAGACAAACAGCTCGCAGGCAACGATGGCCATTAGTTTGAGGTCTGCTACAGCAACCCGACGGGAGTAGATGAGAAAAATCAACAGACTGGGAACTCAATAAAATAGCAGTAGATGAAAATGGAGGGGAGGCCGTCGGAGACTGAGCGTTGGCTAATGGAGAAATGTATCTGGCGGATGGACAAGTGAATCGAATGGATCGCCACGTAGTTGTCGCACCCGTGACGGATGTGTCTGGCTACCTATCCGCCGGTCGGTCATTCATTAAAGGCTGCCGCACGGTTTCATTAAGAATCCTGGGCGGAGGAGTACGCGGAAATGCAGGCCAACCCTCCGCGATACTCAACCCTTTCGAGGAGAGCGTCCTTGCCCTAAATATTCACCGCACGGCATTGTAGCCGCTTTATGGCCAATCCTTTCTGCTTGTGTGTTTGCAAACAATTCGATTTTATGGCCGCCTAAGCGAATTTCCCCGCCTCAATTAGGCTGAGGTTGTAAACTCATAAAGCAAACACGCGAGAGTGCGAACGCCGAGCAGGCAGCCGCCAAAAAAAAAAGGGAAGAAAACGGGGCAGGCATTCGGTTTGCACAGGATACGCGCAAATACGCATGTCCTTTGAGCGCAATTAGCCGGCGGGAAAATCCCAATGCCGATATCGATCCCAGAGCAAACCCAGCGATCGAGTTCGTGTCCGAAGTCTTTCGTTCGCCATTCTTGGCTTTCCGCCCATGGGTTCGCCCCTTTCTAGTCTGTTTACTCGAACCCAAACCCAAACCCAAACCCAGACCCGAAACCCAGACTCATTTACATATATTGCTCGTCTTCTGCTGTTTTCGCTGCGCTTAAGTATGTTTGCCCGGTCCGATCTCTCCGTGTTTGCTTTGGGCCATCTTGGCCATCTTGACCATCTCGGCCTGTTTGCCGCTCGTCTACGTCTTGCTTTTCAATGCCGCTCTGCAGGATTTTCGTGGAAATTTCCAGCTTTTACGAGCACCAAACTTGAAAATGGCGTGACTCGGCAAACAATAGATGGGAACACCAAATGAAGTCCGCTCTAAGTTCGGTTCGACTATATTGACTTAACTTTGAAAATAAACTGCTGCAATTAGTTGCAAAATTTGCAAGCTTCTTGTCGCGAATTTGTTCTTAATGTGTAGACTTATAAGATTTTGCTTTAATATACCCTACAAATGTAGAATTTCTTATTCACAATTCTCTTTTAAAATACAATAGCTTGAATTGTTAGAATAATGTAGGAATGTATTTGAAGAAAGGCGAAGGTTTGATGGATAATATTGGTAAAGAAAAACAATAGAAACATATGTACATAAGAACATAAATATTTGCAATACAATTTCATGCAAATGGAAATAATAAACATTTAGCGTAAAGCAATTTTTAAACGATTTATTAGCTTTAAATAGATAAAAGATTAAACCTATTTTGTGTGCCTTTTTTTTGCATCCATAATTTAATTTGAGCAATCCGTGCGTTTGTCTAAAAATGTGTACCTTGGGAATAGTGATCTAAAAGTAAATTATATTAAACCTTTAATTATTTGGTTAGAGACTTTTATAAAATGGTTTTACTAATCGCAGACTCTTTGTGTTTTTCATCTTAAACCGTGTACACTTTGAATTCAACATTGCAAAACTCGACCTAGTTAAGTAGTTAGACTAGGACCACCACTGAAAATGAATCGCCTGTTCGTTAAAAGAGCGGCTCAACCTTTATCCAGGACCCTTCTCAGTCCAAGTGTGAGTGGCTTGTTCCAAGTAACATCCACTAGAAACTCCTGTTGCAAGGATGAGTACGCCCTGACAGACCACAAGTTCGATGCGATTGTGATCGGAGCGGGCGGAGCGGGAATGCGGGCGGGATTTGGGCTGGCGGAGAAGGGTTTCAAGACGGCCATGATCTCGAAACTGTTTCCCACGAGATCCCACACGGTGGCTGCCCAGGGCGGCGTCAATGCGGCCCTGGCCAATATGGACAAGGACGACTGGAAGTTCCACTTCTACGACACGGTCAAGGGCAGCGACTGGCTGGGCGATCAGAACGCCATCCACTACATGTGCCGCGAGGCGGAGAAGGCGATCTACGAGTTGGACATGTACGGGATGCCCTTCTCCCGGCGACCGGACGGAAAGATCTACCAGCGGCCCTTTGGAGGTCAGACTTTGGACTACGGGAAGGGCGGGGTGGCCAGAAGGGCATGCGCATGCGCAGATCGCACGGGCCATGCCCTCATCCACACGCTCTACGGACAGTCCCTGAAGTACGCCGACTGCTGCCACTACTTCGTGGACTACTTCGTCCTGGATCTCATCATGTCGCGGGGCAGATGCGTGGGTTGCTTGGCCTGGAAGCTGGACGATGGCACCTTCCATCGGTTTCTGGCCAACAACACTGTGGTGGCCGCCGGCGGTTGTGGTCGCGTCTATTTCTCCACCACCGCCGGGCATACGTGCACGGGTGATGGCAATGCCTGGGTGTCCAGGCAGGAGCTCCCGCTCATGGACATGGAGTTCGTGCAGTTCCATCCCACGGGTATCTACGGAGCAGGGTGTCTGATCACCGAGGGCGTTCGAGGGGAGGGCGGCTTCTTCCTGAACTCCAAGGGAGAACGCTTCATGGAGCGCTACGCCCCGAAGGCCAAGGATCTGGCCTCCAGGGATGTGGTGGCTCGGGCCATGACCATGGAGGTCCTGGCCGGCAATGGTTGTGGTCCCCTGCAGGATCATGTGCACCTGCAGCTCCACCACATTGACCCCAAGATCATCAGGGAGCGGTTGCCGGGTATTTTGGCCACTGCGAAGATCTTTGCCAAAGTGGACGTGACCAAGGAACCAGTGCCGGTTCTACCAACAGTGCACTATATCATGGGAGGAATTCCAACGAACCATAGGGGAAGGGTGATCACGGTCGACGAGAATGGCTGTGAGCAGGAGGTCAAGGGACTCTACTCCTGCGGAGAAACATCCTGCGCCTCGGTTCACGGGGCCAATCGATTGGGGGCCAACTCCCTGCTGGATTTGATCATCTTCGGTCGGATGTGTGCCTTTGATATTGCCGAAGACAGCTGTCCGGGTGACAAGCCACCCGAGGTGGATGCCAAGGCCACGGAAAAGTCGCTGGAAAACTTCAAGTGTCTGCGCAACGCAAATGGAGGCACTCCGACTGCCTGTTTAAGGATCGAACTGCAGCGCACCATGACCAAACACGCCGCTGTTTTCCGGGATGGAAAACTCCTCAAGGAGGGCCTGCTCAAGATCGCCGAGTTGTGCAATCAGTTCAAGGACATAAAGGTCACCGATCGCACTCTGGTGTGGAACACCGATCTCGTGGAGACATTGGAGCTGCAAAACATGCTAGCGAATGCCGTGCACATCATTACGGCCATGGAGAATCGCAAGGAGTCGAGGGGTTCGCATGCTCGCGAGGATTTCAAGACGCGCCTGGATGAACTGGACTATGGGGCACCGATGGCCGGGCAGAAAAAGAAGCCCATAGATGAGCACTGGCGCAAACACACCTTGACCTTTGTCCTGGGCAACAAGGGCTGTGCCTCGATCAAATATCGTCCGGTGGTGGACACCACTTTAGACGACTCAGTAGCCTCCATTCCACCAGCTCCACGCACCTATTGATTGTTTGCGGCGGTTTCGAACAGGTTTATCTTAACATCACTTATGTTGATAAGGATTTATACATGTATACACTAACGAAAATATTTATTGATTCGTACAAGTCATTGAGTAAAATAAAGTGTTAAGAATGCAAATTCAATTTTGGGTTTCTATCTTTGGAAATCCGTTTCTGTTACCCATTAGTATTATTTACTTTAACTATAAAGGTCTTAAACAAAATAAATAGTTTATAGAAGAGAATTTCAACCTAAAAAAATCATTAAAACCTATTTGAATATAAATTTGGGCATTTATTTTACATTTTTTGATAAGACGATCATATTATTTTATGTTGGTATACCTCCAATGATTTTTCAAATTTTTAAAATACAATACAATACTCGTAGAACTTAAACTTCAAACCTAGATAATTGAATACATACTTTACAATTCTATATACATCAACCAAATTGTATGTTTAATTTAGTTGTACAATTGAATTTTCAAATAAATGAATCAAATGTTTAGAAGGGGCCAAAATGTGTTTGTTTATTAGATTAGGGAGTTTTTGATTGGCTTAGTAGTTCTCACAGATGTAATATTAAATTAAGGAAGGATGTCCTAATCATCTTCCTCCTTGAAATCATCCTCATCAATTTCGTCCCCATAGCCTTCCTCATAAAAGTCTTCCTCCAAGATGTCCAGTTCAGGATGCAAACGCCGCTTGCAGTAGTTAACGAAGCAAGTGATCCCAATCCATAAGAAGTAAGTGCCCCATGTAAGAAGGGCGGCAAACAAGAAGGAGAGGGTATAGGTGGCCACCCTGGGGTCTTCTCCAACTAAACCCGAGTCCATTAGGTCGATGGCAGACTTGTAAGCAAATATCGAGAATATAATGAAGGGAGAGGTCGGGTTTTTCCAGAAAGGCATTGGGGTTATATCCTCCCATTCACGCAGATGGATAAGATAGCGCAAGGACATCAGGTCCTGTTCGTAGCTCAGTCGACGAAACTCCCCATCCAGAATATGATAAATGGTCACCTGACCGAAGGCGGAAAATCGTCTGCGCAGAGTCGAGGGCGTGGAAAGATCCCCAAAAGCCAATCCCACATCGATGCAGCCCATTGCGGTGGTTGCCAGCTCGAAAAAGCTCATTTCCAGGTCCCTGCAATCCGGCTGGTTTTGTGAACAGAGTAGCAGCAGCCACTCGCCAGATAGCAACTGCTCCCAGTTGTCCTCGCCGATCACGGCCAACTGTCCAATGACCCCGGTCTCCAAAACGAATACCGGGGACAGAGGCCAGTACTTTGGGGGTTCTCCGGCAGCATCGAGTATTCGGGTTCGAGACCCGAGATCACGGGCTTGGAAACCAGAAGGAGTAGAAAAAACTTCGACATTGTATTTCAGAAATAATAAAGATTTTAAGTTCCCGTGTTACTTTTTCGTAGGCTTTTTCTTTTCTTGCTTTGACGTTTGACAATTAATAAAAGGTATAGAGTGACACAGCAGTAATCACCTTTCATGTTGACATAACCATCCTTGAGACACACCACCCAGTATTCAAACCTATGACAAAATTTTAAAAATCAAAAAAAGCCGAAGTTAACAGAGCAAAAATCAAAAGTCTGCCAAACTCGATTGAAACCAAAATTATGTTAAAAAGGTGTCTTAAACCATCACTTATTTTTATCAGACTCTATTTATTAATCTTTTTAATTTTCATTAATTTTACTTACGTATGTACGTAACTTAATTAATTTTTAAGAAGATAGAGATATACAAACTATCAAAAATCAAGAGAGTTTTTAACAAATATTTTTTTCTATTTTACTTATAAAATATTATTAATAAAATTTTAGCAGCAAGAAAAGGCAAACGTTATTTACATTATCAATCTTTACCCTCAGACCATTTCAAGTGAATAAAATACATATCTCATATTGTAATTGAAATAAAATTTAACCAGTTGATCTAGGGGTACAGTTGCCACCACATAACACTAACAGGGCATTATGTTCAGATGGTTATCGTTCCAACTCGATTGTTGATGCTGTTCTCGTGCGACTGTTGCCGATGTCTGAGTGTAAATAATTACCCGCTACGGGAATAACTTGTAGGTTATGCGAGGAGCGCTCAAAGGAGGATCCGATGGGAGGACCTCCCCTAATGACCACAATAAATTATTTTCATTTAGGGGCATTTAGCATAGAGAAAAAGCCGAGTGCCTGGTAAAGAAATAATTTATAGCTGTTGAAAACTTAACATGTTCATTTGGTCATATGTGTGTGTGTGTGTGTGGGTGTGTGTGGAAAATGGGAAATTGTTGGGGTGTGTGGGTCCAATAATAATGGCGCTTGTTAAGGCTTATGAGTAAATGTTTGTGTGTGCGTGTCTGGGACAGCAAATGAAAGGCCAACAGAACAGGACCACACGAATACTTTGCCAGGACACGCCGCCCACTACCACCCCCCTCCCGAACACCAAGGACATGCCCCAACTATTTGGTATGTATTTCGTGTGCCAGTGTGGATACAATTGTTGCTATTTCATATGGTTTTGCTGCTGGGCGGCTGCCACCGACAGAAAAATTACAGTTGCATACACATTTGCCTGTGTTAAATTGTCCCACAACCAATACAAAGTGACCTTTTCATTTATTTTTATGATGCCCCCCCCCCTGCCCCCAAAACATTTCCCAATTTACCTCCCATACCCCCTCCCCCTCGTCACATGTTACATGAATGCCCGCCCAGTCTTGGCCATAAAAAATAGTTCGCTCGATTCAACTTTCCTGCGGCAACAAATGTTGGATACTACGGCCTAAAGAGGATTCCTGTTTGCTGGTTAAAATGTTTTTTTTCTGGGATTTTGAATTTGTTTATTTCAGACTGAACCTAATGGAAGGGAAATCTGTGGAGGCCCATTTCAGTGCCATGTAATATAATATCTGTGCTTTTTTGTTGATGGTGCTTATTCTTGTATGCCATTTTATCATTACTCTGTGGAATTACCATAAGTTACCCAAATTCTGCTAACTTTATTGGCAGCTGTTACGTGAAAAAAACCATAATTGGCATCTTAAAAAAGTATTTTAAGCATTTACTTGCGCACCCACGCAAAACTTAAAACTGTCGCCGCAACTTTGTTGATATCTGTTCAACACACAACTTTCCTTCTTGCTGCTTTTGGCATTAAGTCATTCGTTAAAGTTATAGTTATAAATAGTTGGACTAAGGCCCTATATTAAATCATAATGTGAAATTGAGAACATTTAAGAAGGACGGAAATAATCTCTGTATAAGCATCTATTCCAATAAATATTAACTTAGGGCTTATATTAAACACCAAAAAACTTTTTTACTTAAAAACTTTTGTCGGTATTGTGGCTTTCTCATTAGAACCTGATTTTTCTATCCACTTTCTTTATCAAACCTTTTTTTGGTGAGGAATATTTAGTTAATACTAATTCGAAATGTTTAAATCCATTTTTTATGCAACTGCCTTTGGCCATCTAACTTTTGGCACTCCAGTGTCTCTACTTTGCTGTTCTCCCCTCGTGTTTTTTGGCTCTTACTCGCTGTAGTAGATAGCAAGTTTGCCGAAACTCTCGAAGTTGATTCCTCACTTCATCGAAAAACAAAACAAAATGTTTCAGTTTAAGCTTTTACCCAGTCACTTCAGCTCGTGAACGAGTGCAGTGCACTTGCCCCGTAGCAAGATGGAATACGAAAATTGAATGTAGTGCGGCAGACACTCAGAGAATAAATCAGGATTTAAAAAATAGTTGAGGTGTATTTGCTGATCATTTTTTTGAGATTAATTCTCAATTATACGTTAAAAAGTATTTCTAAATTAAAGGGTAAAAAACCTTTTATAATTTATGACACTTTTTACCATATTAAAATAATTAAAAAATTGCATTCTGGATATAAACACTTAAATGAAAGGGGGTGATGTTTAAAAATATCCTCACTACGATAAGATCCGATTATTAAAAGTCTCAAGTCATTAAAATGAATAAATATTTCCTAAGTAATTTGTGCACATAGTTGAAGTTTTATTATCGATTCGACAAACTAAGATTGTGTTATTCACTCCATTTGTTTGTTGTTTTTTTTGACTTTCAAAAATCCAATTACTATCCTTTTTCCAAATTCACAAAGTTATTCTGAGTGTCCTATTCTACGCTCCAGCTCGATACCGGTTTGGCATTTGAAGGATTTGGCAGGACCACGAGTGGGGGAATATATCTGTTCCGTGGCCCCGGGCGCTGGAGTGAGCCATCATTTATATGTTGCTTTTCGTGCCTTTGACTCAATCATCTGCTCGTTTGGAGGCAGCAGGAGCTTCATAATTTCCATTAGAATTGCCTCGGGAGAAAACCGAGTCAAAGGCAGTCCGCCCGGCTAAATGCCTACCATTCCGGCCGTCCAGTTTGACCACTTTGGCAGTCAACTATTCCGGCCATGCCAAACTGCATTTCGGCCCGATCTATTCTCTTGTTTTGGGCTTTTCTGTGTTTTGCTTTGGGTAATGCTTTCTGGGTTTGGTTTCGGTTGAACGTGTTTTTCCGGCACACAAACACGCGCCCAAAAACATTTGATTTATTAATAAATTATACACTCTCTGCAAAAATAGAATTCATTTCTATTTTCATTTATTTACTTGCAGGTGAGTTTCGCCCGGGGAAGAGCAATAAATGCGAGGGCAGTTAAACTAGTGCTCTAAAATTGTACGGAATATTGAATTTCCAGTGTGTATCTGGGTACTTACATATGTTTTCCGGTAAATTGATGGCCAAATCTAAAACGAATTGAGTGCGCCGCCTGTTTGTGAAACAAACAAATTGAAAACATTTTTTTTTTTGGCCAGCCCAAAAGCCCAACATCAAAAAATAATGTTACTTTCATTAGCCGCATGCAGAAAAGTATGCAGCTGCAATTGAGTTTATGCATTTGGTTTGCAAGGTGACGCACAATCTGACGTCAACGATTTGGTGAGTACAATTTGATGGTATGTTTTTATTTTCGTATATTTTGTATTATAACTTTTTCATAAGTTTAATTTATTTAAACTTAAGTGAGTACGTTTAATGGGGTATAAATTTTGTACATGGTCTAATAACTTTCCACGGTTTAAATAAAGGTACTTTGGCTAATG